GGTTGTGAGCCAGTAGTGGGTGCTTAAGAGGCAACCACACATCAATGCTTCTCTTTCTCTCTTTCTTCCTCCCTTCCCCTCTCTCTAAAAATAAATAAAATCTTTAAAAAAATAAAGTGATTAACGCCGTCTTCTAAAACATTTTTAAAAGATTAACTATCTATCCACATTAGTTAGTTGAATGAACTACAGTGAATCCAAAATGAAGAATTTTATGCAACTCTTAAAAGGAATGCCACGCAATTGCCTGCATTGGCTATAGAAAGTCCATGGAATACGAGCGAGCGAAAATAGGAAGATAAGGGACGACGTGTCCAGTCTGATAGTGGATTTCATTTTCATAAGTGACTGGAATTTCCATTAGCTAGATGCATATATATGTGAAATAATTTCATAAAAATTGGAAGAGATGTACACAAAACTTCTAGGAACAGGATCCTAATGTGTTAGCACTGCATTAATAAAAGGAAAGTTTCATTTCTTATTGTGTTTTTCAATCCTTTTTTCCCCAAACAGTATTTTAAAATGCAGCCTGGAAATTGTAAACAACTTTCGTAATTGTATACAAATGAATATCAGAGGGGACAGCTCATAAAATTTGCCAACACAATGAAATGAATTGACACAAAGGAATTCATTGAACCACCCAGGAATTGAAAACGTTGCTAATGTAAACTACAAGCCACGCATGGCTCTGTTCAGAAGCTGTTTCTCTTCCCCACCTGGGCCAGACTGTGGTAACCATGGTGACCGTGCTGAAGCTCAGGCAACTCACCAGAGACAGGGGCTTTCCCGGGAGGCAGTTGATGCCGCCAATGAAGACCATGTTGGGCATCACGGGTTTGGGATATTGCAGCACGAAGTCAGTGCGCAGCAACCAGATGGACACAGGGCTGACCAGGTCATATGCTGTGACGGTGGTCTGCAGAATCTCGGAGGCGACCTCTAACCCGGTTTTGACAAAATAGTGACAAAGTAATCGTTCCTCCAAGTGGGTGATGTGGTTCCGCACCCTCTCCCAGAAGGTCATGGTGTCTGAGAAGCCCAGAAGGCTTCGAGGGACGTAGGAGAGAGGACTGGGGCACTGGGAGCCTTCCTCCACATGGTGGCAGAACATGCCCCTGGTGAAGACCACAGATGGCAGTGAGAAGTACTTGGCTACAATTAAGCCACACAGATCAAAGGGATCTAGAAACACTGCATCAAAAGAACTGTCTTCTATGTATTTCACCAATTTTCTGTCATTAAACAAGCTCCTACAACGTGAAAAAAAGTAGTCAAGACTACGGTTAGACCGAGGCATTAGCAGAGAAGATACACGGCTTTCCCGAGTCTTCCAGCGGGAGTCAGCGAAAACCTTGAACTGACGGTTCAGGTCCTCCAGAGAGTAAGATGTGGAGTAAGTCTTCACTGTGTATTTGGACGAGACTTCCAGGCGCCAGTTCACCTCTGGCCTGACCAGGACCACCTCATGCCCTCTGAGGGCAAGGCTCTCCACGGCAGGGCGCATGGTAAACCAGTGGCTTCCGTCCATGGGTATCACCAGCAGCTTGCCAGCCTGGGCACAGCCAGGTGCCAGCAGGAGACACGCACATAGAGGAAGGAGTCCTGTCCACACCGCACGAGCCATGGGGTAGTGGCAGCCCCGAGCCAGCCAGCCGCCTGGATTCGAAGTTCCGTGACAGATACTGTGGGCGGAAGAAGCACAGGCACAAAACCTGCCCCAGGGCAGGGTGTATGTTCATAACAAAAAACAAACGAACAAAAATTCCCAAACCACTCATTGCCAATGGTTTACTCATAGGAACTTAGTGAATAATATGTTTTCCTGGGTTGTTTCCCAGATAAGAATAGTTCTGATCTTTGCCTGGGTGGAAATCGTGCCCTGCACTGCAATGCCGGTTCGCAAAAAGAGTTATTAAGCAACAATTTTTGGACCCTGAGTACTCAGAGAGACAAAAAGGAAAGTCAAGTTCAATAAAGCTGTGTTTCGGGAGCATGTCTGAAAGGAAAATCTGGATATTACCCTCAGACCACCAAAGTCTCTGCCTAGAGACTGACATCCCCAGTTTCAAGGACTGACTGGACGCCCCCGACCGCTGACTCCCCCTGGCAGGGGAGCCACGTGGCACAGGGGCTCTGTGGTGCCTGGCCCGGCTGCTCCCGGTCCATTTCCGAACACTCCAAAGCATCCGAAATGGTGAGACGGGATTGACTATCCAATGTTGCAGGTTTTGGGAAAAAATTTTAAATTGTTGTTGGCAAATTTGTTATAAATCTGAGGTTTTTCTAAAATTAAATTTTTATTTAAAAAAATTCAGCGACTAGGAAAAAATATTTGCGGTGCATCTATGATGTGTAAAATACAGAAAGAATTCTCAAAATTAAAGATTATGAAAACAAAAGAAAAAGAATTTTTAAAAATCAGCCACAATCTGAGCAGACATTTTACTAAAAAAAAAAGAAAAACAACAAAGAATAAGAAAACATAGAGATGGCCCACACATAAAAAGATGCTCAATGTTTTTAAGTCATTAAGGAAATTAAATTGGACACAATTTACTTTACACACCCATTAGAATGACTAGAGATAAAAAGATGACTCGTGCCATGTGGAGGAGCGGGAGCCCTTGTGTGGCGCTGGGGGACTGCACAGTGCTGTGGCAATGACTTAGAAAGGTAAACCGGCACCCAGCGCACACCCGGCCACCCAGAAGTAGGCATAGCGAAGGCCCCCGCACCGCAGGCCAGGCACCCCTATCACTGAGAGCCTGGTAAAGCCTTCCAACTAGCCAGCCCCAACCTGTCCTCCCGCTCTGCCTCTCCTTGCACAAAACCCCAGTGAAGGCCCCAGCCTAGGCCACCACCCCGCCCTACCCCTTGTATCTTGCTCCTTCTGCCTCCTGACCAGCCCTGGTGCTGCCCTTGTGGCCCTGCATGGTGTCTGCCCTCGTGTCTCGAGGACCTGTGATGATAATAAACTTCGTTTTTCTGAGCCTCTCCTGTGTCTCCTCGTGTAGCCACGCCTAACGGACCAGCACATAAACAAACACAGACTATCTCTATACAGACGCTTGTATGTGAGCATCCATCGCAACTGTGTTTGTCACATGAAAAACTGGAAACGGTCCAGACATCCACCCACAGGCGAATGGACAGACAAGATGGGTTTTGTCTGCACGATGGAACACTTCTGGGCAATGGAAAAAGAGAAAAAAAAAATAGAACAAAAAGAGTGAATGTGAACAGCAATGATGAATTCCAAAATAATTCTGTAGAATAAAATATGCCAGACCAAAAAGAAAGAAAGTCCATACTGTGTAATTCCTTGCATACAGAATTCTAGAAAATGCAAACTGATCCATAGTGACAAACGGCAGATCAGTGGTGGGGTGCTGGAAAGGCAGGGAGGGGTGCAGAGGAGAACGGGGCATGGAAGAGCAAAGGTGGAAGGGTTACACGTGGGTGTGGGGGAACTTTTCCAGGCTGTTAGGAGTTACATTGTGTCCCTCCCCACACCCCATAGAAAAGGTATGTTGCAGTCCTAACCCCCTAGATCAGGATATAACCTGACACGGAAATAAGGTCATTGCAGATAGAATTAGTTAAGACGAGGACACACTGGAGCAGAGTGGGGGGCCCCCATTCCAGTGTGAGCCATGTCCTTGCAGGAAGAAGGCCCCAGGAAGACAGGAGCAAGCAGGAGAAGGCCAAGCGATCCGAGAGACCAGAAGCAGCAGGAGCCAGAGAACCACATGAAGCTGGGAAGAGGCAGGGAGGATTCTCCCCTCAGTGCTCAGAGGGAGCGAGGCCCCGCCAGCCTCCTGATGTCAGACTTCGGCCCCAGAGCTGTGAGACCACAGTATTCTGGGGGTTGAAGCCCCCCACCAGTTTGTCGTCCTTTGTTTACAAACCACACGGAAGTGGGTCCACAAGTGGGGGTCTGTGTATCTGAAACAAAATTTCCACGTTGCTGCGTTCCTCCTAAGGACCCTGACTTTTGTACCCACTTGTGCTTTATTATTGTTCTTTTCCCTTTTTCCTCTCTTTTTAAATGCTGATTACTACCCCTCCCAATTTGTTAATCTACTAATAAGGGTATGACTTTTGGCTTGAAAGATTCTTGTTTATAGCATTGGGTACAGATTGCCTAACAAATAGATTAAGTAACACAGCATAGGTAAAGAATCAAAAACCACCAATGAATGACATTGCAAGTTTTTCAGGCCAGGGCCGTGGTGTTTTTTTGTTTTGTTTTTTACCTTACACCAACCCCTTGCATCAAAATCCCAATTTTTGCCAAAGTAATCACGAGCCCTGAAGGAGCTGGGCCCGGATTAGTGCAGCAGGGGTGGGACCCACAGACGTGGGGGGTCCCCGTGGGATTCCTGGAGAGAGTGGGGCCTGTGGGTTTGCTGCCATTCCACTGAACGGCAGGAGGCCCCACGACTATATAAACTTTTAGTGAAAATGATTTTTTAGAAGACCACCTAAAATTAAGTATGGTTTTGAACCCCATTCATTGCCTGGACCTCCCCTCTTACCAACATGTCCCTTCTTGAACCCACGTCTGAAGCAACCTGTTTTATCTGCAGACATCCCAGACTTAGGGGAAGCTCTTTCTTATAATAACAAGTCAAAAGCTGCTCCCCTGGTCCTAATTTATTTGTTCGGACCATACACTCTGATAGCATTCAAATGTTACCTCACCAGCTCCTAGAATCTAAGAACTCCCACTCTAGCTGGGCTCTTTTTCCTTTCCCAATCTGGTTCAGTAAATGCCATGTTCATCTACCTAGAGTTCTAAGTAAAAATGTACAAGCTATCACTTCCCACAGCCCCTCCATTCCATCTCTATCAGTCAGGGCCCCATCAGAGAGGTGGAACCCCCAAAGACACAAACCGTCAGGGATTTGTCCTAGGGTTTTGACCCCTGTAGGAGCTGGTTGAAGGAGTCTCTGTAAACAGTCTTTACCTCTGATGCTGGAGCTTCAGGACAGCAGGGTGGGTGTTCTGGAAGGGCGGATGGGTGTGCTGTAGGGAAGAGACGAGGAGCTCGGACCCCCAAGGATGAACTGGAATCCACAAGAAGGGACTAGAACCTTGGACTGTTCTTATTGCCTCCAACCTTGATGACGTGAGTGTCCCCGCAGGAAAACTCTGTGCTCTTCCTCACAGAGCTAAATGCACACCTGTCCCAGGTGTGGGAGGAGCTGAAGGAAGAGCCAGGGAAAGGAAGGGCGGTTGCAGGTCCAACTGCTGCTTTATGCCAAGGAGGTGAGTCTGCAGATAGGCGAAGATGCCTGCAGGCTACAAAAGTGTCCATCTCAAACTGCTACATGTAAGAAAACAAAACTGGCTCTTGCAATTTCAGGCAAAAATGTCTCTGACTAACCCTAATTAGAAACATCCAGGGAAGGAAATCTGGGAAGCAAAACTCAGCTCAGCCCAGTTGACACATTACAAAGCCACCACATGACCAAGTCCTGTCCTATCTCCAAAACCCCTGTCAGGTCTGCCCCTCTCTCTACTGCTGGGACATCACTTCTCTATCATCTCTTGCTTGGACTCCAAGAACAGCTTCCTAAACTGGTCTTCTCGCTTTACGCTTGCCCTGCAGACAGGAGCAGAGTGGTGTCTTCAAACAACAGTCACAATGCTGTCTTTTGCATAAGACCACTGAATGGCTGCCCACTGCAACTGCAAAATATCCTCGCCTTGGCCACAAGGTGGGTGAGTCCAACTTCCCTCCACCTCTTTAGCCAGCTTCCATTTGCTTTTTCCACTCATTCAAGGCCTCCTTCCTGAATCTTGAATGGGACAGTTTCTTCCCCATTTCAGGACTTTTTATCTGCTGTTTTGTCAGCCTAAAAGGGTCTTTCCTGGACTCTTCATATGCCTCCTCATTGGTTAGTTATCCTCTAAGTCAGCATCAGGGGCAGCCCTGCCTCTATCCTTGCATTTACTGTGACATTGCTCTGTTATTTCCCTCAAGTTACTTACCGCTGTCGCTATCATCTGGCTTTTTCTTACTTTCCTCCACTAGAAAGTGAGCGCCATGAACTTAGGGACCCATGTTAGTCTGATTAATATTGTCTCAAGCATCTAGTTCTGTGCCTGCCACTTAGTAGATGCTTATTAAATAAATACAGATGTTTACTGGATATTTGCTAAAGAATGAATGAATACATGAGTGAAAAATAAAAAGCAACTCATCGCTCCTTACCAGGGAATGACCGAACCTCAGCCTGAGTAACTGATCCAGCCCTTCTCTGGGCCTTTTTCTTCTACAGAGCAGCTTTTGCACCACCCACAGATCTGTCTGGCTTCTCCTAATCCCTGCCACAGTCACACTCTGGAGTTTCCAGGGCTGATGCCCTTAGTTTGGAGACGTCTCAGCCTCCCTGCCCACAATTGTTCTGGTTTGAACAGCCTGAGTCCTGGTGGAGCCAACCTTCCAGTGCTCATTCCTAATCAGGGAATGGAAGTTTGAGGAGTATCTACTATTTGGATGAGGGGGATGAAGCATGGCTGACAATGGAGAAGAAGCAAAGGGCAGAAAGAGAAGCAGCAAGAGAGAGTGCAGTGGGGCCAGGAGGAGTCATGAAGAGGAGGCTGCGGAGGGTGACGTGAGGAGTGAAGGGGACTAAGAGTGAGGACTGGCTAGTCCCACTCTGTTCCTCCCTCTAGACCTTTGGCCTTTTAACTGCCCTTGGTTCTTGCCCTGCCAACTCCCTGGGGCTGGCATTCACTTGGACTTCTGCGAGACAGCTGTTCTTCTCTCCCACCTCTAGCTCAAGCCCAGGCGATCTTCTCCCTGTCTCCCTCATTCATTCTGGGGTGGAGGCTGGACTGGGTCCGGGAGAGGCCAGAAGCAGAGCCTACTTACATAAGCGACTGAAACAGTCCACCGGAGGTATTCAAGTCTGCAAGAGGAAGTGATTTTGACACATTTTTAGTGTACTCGTGTGCATGGCATGCCACTTAGAGCTTGTGCAGACAAAATAAACATTGACAGGTATTATAAGGAGTCAAGGTTACGGGGGAAGTGTTTCACTAGAGATAACTGGAAAACGTCTTTGAATGTGCATGGCAAAGTTGAAGCCCTTAACACAAATGTTGCCGAGGTTTAGGTAACCTGGGAATTAGCCATTACCAAGACAAGTGATCTTTGCGTACTCCACTGCAACTAATAAGTACACATTTTAAATGTGACTGAATGAGTGGTCGGCTGACCTAGAGAGCCCACGGACCTGGGAACCCATGATCTGACAAGGAGCAAGCGCTGCCCTCCCACCAAGACGCCCGAACTTTCCGGGCAAAAGAACTACGTTGCCCAGAAGGCCGCGCGCAACAGGCGGTGCTCGCGCAAGGCATTCTGGGAGGAGTAGTCCGCGCGTTCCAGAAAACGCTCACGCTCGGGGCTGCGGGAGACACGCCTACGCCTATACGGTGGCACTTTTTGTGGGGTGCGACGGTTCTCTTCGAGTTTTGGCCGGGGCGGGGGTCTGGGCTTTAGGCAGTAAGTGGAGCTAGCGGCCGCGGTTTTCGGGAGGGACGCGGGAGGCCTAAGGGGACCCTGTGGGCGGCACGGCCTGAGGAGGGGGAGACGTGGCGGCCTCGGACCCCTGAGTTCCTGCGGCTCGGCCGGAGGTCGGCCTCCTCGCGACCCTGGGCCCCGCGGTGGCTTGGAGGGCTTGAGGGCCTGGCCTTGGCCGGGAGTGGGAGAGACAGGCGTCCAGACAATGACCTGGAGGTCACCCTTCCATTTTGTGCGCTTCCGAGGAAAGGGTTGGACTGGAAAACATTAGCATTCCAGCATTTCGTGTCGTCCGGGAACTGCGCTGGGAGCTTTGCCTGTCTCCTCTCCAGGGGTCCCTCCGCCACTTCAGCGGGTGGCTTAGGTCCCCGGAGCTCACGTTGGCATCGCTGGACAGGGATGATGAGAGGGCCTTTTGCTCAGTAATTTTTGCCGCAGCGTTTCCCGCCCAGCGACCCTCCTCCGGCTCTCCAGCTTGCGCGTAGCTGCAGTGAAGGTCAATTTGTTCCACTGGATTCATTTCAGGGCCGTAATCTGGTACGAGGAGTGTGAGCAGCAGAGATTGTAGGACGTGATTGGCGGTCCCCGGCCCTTGTCCGCGCTCTGAGTCTAAGATTGCCTTTGCCACCCCGGCAGACTAGGTGTGATGATGGGTTTTCTTTCTTTTTTCTTTGCCGATGCACCTTTTAAAAAGAGCTGCCTTCACCGTGGGTGAGCCAGACCCTGTGCGCTAAGTGCCTTTCCGTAGTTCTGTCCTGTGATAGTCTAAGTGGCCATGCGTGACAGGTGGAGTCCCCTTTTAGGAATGAGGACTCCGGGTTAAGTAACTTGCCCGGGGTCCCCGGGGTCGTGTGCCACAGGGGTGAAAAAATCCAGGGCTTGACGCCTCCAAAGCCCAAACAACCCGTGTGCTTTCCAAGGAACGACTTAAAATCCATCTCCCAGTTAGGGAGATGTGGGGGAAGTTTGCTACAAAAATAAAAGCATTTTATAACAAGTCATATTTTTTCGGATAGCATTTAGTTTTCACAATGTTTGGGGACCTATTTGAAGAGGATTGTTCCGGTGTATCAAATAAGTATGGAAAAAGGAAGAAATTAAAGACCAAAGCATTGGAGCCCCCTGCTCCTAGAGAATTCACCAATTTAAGCGGAATCAGAAATCAGGGTGGAACTTGTTACCTCAATTCCCTCCTTCAGACTCTTCATTTCACACCTGAATTCAGAGGTATGCTACGTTACATGCACTTGATTAGTAATATGTACCCTCTTCTGCGTACATAATTAATTTTGCAAGAGCAGAAAGAGACAAAAACAAGACAGTATCTTAAAGGTGTATTCTGCAGCGTGCGTTTACTAAGAAAACACATGATCTGAGTATGAATTTTAATTATCTTAAACATTATGTAATGACAGTAATGTTTAGTAACAAAATAAGAAATGAAGGCAGTATTTCTCATTCTAATTTAAAGGACGACATCGAGACAATTTTGTTGTAAGCGCTGGCCTTCATTATTGTTGCACTATTTGCATTTTGAGTTGTAAAATTTCTCCAGAGTGATAAACACGTAAGCCACAGGCACCCAAAGCAGTTATATCTTGCCTTTTGGAATGGGGAGGGGCGTCACATTACTTAATACAGTCCATAGTCCTTCATCTGCACTTTTGAAACGGAGGAAACTGACAGCCTCATCTGGTGTGAGGCCTCCTATAGCTCAGTTCTCTCCCTTGGGTGAATAGTCATTAATTTGTTGCAATAATGCTAATCTCTTTGATTAGCCAATACTGTTTGTCCCAGACCCTGAGGGTGGGGCAAGGGGGGAGGTGTAATGTTACCATAATACCTTCATAGTACCTTTCTAAGTAGTTTCTTCATAGTACCTTTCTAAACTCTGGAAGTAGTAAATTCCAAAGACCCAAGAAGTCAGACCAAGGGATCCCGTGCAAGGAACAGAAACTCACTCACATCTGCTCAGTTTGGAAGGACATTTATTGTCAGAACATAGGGGGCTCCCAGGAAAGACTTACGGGAAGTAAGGCCAACCATAGTGGACCTTTCATTTCTTGCGCCTGTTTCTCTCCACCTGTTCGTCCCATTCCCATCTCTGCACACTCACTTCCTCCGCAGGAGTCTTACTCCCTGTTGCCTGGATTTCATTGTGAACACCACTCTGCCTTCACGTGGCCCTGAAGGGGGTTCCCGGCTCTGCTTGGCCCTGTAGCTCAGCTCTCCACAGTGTCTATATTCCGAGGACGGACAGCCTGGGTCATCCTGTATCGACTTTGCCAAATGCCCCTTCCCACCACTGCACACTTATCAAATCTTTGTGACATGTTCTGTTGCTTTTAAGCTTAGAAAGACCTTCTGACTCCAGAGATTTAGTAAACATTTACCCTTACCCCTTCCCAGGGCTATTCTAATGGATTGGGCTGAAAGTGGGACTTGAGAGTGGGGCCTCTTGTCCTTGACTCCATCCCCTCTGTAAAAAGTATCTCCCTGACGTATTCAGTAATCCCACCATTAGAACTTTTCAGCATGAATAAGCAGATTCCTAGGGGAGTGAGAACTTTTCCAAGTTTCAGTGTAATTGAAGTTTAAGGGCAACTTGAAGTAAAAAAGTAGCCTTAAAAAGAGACTGAGGTCGGTGTTCAGGTTGGGGTGGTCATGGAGATACCACTGAGCAAGAACAGGGCTGAGAATCCCAGGACATTGTTCCCTAGCAGAGGTGACAGGCCCAGTGCATGGGTTGGCATCGTGGTGCAGATCCTGCACTCGTGAGGCCTGGCATGAATCCTGATGTTCCTGGGAGGGGAGGCACAATTTAGAGTAAGAACTGGGGGAGAGAAATCTTGTAGCTTTTTGCAACCATATTGTATGGAGTAGGGCTAGATGGGGTCCACTGCACTCCCAGGGCAGTGTAGCTGAGAGCAGCGGGAGGTGACTGTTAAAGTCCTGGTGTAATTTTTGTGCCTTCACCTTTATGTCTGTGGTTCATGTAGCCCAGCTCCTCCCAGGAACTCAGGAGGGGTAGAGACCTTATAACAGTGATCACTAGGCCATGGTGGCCAGCAGTAGGAGACAACACCCATCCTACCTTCTCTCCGTGGAGTGTATCAGAGTTTCCTAGTAGGAGCTCCTCTCCCGGCTTGAATATAGACTTCCCAAAAGTTCAGATGTCTCTCTGTTGGATGAAGTAGATAGATGTTGGACTGCAAAAAAAATCCTGGAGACTGGCACTGGGTCACCAACTTATTTTTCCAGCTAAGACCGCCGCTGCCTGTTACCACCCTCAACACAGGAAGGACATGTACACACCCAAAAGAGGAAGAACATGGCCACAGACTCAGAGGTGGTCCTTCTCAGAAGAGGATGGCCAGAAACCTCACGTGTAGCTTGTTATTGATCACATGGAACATTGCTATATATTTGTTACATTTCCTAATATTCCTTATGTGGCTGTAGGGACCCACTGCCTTAGGCAGTAGGAAGCCATCACAGATTTCTGACGTTACTGTTTTTAGTTTTATATGCATAATTTCCCTTTTATAGATCTTTTGTACTGAAACCCTAGCATGCTCTTTATAGTCAGTGGTTAAAAATAACGTTACCAGAAAGTAAAATGTGTACAGTAAGGGTAGAAATATCGCCACAGTCACATTTCTGAATTGTTAACTGATTTTACTTACTGGTGGTCTTATTTTTCTAACATGAAATAATATCATTTACATCTCTGATTCTACTTTTATTTAGAAGCTTTATTTTCTCTTGGCCCAGAAGAGCTTGGTTCTTTAGAGGAAAAGGATAATCCTGATGCAAAGGTACTAAATTTATGATTTACATGTTTTTTTGCACTATCAAGGGGATGTTTCACAAGGAAGGAATTAAGTTTCTTATAGAAATCAGTAATTTTATTAATTACCAAATATGATTCTTATTTTCAGAGAGTGACTTGGCTCATTCCCTACTTGTAATGGAATTTTCCTTCCAAAAAGCCATTACTTTTCCAAATGGAACGTTGCTGCAGCTTGATAGACATACCTCACTTCTACTCTGTGTATTCTCTCTTTGGGTGAAGGGAGTATTTGCAAATCATCCACACTAGCCAGCCGAGAACTCTACTTAATGCACTTATTTGTAACAACAAATAGAGACCAGTATTCTTTCAGTTTGGTATTCTGGAAGTAAATTGAGTGAGGAATTGCTTTATCATAAGTGCAGATCTAATCATGTTCCTCCCCTGCTTAAACATTGTTCAGAAGTTTGTTGCTTTCTGGCTAAACTCGGTACTTCTTATGAGGAATCAGCCTTCCATGACCCAGCCCAATGCGTCTCAGAACCCCTGTGCCTCAAAGGGCCAGTTTCTGTGTGTGTGTGTAATTCCTAGCCTGCTGCGGGTCATACTTCTATGGGATGCAGTAAAGATGTTGTGGCAATGTCAAATTGCCATAGATGTTCCTAAAGGTGGATTCCCCCTTTAGACACTTAAATGTGGTGCAGACCAGGCTCTGAGCAGCGCCCTTTGCCAGCCCAGCCCTCACCACCCCCAATAAGGCAGGACTGGGCTTGGAGCCTACAGGAAGAAAGTGAGGCAGGGTGCAGCCAGCCCGTGACTGGGAAACTCCGCTGGGGAGTATGTCTTTTCGGAGGTATTTTCGAGAATGAACTGTTAGAGCACAGGTGTCAAACAAGGCCCGCAGGCTGAATCCAGCCCTCTACCTTGTTTTATCCAGCCGGCACCTTGTCTCTACCCAGCAGCAACGCCAGGCTTTTTGTCCCTAATTAAGGAGTATTTACATTCATACAGTCCTAACTACGCTCAGCCCTTTGAAGGGAACCGTGAAGCTGATGTGGCCCCTGGTGAAAATGAGTGTGACGAGTCAGTATTAGAGACTTAAATTACTGTTAGTCTGTAGTCATTTGAGTAGTCTATTAAGGCCTCTGGGTTTTAACATTAATCTGAACTATATCAAGGTAGAAAACTCCAAATACCTAAAACATTTTGGATTGAATTTTCAAAGAAAAATGAATCTTAGCTAGAGATAGTTCACTCTTTGTACTAAGATATTTATAAATTCTCTCCCGGGTGAACTGAATGAACTAGGAGGTATATAAGAAAACTAGTGTGCAGTTCTTTTAAATAGCCCCAACCAGCACCGAAGAGGCTCGTTTAGAGAAGCATTCGTTCTCCCACAGGTTCGCATCATACCTTTGCAGCTGCAGCGGTTGTTTGCGCAGCTCCTGCTCCTAGACCAGGAAGCTGCCTCCACGGCGGACCTCACGGACAGCTTTGGGTGGACCGGCGACGAGGTATGAAGGTCCACCTCCCCAGGAAAAGCTACCAGCAATAAAGAGTAAACACGGGGTTAATGTGTTATCTGACTTCTTCAGTTTTGTTTTAGGGGCTCAAGGTATTTTTTAAATATTTGCTTCTCTCATTTTAAATACTTACAAGTCAGAAATATATTTACGAACATTTGCTGTTTGAAAGATTTATGAACGGTTGTGATTTGGGAGCAGTAAGAGGGTTGTGGATGCAAGGAAAGTATGAGAGCTGTTTTATGCAATTTACACCCTGAGAATATTTATATGGTCTGTACCTATTACATGGAAATTACCATTTACGTAGCAAACTGCTCCAAAAGCTCAGAAGCTGACTGGCAATAATTCCGTCTGCCTTTGTAGCATGCGCTGGTGTGTTCGGATTTGAACATGTGCTTCAGGTGAAACTGTGAAACTGTCCTTGGCAAGCCTTTGCACTCTCCTGCCCTGCCTTTGCCCCCCGACTCTCCTCATTGTCTGCCCACCTTCTGTTGTAAGACTTTGTCTCATTTTTCTGTTTGCATCCCTGAAGGCTATTTCACTGTATACATACACAGAACATTTGTCAGCAACAAGTAAAGGTGCTCGTTGTCAATAGCTGTTAGCTGTATTAAATCAAATAAAACCAAGTCTGTGATTTTTTTTTTACAGAATAGGTGTGCTCTTGTAAGACACAGGTCTGGGAGACTATCACAGAATTTAAAGAGGCAGGGATCAGAATGGTGTTATGTTGCCTTCACCACTCAACTCCAAACTATGGTCTTCTTCGAACAGAACACTCCTTTAACTAGGCAGCGCTGTGTGGTTGAAGAGGTAGGGCCTGGGCTTTGATGTCAATGGGTTAATAGTACATTCCCCAAACAGAATGTTCAAGTTCTGGTGGGGGGGGGGCAGTGCTTAGGCTTAATTCCTCTTTCTTTCCTTGTTTTAAAAATAGCCACTTAATACTGAGACATAACTCACATGTCCTAAGATTTCCTCTTTTAGAGGGTTCTATTCAGTGGGCTTTTACTGTATTTGCAGAGTTGTGTAACGATCACCACTATCAATTTTAGAACCTTTTCCCCACTCCACACCCATTAGCAGTGTCCCTCCCCCAGTCTTTTCCCCCCAAGCCCCTGGCAACCACTAATCTGCTTTCTATCTCTGTGGGCTTGCCGTTCTGCACATTCGCAGACATGGACTCTAGGGGTACATATGAGCATTTCATTCCTTTTTATTGCCAAGTAATGGTCTATTGGATGGATATTCCACATGTTTTTTTTAAATCTAGTCATCGGTTGATGGATTTCCCTTTGTTTTGGATAATGAGCTCCCACTAATTTTTTTTTTTATTTCATACTAGTTAAAGCTGTGAAAACCTTCTTTATTTCTAAATAAAATCTTGCAGGGAACCCTTTTGGACTGGACTTGCAGTGGCAGACAGGGTCTCTGAGACACTTTGGGCAAACTTAGGATTATTCAGAAACAGAGCTTGAAAACTTCTGCACTGCCCTCCCCATCAGAGCCAGTGATGCTGAAGAAGTGTACATCCTCCAGGGTCGTGTGTGTTTGAAATGAAAAGAGGAAGGAAGGAAGAGATCCTGAGTCCTCCATCTTGCCCCACTTTTATCCACTTCGTCAGCTTCTCTTTACATGAAACTTACCTTTAAAATTGTCTTCCTTCACTGCCTCTACTTCCCCTTATTCCTCCACCTCCTTTCTCCCTTTCGTGTCAGAGTCACTCATGACATCCACGCGCCAGGTCCACATGCCAGGTGCTCTGCTCCCAGCGGGCTCTTAGTCGCACTCAGCCGCTCCTGCTCCTTCTCAAAGCGCCAGCTGCCGCCCTCTGGCTCTGGGGCCGCCTCTTGCTGACCTTTCCCTCTCCTCCACTTCAGGTGTCGGTGGACCCCTTGGCTTTGGTTTACGCATTGTCTTGAAGGAGTGGTTCAGTCTACTCATACACAGATTAAAGCAAGCTCCAGTGGAATTTTCTCAGTAGCCCTGTGTTAGCGTTGCTCTAGTTGGTCTGTGGGTCAAAGCAGTAAATTTCAGCTCTTTTTCAAACGCTGATACTCGGACTGTTCACCAGTCCCTCTGATCTGAGTGAGATTTCGTAGTGGGCGCTTGGTGCCTATGCTATGGCCCTGCACATGGTTCCCACGGGAATAAATGCGCTCTCCTGTTGTCCGGTCGAGTTACGCGCACACACTGACTGCGGCCGGTGCGTGTTTTTGTTTTGTGATAAAAATAAAAAGTAGGTGGTGATCTTCTAACCTGTCTCAGCCCCTTTAGATTAGTCATCCTTGTATTTGAGGTTTACCTTTGGATTTCTTGATAAATTTTGTGTTTTGTTTTTTTTAACTAATAGTACTTTAAAAATCTGTTTTAAAAAATCTGAAGCTCAAAATCACATTTAAAAGTTACCTGTTTTACAGGAAATGAGGCAACATGATGTGCAGGAACTGAATCGCATTCTCTTTAGCGCTTTAGAAACTTCTTTAGTTGGGACCTCAGGCCATGACCTCATCAATCGCCTCTATCACGGAACCATTGTTAACCAGATTGTCTGTAAAGAATGTAAGAATGTCAGTGAAAAGCAGGTGAGTGTGCAAGAGCATTTTAGTAGTAAGTGATATCATTAAGTATAGTTGATGTCATTCAACATGTGGCCTACAATACCTCGTGAGTAAAGTGTTTATTACTAGAAATCATTGTATGGGTGTTTTAACTCCAGCTCCACCTGAGTCATAAGTTTATATCCGGATTTCTCCATGTAAACCAAAAGAAGCAGATCTCTTAAAACACAGCTGTGATGCTTGCTTCAGCACCCTAATGTTTAGAAAGTAGGGTTGGGGGGTGTTACAGGTATGGACCTGTAGCCTCACAAGAAGAGCAATTTCATCTGGTTGGTGGTTGGATTGTTACAAAGTTAATTAGGGAAACCAGAAAAATATAGAGAGCTGACAAACATCTATAATTAAATATTGGGTTTAGTTTATTAATGTCTTTGAGAAAGTTCATTTGTGTGTGTGCTTCTGTTTAAATATTATAAATGTTTATTATATGTATAAAATACATATATATATAGAGAGAGGGAGAGAGAGAGAGGGCACACCATTATAGTTCTTTGTCATGGCACAAATTGCCCATTTAGACTAATTGGAAAGGAGACTTGGAAATTTACTCATGGGACTGTAGCAACCCCCACCTGCCCTTCCAGTCTCAGAGGCGGGCGGGTGGCTTCCTCAGAGCGGTTATCCTTTGATACATATCTCCTTGTTAGTGCAGGACTTACGGGGGTCTCTGTGTTGTATGAGGAAAAGTTAAATGTCATTGTCTGAGTGTCGCAGTAATTGCTTTTTGGGAATATATATTTTTGTCTCTTTCCATTTTTCATGAGCATTGGTGATAAAACATAATTTTTGTCTCTTATTGCCTTTGCTAATAGGTTTGGCCAGCTGATTTGGAAATATTAAGATGATGTGTGTCTTTGAATTACTGTACAGTTGATTTAACTATAACAGTAATTCACAAACTAATTTTAAACCATGTTGTATATTAAAGCACATAAGTTACAGACATTAATTTTTCACATATATATTATAAACTATATATAAATGTTACTTTTATTACTTTAGATTTCCACCATGGACTGATTAGTGCTGTCATTTTTCAGTCTGTAATCCCTTTGATGCTATTAAAACTAAATATTCTTTAAATTTGTCAGATTTTAAGTGTTTATTACTAGAAACATGTTGTAATTCAAATGTAGTTATAGAATTTAATAGATCCCCGTTTTGCAAAGTACCCTCCTCTTAACCTTCATAAGAACCCTTTCTATCCTGGCTCACACTGATTTTTCCTCCTGCCTTGCTTGGTGTGTTTTGAACCAGCCCGGCAGCAGCAGCAGCAGGGGAAGCAGAGTGTCCATTAGAGTCTTTAGCCCTGCGCGTGCTGTTCTGGCCTAGAGACCCCGACAGCACGGATGAGCCCTGCACTGCTCGCTTCTCAGTTCACACGCATGTCCAGGTCTGTCAGCAGGGGACTCCTACGCTAGTTCCTGATGCATTTCAAGCTCAATTACAGCTTGTTTTAGGGAAGATAATTTGGTATTACGAATATAGATCAGGAGATTACTTTTGTAGGTACAGTGTTTTAGGAGAAATATGTCTGATTATTCCCAATATGTAGATGAGTTTGTGGTATTATGTGAAGTTGTAACCTCTGAAATTGTTTTTTAGCATTATTTATGTGTATTCCAGGAAGACTTCTTAGATCTAACAGTAGCAGTCAAAAATGTGGCAGGTTTGGAAGATGCTCTCTGGAACATGTATGTAGAAGAGGAGGTTTTTGACTCCGACAACTTGTACCACTGCGGAGCTTGTGACAGGCTGGTGGAAGCAGCGAAGGTAAAGACGTGCTCACCGCCTTTCTTCGGGGACCCCACCAGTTCCTGGGAGCAGGCAGGTCTGTCAAGTGCAGTCAGCTTGTTTGAAACAGTCTGCAGGGTACACGGGCAGGGACCTAAAAATGCTGGGAATTTATTTTTTTTAAATAGTGTGTTTATTCTTACATGTTTAAACTTTAGTCACCCTCAAAGTGCTCTCCATTTGGTGCACTACACCAATTGGCATGTTTTTCCACTGCTCAGAACAGTTTTTGAGCTCATCGATTTTGATGCCTTTCGGTGCTTCTGCCGTTTTTTGTTTCCACTTCTTCCACATCCACAAAGTGTTTCCTTTTGAGGACTTTTTTCATTCAGGGAAACAAACAAGTTGCTCGGGACAAGATCAGGTGAACAGCGAGGGTGGGGCATGGGGCCCGTGCTGTTCTTGGTTAAAAACTGCTGAACACTCATCACGTTGTAGGCAGCTGCACTCATCATTCACCCATCGTGAAATGGGCAAACGCATTGAAAGGGTCTTCAAAAAAAAGTACTGTAGCCAAACGCAGCCTCTCACAACGTCAGCTGGCGCACTGATAGAGATGGGTTCCTAGAACATGCCCCTAAGGAAGGGAACCTGTCCTACAAGGGGCCCGCCCTCCAGAAGATAATTCAAGGTGTTTTTTTGGGGGGATGACCCCTCATACATGAAACCCTTAGTTAATACTAAAAATCAAAAACACATTTACATTATACATATCTGTATTTTAATTTTTATAGTGAAGAATTTCCTTAAGCTTTTAGTCCAGTAGTTCTCTGAACTTTCTTTCCCTGGAAAAAGTTGTTTATACCTTAGCATTTCTTGAATATACCTTTTGTTGGTAAACTCCCCACCATCCCAGCTTTTTTGCAAGTTACCATTATGAAGAAGGCAATATGTTTTTATTTCTGCCAATCAGGAAGCTTGTTGAGCTTTCCTTTCTTTGCCCACCATTGTGAAAAGAGATGGCTCTCCTCATTTTCTGCACGTGTAGTTACTGTATGTACAGTACCAAGCCACGTGTGTGTCTCCTCCCTGATTCTCACAGATGTAATGCGCCTCTCTTCTTCCCACAGTTGGAGCAAGCAGTGCTTAACTTGCTGATCAAGGGCTTGACAGAGCACTGCTGGGTTTCTTTTGGACAGACAAGGAAGCAAAACAGGATGAGGGGCGGGCACCGTGTGAGCAGCCAGGGTGTGGCTCCAGCCCTGCTGCCACCATTCTGACCTGCAGGGGCCACTGTTCCTGTACTGGCGGGTGGGCTCACAGGCTCTTCCAGCCTGACAAACTCAGAGCGGTTTGCTTAGTGGTTACTGGGTTAGTGGTTACTGCGAGCTCTCCTGAAGACCTCTGCAGAAGGCATCTCTTTGTGCTCACTCTGTTACGACAGAGAGATAGCACCACTCCTGCAGCCGACAAGGGTTCCTGGGTTTTCTAACAGAGAAAGTGAAGGGTGATTTAGATAGCACATGGGATTGTTTTGGGTCCTGGAGACTATAGGTGAAAGTGTAATAAAAACAATAAACCCCGTGCCCTTAGCTTTTTCTGTAGGATTAGAAACCAGCATGAATATTTTATTGTTTAGTCCGTATTTCCATCCAGCCTTTGCCCCTTTATGAAACCCAAACAAAGAGGTTTATTTTTTGCTTATTTAGTTTGTATCTCACCTTTGGTGTTAACAACTACAATCTAATAAAAAATATATGAAATTCAGAGGATTAAAAAGCCTGAGAAAGTTACTTAAATGCTTTCTTAGTTTAGTTGGACTTAATTCGCGCATTAGTGAAACAACCAGCTAAACAAAAGCAGTTCTTCAATGAGACTTTTATATCATTGGTTTACTTTTTTTTCAGTGGAAGTGTTTGATCTTGATTCTATTAAAATTATGTTGTAGCCCTGGCCGGGTGGTTCAGTTGGTTGGAGCGTTGTCCTGCACACCAAAAGGTTGCGGGCCTGATCCCTGGTCAGGGCGCATACGCAAAGCAGCTGACCAGCGTTTCTCACCTGGATGTCTCTTTCTCTCCCCCCCCCTTTCTAAAATCAATACATATATCCTCAGGCTTAAAAAATTACACTATATTCTAGTTGTATTAGATTTGTTGCATTCTAAATTTAGGTCAGTGCAGATTATTTTGTTCTGAGCCACATTGTCGTTGAGTCACTCAGTTTCTTAGACATATTTTTGAGCCTATTCGAAAATGTGCCATGTGGTTAAAGTGCCGTTTTATCATTTAAACTCTTTTTATTATACACTCAATTTCTAGGGTTATTGTTTTAAGTATATTTTAGGAATATTAGGTACTTACGATTTTGGGTAACTTTGTGTCCCGGGAAGGATTGTTCTTGCCCCCCTGACATGCTGTTTAGTGCAGGGGGCTTGGGAGAAACTGATGACTTTTAAATAAAGAGTAGCTTAATTTCGTACTTTGTTTTAAAGTAAGGAATTAAAACAAAACATATCTTCTTGCCTGCTTTTAAGAACAGTAACCGTAAAACCCCAAACAGCTGATCTTAAGTCTAATTAAACCTATGGATCTTGTCAGAAAAATACATGTACACGTTCAATTTTCGTAGAATTTCAAGGGTCCGGATCCATTGACAGATCCAGAAGTCCCAGTTCTTCAGTCAGTAAAAGGGAGAAGGTGAAAGGTCAGGGCTCAGGCACAAAAGAGACACCGTTGGGGGGATGTGCAGTTAAGACGTGCTTATCAGGTAGCTTTGAGTTCAGGGTGTGAACACTGACAGAGTGAAATCGGGCCGAGTTCTGAGTTGCAAGTGCAAATGAGGGATGTCCCCTTCTGTCCCATAAGAGATGAGTTTACATCAGGGGCTCTGTGCGACCAGCGCGGTAAGTTTGTGACTCCTATAGTTGTCATGACTCGCTTTTTCACATGTTAAGAAACATTATGTATTCTTGTATGTAACTGCTTTTTAAAAACTTCTAACATTTTTCTTTTAACAGTCGGCCAAATTACGTAAGCTGCCTCCCTTTCTTACTGTTTCATTATTAAGATTTAATTTTGATTTTGTGAAGTGTGAACGATACAAGGAAACTAGCCGTTACACATTCCCTCTCCGGATCAATCTCAAGCCTTTTTGTGAACAGGTTTGAACTCTTTCATTTTGAAATTCTTTGTTTTTCCACTCTCAAGATCGAGTTCTTAATGGACCTGGTTTCAGTTGGCCTACTGCAGAATCTCGGCCTTGGCACTGTGCTGTCCCCTGCACTGGGACGTGAAGCAGCTTTCCTGGCTTCTACCTGCTGGGTGACAGTAGCATGCTCCCCCTCCTCCCTAGTAGTGACAGAGTGTCTTTAGAGCGGCCAGATGTCCGTGTCTTCTTGGGGAAGGGGAGTGGGTAAACTCACTCCCAGCCAAGAACCACTGGTTTATCACAGTCCTCCTGAGTTTTAGAAGTGTGGATCTGTCTTCAGTTTTTGTTAAATCTCCTTGAAAATCTTTGTAATGAAAATTTAGGAGCAAAATTAGAGATAACCTTGCATTAGGAAAAGTTACCATTAATTGGTACTTTGCTATTTGAATTTAGTTTACTTGAGATACAATAATGAATTACACATCTAGAAAGTGAACAGGTTATTGGAATTTCACAACCCTGGGAGGTGTGATACTGAAGATACTGGCAAGAACAAACTGGAAAACTAATTAATTACATACCAACCTACTTTTTAAGCCATTTAAAAATATTTTCTAGCCCTGGCTGGTGTAGCTTAGTGGATTGAGCGCCGGCTGGGAACCAAAGGGTCACTAGTTCGATTCCCAGTCAGGGCACATGCCTGGGTTGCGGGCCAGGTCCCCAGTAGGGGGCACGCAAGAGGCAGCCACACATTGATGTTTCTCTCCCTCTCTTTTCTCCTTCCCTTCCCTTCTCTCTAAAAATAAATAAACAAAACAACAACACTTTAAAACAACAACAACAAATTATTTTCCGTATAATTACTACACATACCAGGATTACAATGATGAGACTGGTGTTTTTCTTATTATAAATCATTCCTTATGTGTTTATTAATATCAGAGCATTTATTAGCTAGCTATTGAATATCTTTATATAAAAGTACTGTTTTTAAAAATAACCTTAAATTTAAATGGGCCTTCCTCTACTTCAGTCCTAATGACTGAGCTTTTTGGATATTGTTTCTTTATATTAAATACCATTCAAAGGTTGTAATTTGGTTTTGGCCCTAAGCTTGTTATTGGCACACATGGAACAGATAGTTTTTCCAGAGTGAGTCAATCCTCCCTCTGTTTACTGAAAAACATTTTTTAGGGTAATTGCGCTGTTTTTCCCAGTGAGGAGTATTTGGCACACCTCACTGGTGGAGTTTGAGATGGGCAGCAGGAGGGCTCGGCTCCTGTGTGCTGGGAGACAGTCACTGCAGGGGTTCTGTGAGCCCCGCCCCCGTCTTCGGGGAGCCTGTAGTTGCTGCATGAAGGGCAGTGTGCCCGATGGCTGTAGCGTCCTGTGGAGTAACAAAACTGAAACTCGCAGAGCATTGAGCACTCCTCTGAGAAACTCACAAATGATACTTCTTTTCGATATCTGTATGAGGAAATGAAAAATGTATCATTCGATACCTGTATGAGGATACATTAATGAAAAATGTGTCATTTCACATCTTCATTTATATCTCTGTCTTTTGCCTGAACCAGACATTTTTTTTAAATGCTGCTTGTTCTAAAAGTACAATTTTTTAAGCAAATAAGATCCTTAAATAACTTTCATCCCTCCAAGTAACACCTTAACCTAAAGTAGATTTTTCTTTTAAATGCCAATATAGGTGTTCATCTGTTGGGTCAGTCATAATTATAGAACATGTTAATTATAGAAAAACTTGATCATAGAATTAAGAAATCAAGAAAAAAACTTTTTATTCCACTAAACTGCTTCTAAACAAAACCAGATAGTATTCATGATTTTTAAGTTCCTCTAGGGTACAGAGGACTAGCATGTCAGGGAGCTGTGACAAATAGCAGGTGTGGCTTTGACTTTGAGACAGGTGACGAATCTAGTTGGTATATAGGAAAAATTCAACAGCTAAAGAGCACATTTATAAAGCAGCAAAATAGGTATCATACAAAGATAAGTAGGCTGACACTTACAGACTCACCAACAGTCGGCTGGGCTTTGTTACCTCAGTGGCTTCCATTATCCCAGCCAAAGTTTGTAAAAATGGCTTCTCGTTTGGGCGTATGTTTTCATATTTAACTACGACGCAGCATTTGGTTGGTGTAGTGTGTTTAGTGTTGGATCAATGCTAAGACAATTTTCTATCTAAGAATTAAGAACTTTAAAATTTAAAGTCAGTTATTCAAATTTATCTTAATTTACCCTTAAGTAACAAAAATAAACAGTGAAGTTTTTATTAATTTCAGTAGTTAAAGTTCTTTTTAACTGTATGGTTATGTATCTTCCAGTTTGTGTAAGCCACATCAGTGACGTGTTCCCTTCTCTCACAGAGTGACCTGGACGACTTGGAGTGCACGTACGACCTCTTCTCGGTCATCATACACAAGGGTGGCTGCTATGGAGGCCATTACCATGTGTATATTAAAGATGTCGATCACTTGGGGAACTGGCAGTTTCACGTGAGCACAGACATTGGTTTAGAAGTATCTTTGAATTTTTTTCCTTTCCGTGTAATCTTTTGCCATTTATTATATATTCACTCTGTAGAATATTGTTATAGGCACTGAAAGTTAGTATAGGTAAAAATTAAAAATTTTTATTTCTAGATAATTTCACACTTACCGAAACATAACCAGCGTAGGACAAACACCTCCTGTATACTCCTCACCTAGATTCTCCAGTTGTTAACATTTTGCCACATTGTGCAAGTATACAGTTTTTGTAAACACACACACACAGTTAACATTTTTAGAGCTGAACCATTTGAAATTAGTTTTACCCCTGAATACTCCAGTGCTTACCTTGTGAAAGCAAGGATGTTCCCTTACATCAGTGGAGGTCAGAATCAGGAACTTCAGCATTGATAGAGCGGCGGCATCCAACATACAACTCATATCTGGGTCGCACCGGGTGTCTGACCCAGACCCCGTGTAGCACGCGGTCTTCCCCACCGGAGTGCGGCTCATGCCACATTCAGCTTGCGTATTGCCTAAGTCTCTTTAATAAGGAGTCGCTCCTTCACTTTTCTGTTGTCTTTCATGGCACCAACCAAAAACAATGGAGCTTTTCCTCCCATGTTATCTCCTAAAAGTTTGATGGGGGGGGGGTGTTTTGTTTTTATCTTTATTTATTTTAATTTTCTATTTTTTAATCTATTAGGGTGACACTGGTTAATAAAATTATATAGGTTCCAGATGTACATTTCTGTAATATATCATCTGTACATTGGGTTCTGTGTTCACCACCCCAAGTTAAAAATTTCCTTTTCATTTACATTGAAAATGTCACTCTTCCTGGAGTGGTTTCCTCTGAGGACACCATTGGTGTGAGGGTTTTTTTCCCATTTAAAATGTGCCCACCTGCCCATCACCATTAGTGAGTAACCCACTGTTTACCCCCAGTTTACAGTGCCAGCGCTGTTATACCAGTCGTGTATTTATGTGCGAGTCCACTTCTGGGTTCTCTTTTCAGCTGCATTGTTCTTCTTCTCTGTTCCCAGGCGGGTACCGCAATGTTAGCTCGTGGCTGTGAGAGAGTCACAGTCTGGCCGGTCAGGCTCTCGCCGTGGGCGGCCCTTCTGCAGGGGTGTCGGGCCGTGCAGCGTGTCCGGGCTTCGGGGCGTTTCTGGAGTCAGCGGCGTGTCAGTACTCTCAGTGCTCTCTCGCGCGCGTGCTTAGTGCAGTTGTTCATATACATGTGAAAACAGTGTGTGTTTTTATTTTTTAGATCTTTTTCAAATATTTTTTGAAAAAGTTTTGTAATATTCTCAAGAAAAGAACTTGCAGATATTTGGAAGAAAAGCCTGGACTGAGAATCCAGTTCCAATTATTGGCAATGGGAAAAATTGTCATGTATTACCCACCAACCCTAAACTTTTAGCCAGTTTTTAAAATGGAACTGAAACACAGGAAAATGTCAAAACCTAAGCTACAAACCATTATGTTAGGGTGTCGAATAATTAAAGCATGTCTTCCTGACTGTCAGATGGTTAATAGTGTTGTTAATGAACAGCTGCTGCTGAGCGCGCAGTAATTGGGCTTCTCTTGGTGCCGAGCATCTTCAAGATGCACGTGCCTTTTCCTGACTTTCAGTTTGCTTTTCACAACCTCTGTATTTCTGGTGCTCTGTTGTTATTCATGGAACGTATTGAGAGATGTATATGATATCTCTTAGAGATTTTCCTGTTTTTCTTTTTTTTTTTTTAAGACTTTATTTTTAGACAGAGGAAGGGAGGAAAAAAGAGAGGGAAACATCACTGTGCGGTTGCCTGTCACATGCCCCCTACTGGGGAGCTGGCCTGCAACCCAGGCATGTGCCCTGACTGGGACTTGAACTGCGACCCTTGGGTTCATAGGCCATTGCTCAATCCACCGAGCCATGCCAGCCAGGGCAGTTTTACATAGATTGGATATTTAAAAAGCCAAACTGTTTTATTAGGAAAATGTTTACCAGGGTGATGTTCTGTGTGGCTAGATCTGTACTTTGTGTTTTTTAGACTGTTTTTGGCTGGCATATTGAAATGTAGTTATCTCTAGCATATTGATTTTGTAACCAGTCATCTTGCTAAACCCCATTATGTTATAGATATCTTTGGAAAAAGACAATATTGTTTCACCTCTTCCCATCCTTTAATGTCTATTTCTTTTATTGCTAGATGTCCAGTTCTGGGTTAAGAAAGCTGTACAAGCACCACTCTCAGAGGCGTGTGCGGCATCTGCCAAGACACCAGTGTGTCGGGCACGTTCCCCGTCAGATGGGGGGAGGCTCTTACCCCTCTCTGGTCTAACGTGGCCCTTGGTGTTTCTATGCTTAGTTCAGGCTGATCTTCTTGTGCACCTGCCTTCCCTCTGCTGTCCTGCACTTCCCCACGGGACCCTTCCCGTAGCAGTGTTCTCACTCCATAGAGCACTCTCTCCCACCTTCCCCATTATATTGGCTTTGTTTCATTCTGTCTGAAAGATGAACTTGAAGCCTCCCGTTACATTCTGATAGAAGCTCGTGAACTGGTCTGATGTTTATCTTCTGTCTGCCGTGCCCACTGTAGTTAGGTCTCCATCTGCTGTCACCTTTTTTCCAGTGCTGCCCGTCTGCAGTCTTAGAAAGGGCTCCCTGCCTCTACCAGTTCAGCCTCCACCTCCGGGCATGTGTATGTTTCCCTCAGTGTCTGCTGTGGCTTTTCCTCAGCCAGGGTCACATGTCAGGCACTTTTCTAGCTGGAGGGACTTATCCTCAGTCTTTCAATGCATAAAATATGTATTTGCAGTTTCATTTTCAAATTTTCTGTTGTGCACAGAGGTAGCTTCACACCATGGTGAGTCAGCAGGTCTCAAGAGTCCTGTCTTCCTCTGGGCTGTGCTTCCTTGGACATCTCTGCAGTTCCGTGGTGCCCTCTTCAGCCTTGAGTGGCCGGGCCCGGCTCTCCTCCTGGTCGTGTTACGGGACTCGGGAGGGCATGCGGGCATTCTTGCACTTGGTTCTGCCCTCTGCACTGCTCTTTTGTTCTTGAAGCCTGTTACTCCCACTTGCTCTTCCTTAGGCCTCAGAGAACAAGCAGAAGATTGCTTTCCTTTTGTGTTTAGTGTATTTCCTTATTTGTGGCTTCTAAGGAAGCATCCCATTTGTTACCTCTTTCCTTATTTGTTCTTTAACAGTCACTAGTTTTTCATCCAGAGCTGTGTGGTGTTCAACAGTGATTAGTGCCCCTGGACACTGTGCGTCTCTTACTGCCAGAATCCTGAGATCTCAGGAATCCACAGATCTCACTGAGAGATCTCTGTGCCTGGAGACAACTGGCTCTGGGTGTTCTTATCATAGCCAGGTGTTGTCCTCTCTGCTCTTAGTTGGGCAGTTTCTTCCTGTCAAGGAGTGATTTCCTGCATTTGTGGAGTTCTCTAGTCAGGGCCGTCTGGCAACCATCCTCTCGTGAGTCCCCTGGTAATGTCGGCGCTTCAGTCTCTCCAAGAGCCTGATCCGCACCTTCCGCTTTCTTCACTGATGGTCACCTCACTTCCGTACTGTCTCGTACATTGAGGAAGTGAGACCGAGAAGGTGCCACTGCGGCACCAGCCTGTCCCCACAAGACCAAGGTTGGACACTCGAAGAGCGGAGGAGGACTGAGCCCAGCCTGTGGGTCCCCTGCACCAGCGTGTCCAATACTGGGCAATGCCAGCCTGCCTTTCCCTGCCTTCCTTGTGGGGGAAGGGAAAATCTCTTGTTCCTTAGTCATAAATGTCTTTAAACATATTAAACATGCTTTTTTTATTATATTCTGTGTTTGATAACTGCAGCATCTAAAGACTTTATGTATCTGATTTGGATATCTGCTGATTCTGTTTCTTTGTGATTTTATAATTTTAGACTATAAGCTTGCTGGGTTGGTTGGTTGATTTTTTTTTTAAGAACATGATTTACACAAGTAATGCGAAGCCTTTGTTGAGAGCATTGTCCTCCAGGAAAGGTATGTGTTTGTCTCTACTCCATGCCTACCACTTCCAACCCATCACAACTTTAAAATAGGGTCTTGACTCAGTGGTTTCAGATCCTTGCAGCTAGTGTGAATTTGGACACCTGACCCACATGGGGACCTCCTTGTGATGATAAATTATTGGAGGAAATGATTTTCCGCCTTCATGGTCAAAGCAAACTGGTTTCTGGTGGTCATTTGTGGGGTGGGTTTTTTCTAGTTCATGCTTTTACTGGGAGCGTGGCCCTTTCAGGTTTTCAGCATTTTGCTGAAGCCTCTCTCTATGGTATAATAAAAATATATTATTTTTCCTTTTTCCCAGGCATGTGGCATGGAGCGCCTTGGAATTTGTTGAGTGATAGGCGTATCTTTTGTTGTCCATGATGAACTCTTTTCAACCTTACCTGACTTTGTGCTAAGGAGGCGACTCTTAGTAGGGACCTAGATAGCTCCAGGGGGAGGGCTGGTCACTAGAGGACCCGACCCCATGGTGAGAGGGTTGGCAGTTTCAGCACCGCCCCCGACCTGGGAGGGGAGAGAGGCTGGAGGCGCTGTCACTGAGAGCCAGTGATGTAGCTGGTCATGTCTGCAGAGTGAGACTTGGGTAAAAACTCTGAAATAAGGAGACAAGGGAGCTGCCAGGTTGGTGAACACATCTGTGTGCAGAGGGTGGCCACACGGACCCCACGGGGACAGAGCCTTCTGCACTCAGGATCCTTCTCAACCTCCCTTAGGGACTTCTTCATCTCGGTGTTCATGTGTGGCCTCTGTAATAGGCTGGTCCGTGGCCTGCTAGGACCCGGGCTGCACAGCAGGAGGGGAGCAGGGGACTGAGCAAAGCTTTGCTCGAATGGTCCTAAGTATAAGTTCCTGGTTTCTGGACTGCCTCAGGAAATTATCAGACCTGAAGTGTGGGGATTCTAGGAACCCTGGAATTTTTAATCAGCCAGGCAGAAGTGCGGACAGCCTGGGGACCCCGTCTGTGGCTGCTGAGTGGAGGCAGTCCCATGGGACCTAGTGAAGCTTGGGCACGAAGTGCGCTGAGTTGTAGGACACCCCCGTGGTGTCAGGGAATTGGGAGAATTGGTTTGGAAAATCAGGCATGCAACTCCCTACTGCAGGCAGGTCTTTGGGCTTTTTCTCCCAAACCCTGCCCTGTATGAGCGCAAGGGGGGAGCTCCAGCCCAGCATGGCTGGGCAGATGGAGGCCTCAGCTCTGGAGTTCCTCCCTCGGTTCCCACTTCTCTTGTTCGCTGAGGGTTTTCCTGACCAGCTCAGCATGTGTTTAAAAAGATCTTTTTGGGTTTTTTTTTTAATGTTTTACTTTATCTAGCATTTTTAGTAATTTTATAGCAGAATGGTTGTATTTAATCTGCCATATTCTACTATTTACCCATTAGTTTTGCCTTGTGTTAATTGTTTAGGTCTATTTGAATATATGGTTTTAAGCCCATTTAAAGTACTTTTGCAAGATGGCATATGTGAAAAATAAGTCAGTAAAAAATACTGTGTCAGGAATTTAAACATGTTCCCAAATAACTTTATAGACTGGAGCAAAAACTTGGATGATCAGGAAATGGAAGGGAGTATTTAAACTGAGTTCACAAAGATGGGTAGGATTTTTATTAGGCCAACACAAGAGGATGAATTGGATGAAGACCAGAAAATATTCTAACTCTGTGATATTGAGAGCACAGCACATCCGAATTTGTAGAACGCAGATGACATAGTGCTGAGCGGGACAGTGCCGCGACTCGCTGTCTGGGTAGGCAGCTTCCCTGACGGCGCCCTCTCGATTTACGGAGGAGGCCAGAGAAGTTAAAACGGCTTGCCCAGGATGATGCAGCCAAGCTGGAATTCAAAGCCATGGGCAGATTATGTTGTTTTTATCGTTATTTCTCCATCTTGGAACCTCCGTAGCATAAACACTTCTATTTTGTTAATTCCTTTTAAGGGATTGGTGATAGAAAGCTTTTAACAATTTTTATTTTTTCAATTTCAATTTACATTCAGTATCATTGTCCATTAGTTTCAGGTATGTCGTGTGGCGCTTAGTCACACACTTTACCACATGGTGCCCCCGTGATAGAAACTTTTTTGTTTTCTTTCCTAGAAGGAAAAAAGTAAACCGGGAGTGAATCTGGAAGAGCATCAGAATGAAGAGGAGATTGATGACCCGCTGAGGATTCTGAAAGCGGTCTTGTCCCAGGTAGAGAGCGTGTTTACGTTTGTGTGGCTGCGTGCGTCAGAGACGTGGGAAGGAGATCGATTTGGTAGATCTGATGCCCTCTTTTTCTTTTGGACATTATGTCTATCTTTAAACATTTTTTTAATTGGAAATTTTCAAGTTCTAAAGAAATAGGTGTTCATGGTAGAAAACTTGAGAGAGAAAAGAACTAGAAAATATATAAAGAAAATGAAAAGTATAAATAAACCAAATGCTCAAGTCATTGTTAATACTTTGACATATTCTTTGCATTCTGTTTTCTTTCTGTTTATACACATGTATTGGAATTGGGTTATGGGTTCTTCAATATTGTTATTGTCATCTTAAATAGAATTGGAATTTACTTTACATACTATTTTACAATCTACTGTTTCTTACAGTGTCCTTTAATTTAATGCCTTGTAGGGCCTGCAGTTATGCTTCCTTTCTCATTCCTAATATTGGTAATACATCATCTAGATGACTTTTAACGTTTGCTTAGTACCCTGTTGTAATGATGGTAGGTCTCCTTTTATTTATTCATTCATTCTTAATAAGTAGATTTTTATAATTCTTTGCTGGGGATGTAGGCTGACTCCTTTAACTACAATAATATTGGTCTGTGGTCACTGTGTTAGTCCACTAGGATTGTCATAACAAAATACCACAGAGTGGGTGGCTCGAAGCAACAGAAATTCGTTCCTCGCAGTTCGTGAGGCTGGGAGTCCAAGATCAGGGTGTCAGCAGGTTTGGTTTCTTCTGAGGCCCCTCTCCTTGACCTGTGGAGGGCTGCCTTCGGCTGGTGTCCTCACAGGCCCTTACTCGGTGCACACCAGTCAGACTGCGTTAGGGCCACCCCAATAGCCTCACTAACTTCTTTACAGGCCCGACCCAAAAACAGTCGCAGCTGGAGTTTAGAGGGTCAGGGATTCAACATAGCAATTTTGGTGGAAGCGTCGCTTTCTACCCTGTATTGCAGGCATCCCCAGGCCACTGACTGGTCTGTGGGGCTGCACAGTGGCGGGTGAGCAGTGGGAGAGCACAGCTTCGCCGAATTGCTGTCTGAGCTCTGTCTCCAGCGTCCAACCCCTGCCCCCACTTGTCCGTGGAAAAATTGTCTTCCACGGAACTGGTCCTGGTGCCAAAAAAGTTGGGAACCACTGCTTGTAATGGTCAGTTTTTACCCCCTGTTAGAACTTGTTTATACTCTGAAACATATGGGAAAGACATTAATAATTCTTTTTAGCACTTAAATATTTCTTCTAAAAATCCCACATAATGTCAGAAATCTACTAAACCTTAGAATATTCTTTGGATCTTCTTCTTTAAATATTTAAGCTTTGGCACATGGAAAGTAGAAAAATTCAGGTTCTTTAAACTGGTGCTTAATCTACCGTCAAACGTTTTTTTTTTTATTTTGAAGTAATTATGGCTAATCCACTTACATGTTTACTGTCAGATATAATCCTGCTGGTTCCTTCGAACCCAGTAGTGTTGCCATTATATCTCACCAGATTTCCTCCCTTCATTTATCTTTTTACAAGTTTTATTTAAGATTTTATTTATTTATTTTTAGAGAAAGGGTAAGAGAGGGAGAAAGAGAGGAAGAGATCCATCAACATGTGGTTGCTTCTCACACGCCCCCTCCTGGAGACCTGGCCAACAACCCAGGCACATGCCCTTGACTGGGAATCGAACCAGCAACCTTTTGGTTTACAGGCTGGCGCTCAGTCCACTGAGCCACACCAGCCAGGGCTCATCAGGTTTTCTTAAATTATTTTGTGTTTCTTGCATAAGGAGGCGAATAATCTAATTCCTGTTGATCAGCTTGGCCAGAAACTTTTGAAAAAGATAGGAATATCTTGGAACAAGAAGTACAGAAAACAGTATGGACCACTACGAAAGGTAATACATGATATTTTCTTTCTTTTTTTTTTCTTTAAATCTTCACCTGACGATATAGTCATTGATGAGAGAAAGAGAGAGAAACATCAGTGTGAGAGAGAAACTTTGATTGGTTTCCTCGCATATGTACCCCAACTGGGGACCAAACCCACAGCCTAGGTGTGTGTCCTGGCCGGGAATTGAACCCAGGACCTTTTGATGTACAGGACAACATTGCAGCCACTGAGGCACAGCAGCCAGGGCAATGACATTCTCATGTAAAGTCCTTTCCCAAAAAATGTTGAGTATGAGCTGAGCAACAGGAATTCCTATGCAGAAGGAAATTTAAATTAAGTGAAAATAAGGCCAATATTTGTGTTTAATGGTTAGTATTCAGTTAAGTTACTTATTAAGTATTGTATTAAGTGATTTATTGTAGAATCAAGAAATAAGCAGAAGATGGAAGGGGCTTTTAATCACAACAGCAAAAATTTCACAAAGTTTATAACCTAAAACTTATTTTACATATAGAAACATCTTCAGGTATTCACCCAAATTTTCCTTGATCTTTCTTTTATGTGCAGTTCTGAGAAATGGTACTGCCAGAAATAAGAGATAACTCAATTGAAAACAAGCAAAGCAACAGAACACAGTAAATATTTTGGTGCTGTTTCTTATAGGAGCAAGGGCGTACACATTGCAATTAGATGTGTTTAAGTACAGCTTCTAATTAGATCACAGTTCATAAATAAATGTTAGTTCATAGAAGGTTTTAAGGTTTCATTTAAAATGATTGGGTCACTATTTCAGTATTTATTTTTAAGTATATTAGCTATGTAGGGATTTTTTTTAACTATAAATACTTTTATAAGTTTAAGTTAGCTTTTATTCATACTTGACTGAAGTTTCATCTTACTGTTAGATTTTTATCAAATGCTGTTTGTTTTGTATCTGTTGATATGATCACATGGTCTCTTTTATTCTGTTAATATGGTGAATTCTATTAACTGATTGTTTTAATTTAAATCAAATCTTACATTTCTGGGTTAAGTCACTTGTTTATGATATATTTTATGTGTTGCTATGTTCATTTGGCTCATATTAAGGACATTTGTACCTATGTTTATAAGAAATATTCATCTTTAGTTTTGTAACGCATGTCAGATTTTAGCATCAGTTTATGCAGGACTCATAAAACAAGTTGGGAAATATTTTCCTCTTTTATATTCTTGAAAAGAACTTAGCTAAGATTGATTGTTATTTCTTAACTGTTTGGTGAAGCTGATTAGACCTGGGACATTTTTTGTAGTATGGATATTTAAATTATATTTTTATTATCCTTGATTGTAGAGTTACTTAAGTTTTCTACTACTTGTCACAGTATATATTTTAAAAGGAATTTGTCTTTTTATCTATAGTGTCAAATTTATTGGCATAAAATTATTCAAAACATCTCACATTACTTTTTAGTGTCTGTAGGACCTGAAGTTATTTCCTTTTTCATACCTGATATTAGTGACTTGTGTTTTCTCACTTTTCTAAAAAATCAATCTTGCTAGGGGCTCATCAAGTGTATTACACTTTTCCAGAAACAAATTTTTGCCTTTGATTATCTCTGTTGCTCATCTGTTTTCTGTATCACTGACTTCTTTTTAATTATTCCTCCCTTTTACCTCTGAGATTTAACTTAATCATCTTTTTTTCTAGCTTCTTGAGTTGGTATCTCAGTTGTTCTTAACCCTTTTATTTTATTTTATTTTTTTAATTTTAGAAAGGGGGAAGGGAGGAAGAAAGAGAGGGCGGAAAGAATGCTGTGAGAGAAGTATTGATTGGGTGCCTTCCATACCCACAGGGGACCAACTCCACCATTCTGGCATGTGCCTTGTTTGGGATCAAATCGGCAACCTTTTCGTTTGTGGGACGATACTCCAGCCAACTGAGCCACACCGGCTAGGGCTTGTTTTTAACCTTTAAATACATGCTTTTTTTTTTTTTTTTACTATTGATGGCATTTTATTTTTTTATTTTTTTAATATATTTTATTGATTATGCCATTACAGTTGTTCTATTCCCCCCCTTCATTCCCCTCCACACCCCCTCCCCCACCATTCCCCCCTTTAGTTTATGACCACGTGTCTCAAGTCCTTTAGATTCTATATTTCCCCTACTATTCTTGCCCTCCCCCTATCTACTTTCTACCTACCATCTATGCTACTTATTCTCTGTACCTTCTCCCCCCTTCTCCTCCTCCCACTCCCCTGTTACTAACCCTCCATGTGATCTTCATTTCTAAGGTTCCACTCCTGATCTAGCTGTCCTCTTAGTTTGCTTTTGTTTTAGGTGTGGTTGTTAATAACTGTGAGTTTGCTGTCCTTGCACTGTTCATCTTTTTTATCTTCTTTTTCTTAGATAAGTCCCTTTACTATTTCATATAATAAGGGCTTGGTGATGTTGAACTTCTTCAATTTGATCTTATCTGAGAAGCACTTTATCTGCCCTTCCATTCTAAATGAAAGCTTTGCTGGGTAGAGCAATCTTGGATGTAGGTCTTTGGATTTCATGACTTGGAATTTGTCTTTCCAGCCCCTTCTTGCCTGTAAGGTCTCTTTGGAGAAATCAGCTGACAGTCTGGTGGGAGCTCCTTTGTAGGTGACTGTCTCCTTTTCTCTTGCTGCTTCTAGGATTCTCTCCTTGATTTTAACCATGGCTAATGTAATGATGATGTGCCTTGGTGTGTTCCTTCTTGGGTCCACCTTCTTTGGGACTCTCTGAGCTTCCTGGATTTCCTGGAAGTCTATTGCCGCTGCCAGATTGGGGAAGTTCTCCTTTATTATTTGTTCAAATAAGTTTTCCACTCGTGGCTGTTCCTCTCCACCTTCTGGTACCCCTATAATTCGGATGTTGGAGCGTTTAAAAATGTCCTGAAGGTTCCTAAGCCTCTGCTCCTTTTTTTGAATTCTTGTTTCTTCATCCTTTTCTGGTTGGTCGTTTTTTTCCTCCTTCTGGTCCACTCCTTTGATTTGAGTCCCAGTTTTTTTTCTATTACTATTGGTTTCCTGTGTATTTCCCTTCATTTCAATTAGTTTAGCCTTCATATCTTCCTCTAATTTGTGACTAAAATCAACCAGTTCTGTGAGTATCCTGATCACCTGTGTTTTGAACTGTGCATCTGATAGGTTGGCTATTTCTTGGTCGCTTAGAGTTATTGGCTCTGGGGCTTTGAGTTGTTCTTGAGCCATAATGTTTTGGTCTGTTTGTGCCTGTTGTATGAGGGGCGGAGCCTTAGGTGTTCACCAGGGCGGGGCAATTCAGTCGCTAGGTTGTGACGCTGTATGTGGGGGTGGGGTCAAAGAGGGGCAATGGCAGTCCCCTCTACTGCTTCCCGCGGCTGGGGCCTGCACGGTCAGTCTCACTGCTCGCTCCTTCGCCTGGTTTATCTGTGTGCGAATGTGTGACCATGGTCAGCCTGCTGCCTTGTGCCCTCACTGGGTCTGCCCTTCGCAACCCCACACCTGGGATCTGCCAACCACTGCCCGTGCACGCACCTGGGTCGAGTTTTCCTGCGCACCCCGCTCCCCAGACGCTGGCTCCACCCCTCTTACCAGTCTGGCTGAATGGTTCGTTGTTGTCGGACTTTCGGATAGTTCAATTTTCTGTGTTTTGGTTGCATTTTTGTTACTAAAACTTTGTTGTCTTTAAACTTGGTTGTGCAAGGAGGCACAGTGTTTCCACCTACGCCTCCATCTTGGCCCTAAATACGTGCTTTTTTATGTGTGTGAAGTAATGTTTATTGATATGTTCAATATTATATGCAATGTGGAATATTCAAAATAAAACACATGATATAAATGTCATTGCTACAGTTACAGTAATTCTTGTTTTCATTAAAGTGTGTTGATAAAATTTTTATGAAAGTTGTGTTCTTGATCAGTGCTCAGGAAGAGTAGATGGTGCGGATTGGGGGTGGATGGCGATGGTACCAGGAGAACCCAGGAAGCCGGGTCTGCACATCTGGCACTTACTCAGTGACCTGCCTTTTGTTTCCCATCATGTAGTACTCTGTGCAGACCCCGCGAAGCTAAAGGAATATAGACTCCTTAGTCATCCATCAGGTGCAGTACTTTAAGGCCTGTCTTCATTTCTGGGTTTTACACACAAAGCAAATTGAGTTGGGGAGAACACCTTCGCGAAGAACAGAGCTTTATATTCTTAAGAAAAGTAGGCTTCACCTGTGGTTCGACCTCTCAACTCAGGCTTTAGAACAGTGGGTGTTCGTGGTTCAGCACATACCCTTAAAGCTTTACATTTCCTTCTGATCATTAATTTAGCTGCGGCTAGATTTGAGGTTTTCATTATCATTTAATTCAAAATATTTTGTGATTTCCTTGTGATTCTTTCCTTTACCCATGAGTATTGGAAGTGTTGCTTAATTTCCAAATATTTGGGGATGCCTAGTATTCTTGGTTATATGTGTAAGTCAATTTCTAATTAATTCCTTTATGCTTTGAGGGTATGCTCTTTATGATTTTCGTTCTTTTGAATTTACTGAGACTTTGCTTAAACTCTCATCTGCTATACACTAATACAAACTGCAAAATGGTGTGTAATGGAGAACTCACCTACTTTGCCTCTCTGTTTGGAAGGACTGTGTTTCTTCCACATTGTGCCTGCTTTTGGCTGCTCTGCCGACAGTTGTTCTCATTATTTTGCTTAGAGTTTATTGGGTTTTTTATTAGGAAGGTGAGTTCAGGGAAAGTTTTCTGCCACTGCTGGGGGCAAATGGCACTGGTGTTCAAGGCTGAAGAGTCCTCAGCCGCCACCCGTAGAACAGACCACAGACTGGCCATTCAGAAAGGGCGCCACTCACTCAGCCTTTTCAAGTCGTTGGGTTTTTACTGTTCCTGAAACAAGTAGCTATTTTACTGTCTGTTATACACAGTGTTAACAATGTTGTCTTTATGCCGCATGCCCTATGCCCTTCTTATTAGTGATAGAATCATACTTCAGATTAGAGACCTGGCATTGCCACAGATTCTTTCTTTCCAAGAGAAATGTTCACCTTTTCATAATAATTGATGAGCTCAGCAAATGTCACGTGGACCTGCCTAGTGATGTCCTATATAAAGTAACTTTGTGCTGAGTGAAGGGGGGAGATGCAAGGCCGCACGGAGATGACGGAACGAGGCGAGGAGAAGAGAGGAGGGAGAGATGGGAGAGGCGGTGGGCAGAGGACATGGTTCCTCTCCCTGTACTTTAGCAGCAGAACCTGAGGAGTGGCCTTGGGGAGTATGACTTAGGCCTCTTCAGCCTTCCTATGCCCTGGTTTCCTGAGCTAGCCTGTCAGCTTCCAGGATGGAAAACATGGAATTTAGTTGATGTTAAACAATAATTTAGGCTTATAATTACTAGTTTATCCCGGCAGAGTTGATCTGAGTCACTGGTTTTGGGATTACCCTCCCCAGGACGTGACTGTGTGGTTGCCTTTGCTTTGTGCTTCGTTTAGATCGCTTTAAAATGTTCAAGCCTTGGTTCTACCTAATCTGTTTCTGTGAACACTTTGTAGGACTGTTATTAGGGTGCAATGAAAATGTTTTTTAGGATGTGGCATGATAACTTTCTTGGTATAACTATTAGACCATTTCACAGAGAACTCACTGATTTTTATTAAATGTTGCATTATGGTCCAAATGGCTTTTTTCCCTCCTAGCTGTCCAGGCCAAAAATAAAGGTGAAGCTAAAATGTCTGGTAACAGAAAGGAAGATGAAGAGATTTTTTAATCATTTCTAATTAAAAAAATCTTTTTGTTAACCTAGTATTTGTTTTTTGTCTCTGCCTAGTTCGTACAGCTTCATCCTCAGGTGTTTCTGCTCAGTTCGGGTGAAAGCGCAGTCGGTCTGCTGAACTGCTCTCCGGAGGCGGAGGCAGACTCCCTGAGAAAGGACCAGCACACTGTCCAGACACTCACTTCAGACTCCGCAGGATTAGATGGTAGAACCTCTCGTCCGCACTGGTTTGATATAAATGATTCCAAGGTCCAACCCATTGAGGAAAAGGCTATTGAGCAGCAATTTCAGGGCAAGGAGAGTGCCTACATGCTGTTTTACCGGCAGTCCCAGCTGCAGAGACCTGCTGAAGGTACGGAGAGGAGTGTGCCTGCTGCTTTAAGTTGATGTCTTTAGAAGATACATACCATTTGCATTGTTACCCTTTCAAAAGGAGGTTTACTCTTGGGACATTTAAAAAGTATGTTTATACATAACAGTAAGAATATATGATACCAAAAGAAATTCAATAGTCATTTTTTAAGATCATATATTTCTATTTAATTTTTTTCCTCTAATAATATGAGGCCATAGTCAGATTTTGAAAATTGGATTTTCTTGGATCACACACTGTGGGCGAATGGATCTGACTGTGTGGGCAGACCTGAGGGTGATGGCCCACCCTCAGGCTTGGCCCTGTCATTTGGTCATGTGATACCTGTAAGTTGTGAGCAGCCTTGGTCTTATTTTCATGTTGTCCCTTTTATTTTCATTTCCGGTTTCCTCTCCTTCCACAGGTAATGTGTTCTCTGAGCAGTTGAAATATCTTTGAAACACTCTTTGTTGAACCTCTAAGAGAGCTCATACCGAGGAAGTTAAACACTGAGACCAACAATGTCACCTGTTTAACTGAGGCCACTGTCATGAGTCGGTCTGGGAGACTCTGATCACTTCCCAAGTCCACTTGGAAGTGGAAACTCCTAACTTGGAAAGCTTCTTAGATCGAGACATATCTGTGATTAGAGATGCAGATGCTGTCGTCAGAGAATGGGAAGAGCGGTCATTTTTATAAAGAACAAGAAAGAGTAAAGCAGTTAATACTGTGTGTGTCCATCAAAGAAGATTAACTTTCTGGATCTGAATGGTTGCATAACTATTCTGTTAACCAGGAAGGGCTTTGTATTTTTCTAAGGGGGAAAAAGATGTGGCAGTGGTCCTGATAAATATATTGTGGAGCAGAGTTCACAGTTGTAAACTGTGTATTAACAGAAAAAAGAATGTCTTCAGATAGACTATTGTCTTTTTCACTAAATTGAATTTCAGTGTGTACATAATTGGAATATATACTAAATGACAGTTTTCTAATTAGCTTGGGAATTGAATAAAGGTCCAGCCAAGATTTTGATGGACTTTTTGGGAGGATGAAGGAATGGAACTTGGCAAGTGACTCGAAACATTACATAGGGAGGCGAACTGATGGAAAGTGAAGAAGGGACTACTGAACGAGGCCGCTCCCTCAGGGAAACGCACTCGTGAAGCTGTAACTATCCCAATTACTATCTTTAATTATACTCCTCCGTTGAATGAAATTGTAGCCCTTTTAATGTTTATGTAAAAAAAACCCTTAAGATATATAAATATTTGTCTGGTCTTAAGATAAAGAAGGCCTTTCTAAGCTTAAAAGTAAAGGAAGAAAAAATGATGTAAACCTTAATATTAAGAAACAGATGATAAGCTAGTGGAAAATAGCAAAATATAAGACAAGTATAATTCCCCTCTTGTAGAGGGCTCTTATATATATTGTCCTCAGTAGTAAGTTGGAAAAAGGACATAAATAAGTAATACACAGAAAAAAAGGAGGAACAACCAGTAAACTGCAAAAAAAAAAAAAATCTCATCCTGACCCATAATCAAAAATGTAGATCAACCCTGGCTGGTGGAACTCAGTAGGTTGAGCCTGTGAAGCAGGTGGTCACCAGTTCGATTCCCAGTCAGGGCACATGCCTGGGTTGCAGGCCAGGTCCCCAGTAGGGGACACACGAGAGGTAACCACACATTGATGTTTCTCTCCTGCTCTTTCTCCTTCCCTTTTCCTCTCTCTAAAAATAAATAAATAAATGTATTTTTTTTAAATGTGGGTCAGAACAGCATTGAGATGACACTTTTCCCACCAAGTCAAATGTTTCTGAGAGTCCGGCGTTCAGCAGCTGGCGCTTCCTCCGCAGCTGGCAGGCCTGGGAAGCGGTACCGCCCGTGTAGTCGTGTGTGTTTAGAACCATTAGATTAATGCCACTGCCACAAATTTTTCTTGAAATAATTAGAGCTGTATGTACATAGTTATGTTCAAAGACATTCGTTAACCCCATTATTTTATAATAATGACTAATGGATGTCACCTAAATGTCTAACAAAAAAAGCCTGGCTTGATTGATTGTGCTGTTTAAAGAATGGACGACTATGCAATCATTTAAAGCTTTGGAAAAATACTCGGCAGTGTATGCAATGAAAAAGCAAGTTACAAATTTATTGAATACAATTCCATTTTGAATCAAATTTAGTTGCTTTAAATAAGTGTGTGTGTGTGTGTGTGTGTGTGTGTGTGCGTGCGCGTGTGCACACAAGACATATAGTGTAGCATAAAAAAAGGCCAGGGGTGTGTATACCAAATTTTACCAGTATCTCTTGAGCGTGGGATTATAGGTAATACAATTTGTGTTACATTTATGAAGATAGTTTTTAGAATTTTTACAGGGACAAATTATTACCGTTGTTAGGAAGAAAATAGTTGATGTTCTTTTTTAAAAGTATGTTTAAAGAGAGCTGAAAAAGTGGGATTCTTCTAGCTTGGCTTGAAAAACTGTTCACCTTCCGTTTGTTCTCATGTTTTCATTTTTTGAGTGGAAAATTGAGATCTGGAGAACATGGGTGTTCACACAGATGGCCAGGGCTTCCTTTTCCATTTTCCCTGCTGCCTTTGCGGCAGCCAGACTTCATTTAGTTCGCACAGGTGATGAAAAATTCTGTTCACAGCTCGTGCTAATCCCCGACACAAGGTTCCGTGTCATTTACTGGATGAGATGGATGCGGCCAACACTGAACTTCAGACAAAAAGGTAATTTTAGCTGACTTTGAGAGATTGAGTGGTTTCTCTGGAGAGAGAAGATCTAATTTAAATTTAGATCTTAGGTATTCCACAATGAAAATTAAAAAGGAAACAAGTCAATCTAGGTAATGCAGTGTCTGTTTAGCAGCTGAATTTTTGTAGTGTATCTTTTACTTTGAAATTATCTCCATCTGTGAGAGTGAGGGAAATAATGACATATACGTGACCATCACTGAGTAGGAACTGAAGCCGAAGAAGACTAGAGAAATCTGTGAGCACATAGTGGAACGAAACGAATTGTATCCTGGCCTGTCCAGTTTCTCCCTCGGTACAGAGAGCCTGCTCTGAAGGTCACCCCTCATGTGTAAGCAGATGTGGAGAACTGGCATGTGAGGATGGGGACAGAAGAGGTGGGCAGGGGACGGAAATGGGGGCTCTCATGCCAGTGGGATCAGTGGAGGTCTTGGGCGCAAGCCTGTAGTAGGTCATAGAGGGATGCTCTGTGAGCCCTTGGTTATCTCAGCGTTCTCCTTTGAGGTCTAGCCTTGGACCCTGAAGAACTGGCTCTTTCTTCACCCTCTGCCAGTCGGTGGGGGACCGGGTTGGAGAAAGTGGATGTCCCATGGGCCCAGGGTCCATGGGCCCAGGAGGCCGGCTGTGTAGCAAGGATGTGTTCAGCACTCGTCATTGACTTGAAGCTGGGAAAATGGCAGGCAGATTGAATGGCAAACCAGGATTAAAGGAAATGTTAACAGAAGTCAAGACACTAAAAATACAAAAACTTGAAAGAGTAAAATATCTTAAGCATGAAAAAGAGCCTGCATGAGAAGTGTGGCTTAGCAGTTGGTATTTAAAATATATATATATATATACCCTAAGAGATTTTAGTCATGTGGTCATCAGAAAAGCTAGTGCTGTCTTTGACCACACTCCTAGACTGTGTCAGAGGTACCCGAATGGTGGCCGCTGCATCCAGCTCGCCATTGGCCGGACTGCGGAGTGCAGTGTGCGCAGCCTGCCTCGAGGCTGCTGCCGAGGCCCGGGGCCCTGGGGAGAGGAGGCTCAGGAAGGCCATGAGGTCGACTTCAGATGTTTTGGGGGATGGTGTGGATCTCTCAGGAAGTAAGGATGAGTTAGAAGTTGGTAAATCTGACACCTAGAGCAGTTGTGAGAAGCAGGCTTCTAGCATTTTGTTCGCAACTACAGTCTCAGGAGTGGAGGATTGCGAGTGTGGCGTTCAGGGTAGCATCACACAGTGTCCATTAAAATTCTCTGTCCTCGCCTTTCACAGTGGCGGAGCTGCAGTCGTGCCGTTGTTGAGACCCTGAAATGAGTCATTTTGGAGCATGGAAGAAAATGGTGTTAATGATACTTAGGTGGAATGGAGAACTTACTTATAATGCAAATCAAATACTTGTGGTTTGAGATGAAACCGTGTTTGTTATAAAAACATAGCATTTATATATATATTTTTATGCCTCTTTAAAGGGCAGAATATGATTCTACAAACAATAATATCGAATTACATCTCCACCTGGGCCCTCACTACCATTTCTTCAATGGGGCCCTGCACCCCGTAGTCTCTCAAACGGAAAGCGTGTGGGATTTAACCTTTGATAAAAGGAAGACTTTAGGAGATCTTCGACAATCCATATTTCAGGTAATTCAGCTGCACTCAATTTAGATATTAAGGTCCACTTCAAGCTGGATTCTTCTTTTCAAAAATCCTGAGATACAACTACTCATGTTTCAAAGCTTCTTAGGCAAACCCCACAGCTGCCAGTTTCAGAGAGGGGTGGCCCAGATGTTTGCCCCTCGCTGGGAAGTCTGGAGGCTTCTCTGCACAGGCAAGAGGCAGGCCTGCAGGCAGAATCAAAGCTGGTATATTTTATTTGGGGGAGAGAGAGAATACAAAGTTTTCTCTTTTTGGAAAAATAAATGTAAGAGACTTGTTTTTAGAAGAAATGAAGAGATAAAGAGCCCTGGCTGGTGTAGTTCAGTGGATTGAGCACAGGCCTGCGAATCAAAGGGTCGAGGTTCAATTCCCAGTCAGGGCACATGCCTGGGTTGCAGGCCAGTTCCCAGCAGGGGACGCACAAGAGGCAACCATACACTGATGTTTCTCTCCCTCTCTCCTTCCCTTCCCCTCTAGAGATAAATAAATAGGATCTAAAAAGAAAAGAGATCAAGATAAGCATGTTGTTTAAAACCAAGAACTACTAAACAAATAAGCAGCTGACTTCTCTACCTTTCAGTACACAGTAGCGTGCATCAATAAGATCACCAAATGCAGGAAGACACACTGGTTATAGTGAAAGCAAATGTCGTTGCAGTCATTGTTTCCAAATAATTTATCCAGTTGTGTTAATGACAGTAACAACAGTGGTGCTCTTTATTTTACTTCCATTCACTGCTTTCATATTAATTGCATCTTTTGGTCCCGGAACCTCACGGGGACACACTAACGAACTCCTCTTAAAGATGAAGAAGTTGTGATTTAATCCATTCTTGGGAGCCTCCATACTCTTCCTTTCCTTTTAACCATATGTCTGTACCCCACACTGCTTCCTGATCAAGGAAAAGAGAAATACAAAATATAAGGTGGTTGGTTTGGGGTTTGTTTTTTTTCCAGAAACAAGTGAATTTTCAACTTCAGTTGATTTGAATAATATTTAAATGTTGGATCAGCATCAGGATTTCTAAATCGGTCTAATATTTCTGAACGTCTACACTGAAGGTTCATTTATGAGCCGGACCCGGCAGTGTTGATACAGGCGGAGATGGGGGTCTGACCCTGTCTGAGGTGACATTGGGTGACAAATGGAAAAGACGTGGACGTGCACATCTCTCACCTTAGAAGTGAGCCGCTGACAAGACGCTGGGGGGCTGACACGGCCGACCAGCCCCTTGTAAACATGAGGCTTCTTCGTACGAGGACCGCCTCGTGTGTTGTGGGGGAGAGCCTGAGTAGGGCTCATCTTTATGGGGACCGTATTTTGGCGAGGTTTCCACGGTCTCCAGAGTCTAGGATCTGGAAACCCAACACAAGCCCCACGCAACCTGTCACACTTTGTCAGTGGGAAACTTTCCTTTCAGGTAACGAACTGGATGTGAGTGTGTGGTGGCTTCGTGCTGCTTCATCCTGAAAAGCACTGACTAAACAAGTCGCCTTTGCCCTTCCAGACAGCTTCTGGGCTGGCATGCTGAGCAGTGAGCCTCTGATGAAAGTGCGTTCCCGTGAATCACGTAGAATTGGGGAGATGGGCGTAGTGCTCTTGGTCTGTGCCGAGGTTCTCCCGTCACTGGTGGAGGAGATGGGCCGTCTTTCCTCCAGTCGTCAGGTTGGGGTGGGAACATTCGTTCGTTTGCGCTCTGTGCCCTCCACATATGTAAGTTGGACGCTGCTTGTCTTATTTAACTGGGAAGTGTGATATATGTATTGTTCTTCCTTGTTCTCTTTTCTTCTGTAAACACTCTGTAGCTGTTAGGATCTTGGGAAGGAGACATGGTTCTGAGTGTGGCGAAGCTCCTGCCAGCGGGCCTTCACGTCTGCCGGACACTTGACGGTGAGGCGAACGTTAGGACCAGCACCTCCTTTTACATACTTGTATTTTCATGGGGCTCGTCCGGGACTTTCTACTCCTGGCCAGTCTTTCCCGTACCCACTACTTTCTTAACTATGTAACTTACCCAATTGATAAGGTGTCAATTTATGTAACATGGGAAATTTTGCTAACATGGAAATGGTACATATTTTCTCAAATTAATTCAGCCTGTCTACCAAATTAATTTTCTGAAAGGCTTTGAAATTTGTTTTATATTGCCACAAATTTTTGAGCAAAATCATTTGAGACTACTTATATATTTGAGACCACAAATTACTTACATAATTTGATTTTTTTACCCAACTCTTAGCTTCACAAACAAATGCACTCCTGTAGCTAAACAAATGTACTTCGAGAGGTTAAAGGTATTTACTGCCCTAAATATCAGCAAGACAGTAAGAATGGCAGTTGCAGTGGTAATGCCTATGTTGGACTTCACTGCGCCAGTTACTGAGAGGAGTGTTTTATGTAAGTTATCCATCTGATTGTTACACAACAGCTCATTCGTGGTGAGTCTGAGACCATTTGGTGCCCAAGCCTTACTCCTGGTCAGTGTCAAGTGCAGTTGGCCTTGGGAGTAGACTGTTTTCCTGTTATCCTGCTCGCAAAGCTTGTGTAGCAGCATGGGGAAATGCTTACAAAAATTAAAGAAAAAAACTAAGATGTGTGATGGAAGGAATGAAGATTAAAATAATATCAGTATAATATGCATAATTACTGCCTTGTCCTTAATTTTTCTTAATGGGGATGCTTTTTCAAAAAAGTATTTAAGTGTCCTGGCCCTTTCTTCAGTTGGGTTTATGACATCCTGGTGAGCGGTCTCACTGACGACCTGCTCTCTTCTTCCCAGGAGATGGCCTGACACTGTGCGAACTGGACGTCACTGACGAGGAAGACATCCTTGTGTGGGGTGGAGTGGAGGTAAAAAAGTAGTGAGGAAATATCCATGATAGTTTTGGATTTTGTAAGTCGTGATAATGAAATGTTATTCAGCATATGTGAAGGATATCAGAAAGCTATGGAAATATTCAATAAATTTTAGGCACAGTCAGAAGTACTTATGTGTGAGCAAGACATTTATTGAACACCTGCACCGTGCCGGGCGGTGTGTCAGAAGCTGGATATGGAGACGAGGCGACCGGTGTGATGGCCCTGCTGAGAGAGCGCGCCGCCCCGGCCGGGGTCTGTGCGGGCTCCCTGTGGGCACTCGGAGCTGTGCAGGGTGAGGGGTGGGGGGTCACGGGAGGAGAGTGCATGTCCTGAGTCGGAAAGGGGCGAGGGACAGTGCGCTGTCCCAGGTCCATCTTCTGTACTTCCCGGGGTATCCGTCCCTGCTCCAGACTTCTAAAAAACGTGGCTAAGGAAGTTTCAAAAGAAAAGTCTGAAGTTCTTTTCCTGATACTTAAAATTGACATTGCAAAAAGTTTGTTTCACTTGAAAAGAAAAAAAATGAGACATCTGGTCAAGGAGGTGACAGTTGCCTGGAGGTGTGGGCAAACATGGCCTGCCTCCTCACACAGCCACAGGGAAAATGACACCCAGAGTACAAACAGTTGCCACCCAGAATCACCAGAAAGGCAAGCGGTGTGGAAGTCCGACAGCTGCGATAGTATAATCAATAAAATATATTTAAAAAGCGAAAAGTGAGAACTACTCTACAGGAGTTATCTTTTACTACATTATTACGTTGACTTTATTTTGGCAAATGTAAACTGTACTAATGATTATCTCAATATTTTTGTAGGTTGGTGGAATCCAGATTCCAACTGGTAGTGACTGTGAACCTCTGCTTTTAAATGTTGTGCACCTAGCAACAAGCAGCGAAGGGTGTCCTCGGGTGACGGAGTCTCCGCACGTCTTTCCAGCTAATGCAGAAGTAGGCAGTGTCTTCCCAGCCTTAGCAGTTCCAGTCGGCGTGGCCTTCATCCACAAGCCTGAGTCTGCAGGCGAGGAGCGCTGGACGGCCATTCCCAAGGAGGACCTGGCGAAGACATTCCGAGAACAGGGTCTGGGAAACGGAAGTTCAATTTTGATCCAGGATTCCAGTGATGAGAAAAATAGGTAACTCACTTAAAAGAGAAATTTTTAAGTTACTTAAATTAGCGTAGTATCTCTTAGAACTCTAAACCTTTATTTTAATGAGAGTTAAATGTTTCTTTTTATTCTAGACATTGTGTCCTGTATATTGTAAGGAAGAATGTTCTAGCTTAGGCAAGTTGGAGAGAAATGATGCTGTAATAGGATTTTTTTTGTAAATGTGACAGGCAGGGGTAGATGAGATACAGTCTAGATTAGTCGACGATAAGCAGAAGCCTGTGTGAGGAATTCTGATTAGCGCTCACCAGCATACTGACGACCCGTTCTCACAGAGAAATGTCCTCACATTTTTTATGAAGGGGGCACTAAGGTCACAGCCAAGTTTATCTGACTGTTGTGTCACAAGAATCCCACAGGCAAATCCGCTTTCCTCACGGCCCTTTTTAGGTGGGCTCCTGAGATTCTCCCAGCTGCCCACACAGGGCGGCAGCACGTTCCCTGAAGTCACGTTGGAGCCCAGAAACGCCTCCTGTCTTCGGTTTGTTATCTGGTCTCGACAGTGCGGTGTCGGTTTCTGCGGTCAGTGCGTCACGCACTGTGTCACTCCCCCAAATGTCCGTGTGTTGGAGACTTTAGGTTACGGACAAGAGCCCTGCCTTCTCAGTGCTGTGAACGCCCCTAGATTGCAGAGTCCCCGTGTCATTATTCACAGTGGCCATGGCGCACAGGGGCAGAGCATCTGTGAACCGTGTTCGTTTTGTATCACAGTTGTCACTGTTACTCCTTCAGACAGGTGTTTTCCAGACATTTATTTCCCCACCATGTGTATTTAGTTTAAAAGTGCAGTGTGTTTCTTTTTAAAAGTAACACGCATGCAGTTAGGACTTGGGACATGCGGAGTGAAGACAGGAGACTGAGAACAGCGTCGCTGTGCCTCCCTGGTAGTGCCAGTCCCTGCTAGTGCTCCTGTCTGTCTGCTCTCTGGTCCCAGGTCTTCGTTGGAAGGCGTTCTCTTTTTGAACACATGCCTGTTTCGCAGTTAGCTACATGCAGCTTTTCCCACGTTTGTAGGCTCTTCATGAACCTCGTTTTATGGCTGCTTACTCACCAGTGGTGACGTTACAGCTCAGCCGACCGTGCTCGGTGGGAGGCAGTGCACGTGCCGGCCGAGGGCAGGGGCTCTGGCGCCAGCTGCCTGGGTTTGTCTCCAGCTCTCTCGCTTCCTAAGAGTGGGAGCATGGGCTTCCCCTCTCTCTGCCCAGCTGCTCCTGCCAAAGGGATAATAATGAGGACCTGCTTCACAGAGTGCGAGGGTTGAAAGACTTAAGTGTACATGGTGCTGAATAGTTTAGCACCATCATCATCGTTGTCATCTTCCATCTTATCCAGCTTTTCTTTTTTAATTATCAAATCTTTTTTATTGTTATTCCATTACAGTGGTCCCGGTTTTCCCCCTTTGCCTTCCTTCGCCCAGCCTACCCCCCCACTCCCACGGTCAGTTCCCACATTGCTGTCCATGCCGGTGGGTCATTCATACATGTTCTTTGTTAGGCCCTCCCCCTTCTCTCTCCCCTCCCCTCTGGTCACTGTCAGTCTGTTCCATGTTTCCACACCTGTGGTTTTGTTTTGCTCGTTAGTTTATTTTGTTCATTAGATTCTTCTGATAGGTGAGATCTTATGGTATATGTCTTTTACCAATTGGCTCATTTCACTTAGTATAATATTCTGTAGTTTCATCCATGCTGTCACATAAGGTAGGAGCTCCTTCTTTCCTTCTGCTGGGTGGTATTCCATTGTGTAGATGTACCACAGTTTTTGTTTTGTTTTGTTTTTTAATTTTTTATTTATTTATCTTTAGAAGGGAAGGGAAGGAGAGAAGGAGAGAAATATCAATGTATGGTTGCTTCTGGTGCATCCCCTGCTGGGAACTGGGCCCTGCTGGGAACTGGCCTGCAACCCAGGCATGTTCCCTGACTGGGAATCGAACCGTGATCGACTGATTCGCAGGCCCGCATTCAATCCACTGAGCTACACCAGCCAGGGCAGCAGTTCCATTTTCAGTTAAGGAAATTCCGTACCGTTTTCCGCAGTGGCTGTACCAGTCTGCATTCCTACAAATGGTGCACTAGGGTCCCTTTTCTCCACATCCTTGCCAGCTCTTTTTTGTCCATTTGTTAGCGATGGCCATTCTGACAGGTGTGAAGTGGCATCTCATTGTGGTTTTAATTTGCATCTTTCTGATGGTTAGTGATGCTGAGCATCCTTTCATATGTCTGTGGGCCACCCATATGTCCTCTTTGGAGAAGTGTCTATTCAGATCCTATGCCCATTTTTTAATTGGATTGTCTTCCTGGTATTGAGTTGTATGAATTCTTTGTATATTTTGCAAATCAAACCCTTGTCTGATGTGTCATTGGCAAATATGGTCTCCCATACAGTCGGCTCCCTTTTCATTCTGATGATGGTTTTTTTAGCCATGCAGAAGCTTTTTAGTTTGGTATAGTCCCATTTGTTTGTTTTTTTCCTTTATATCCCTTGCTCTAGGAGATATATTGGCAAAAATTATTGCTACATGGGCTATCTGAAATTTTCCTGCCTATGTTTTACTCTAGGACTTTTATGGTGTCACGACTTACATTTAAATCTTTTATCCATTTCGACTTTACTCTGGTGTATGGAGTAAGTTGCTGGTCTATCATCCAGCTTTTTACCACTTTAAGGCTGTCTTCAGAGAGCATCTTTATGCTTAAAGCTTTGCTGTGTCTAGGGTTGCGAACTTCATTGGGGTCCCAGGTAGGAACAACTGAAATAGAGGGTAGAACTGTGTTTCAGGGCTCCAATACTCTCTCCCAAAGAGGACTTCTGCTGGTCCATTCAGTGCCTCTGCGTGAATAGAAAGTCGTCTATCACTGCCCCTAGGGAAGGAAAGCTGCCTTGAGCCAGACCCTCAACTGCCATCTGCACGTGCACTAGCCCTCTGTGATAAAGTACAGACGCACAGTGTGTGATGTGCATGATACCCCTCAGCTGTGGCACGTTGGTGCCATGTCAGTTTGGATGTGGCTGTCCTGCTGTGGAATTGGTGACCCTGTGGTGGCTCTGGGCATGGCTGCTTGCACCCAGCCCCTGTGATTGCGGTCCGCAGGCAGATCAGCGCCTGGTTGTTCCCTTGTAACAGTTCTCTCTGAAGTGTGGCAGCAAATTATTTCTCTAAGTCAAAGAATGTTTGGGTCATGAATATATGGATTCCGTGGAGTACTGCCCTACACTAGCTCAGCAGAAGTTGGTCACCTTTCATTCGTCACAATAAGGGGCAAATGCAGAATTTTAGAAGTGGTGCCTCAGGAAAAATACTGCTTTTCTGATCTTTCCTGATTCATAAAAGTGCTGTATAAAGACACATTTTCTAAAATTTTTATTTTAATTGTTGTTCGAGTACAGTTTTCTGCCTTTTACAAGACACATTTTTTTTACCTAACAGTTTGTTGGCCAAACAAAGGAAGTGGATCACTAGTGTAAATGAGGTCGACTGGGTCCAAGTCAAAAATTTATGTCAATTAGGATCAGAAGAGGAGCAAATTACAATATCAGCAACTATGAACACAGTGAGTAGATAATAATTGAAGTTTAGTTGACAGTGTTTAACAGAATTGTACTTAGAAGCCAATACTCAGGGAAGTCTCAGTAGACTTCTAAATCTTAAGAGAAAAACTCTTTATTTTTAGTATTTGATTATTGCATATTTACCTATCTCAACGTGTCCTTAACATGTCTCAAGACAATGTTCCTGTCTCCCCTCCAAACCCGAGAAGAGAAAGCAGGAGTTAGCTGTTCAGTTAGTACATGAAATCCTCTAGCTTCATTGTCAAATACATAATGCTATCTCAAAGTACAAGTATATATTTATACTTATCAAAATACACCAATATAAAATACTATTTTCTTGGGTTTTTTTGGTGTTTTCTAAACAAGGTATTTATGTTTTGGTTTTGTATTGTGTTGGTTTTGTTTTTTAAGTTTAACTGAAGTTGTTCTACATTATGCCCTGCGCTGTATATAAAGCCAGCTTCTCTTGAAAAGGGGTACTTTCCTTCAGTCCTCCCTTTGAAAACTGTGATGCTGGTTTCCCGAGGCATTATTTTAGAGAACATCCTTTTATGTTATGTAGTCTCAATTCAGTAAGTTTCTTCTATAACATTAAAAGAAACATTAGAATGATTTCTTCTCTATGAATATTGTAATATCTTTTTTATTTGTTATTTATTTATTTGTTTTATTGTTGTTCAAGTGCAGTTGTCGCCATTTTCCCCCGCCACCACTCTGTCCTACCCCAGCCATCCCCTCTTCCTACCTTCCATCCTATGGGGTACAGGGGAAGGGTTGTCAGGAACGTGTATAAAGGACACATGGACAAAGCCGAAGGAAGTATTGTAATTTCTTAAGGCGCATTCATATTTGCTGGTAGAGTAAGGGGGAGGGTGTGAGACCGTTGTGCTAATGCTCAGGAGACCCCCTACCTTGCGATGGGGCTTGGGTGAGGTCCCTCACCCTTCTTAGCACGGCATGGGCCCCGGGGGAGGGCGGAGTGGGTCTCTGACTTCACTTCTGCCCTAAACTTCTGCAGTTTTATGCCCTAGAGGCAATTAGCCTAAACAAAAGAAAAACAGTTTTAAAATAAAGTAATTGAAACAGCCATTTAAAATAGTACCCTTGAACCAGTATTGTACATTTTGGCACTGAATTCATTATTTTTAGCATAGAAAAATATGATTACCTGAAATTTCTTTTGTTTTCTCTCATCAAAAAGGTTAGCAGTAGCCAATTTTTGTTTTTTCTACCTAGAATTGTTTCTTTGGTTTTCTGTAGGAGTCCTTTCTGTCCCAGTTAACATCATTTTGGTAAAAACTTAACTATTAAGGTCTAGGTTTTGATTTTGACTTTGTAGAAGAGAGAAAATGAATTTCAGTGATGAAAAAACTGTTTTCAAGTAGGCAAAAGTACCAGCTGTTAGGTAATTAATAGCTCAGTCTGCACGTGTGCACGCTGGCGATCTCCATTTTCTTCTCCTCCCATTGTTTCAACTTATACACAGTCATTAGTTTATTTCTCTATTTTAGGTGGTGTTTGATATTCGAATTAAAGCCATAAAGGAATTAAAATTAATGAAGGAACTAGGTAATCATTTATGTTTGCTTTTGGCTTTTTGGTTCAATTCAGTTTTGATTTTTAATTGAAAAATTACGGGACAGTACAAAAAGTAATTTAGGGAAAACTCATGACCTACCACCCAAAATGGACAGACGTTAACGTTTTACCACGCGCTTGTTTTTGTGTGAAATATTGCAAAGTCCCCCCCCGCCCCCCCCGCCAGACGCAGCCAGTGTGTCTGGTTGGGGGGGTGTCTGGTCTGCGTCTGCATGTGGTGGTGTATTCATCATGCTTCCTTTTAAGTGTTTATGCACACGTTGTAGTTCACATTCACATAGACTGTCACACGGCATAGAGCATTCTGCAGATGCGCTGCTCACTCAGCACTGGGTTTCCTTTAATAATCATTTGAGGTATAATTTACACACCATCGAATACCCATCTGAAGGTATAGTTCAGTGATTATTAGTTAAAGAATTGTACAGCCATCACTGTAATTGAGTTTTAGAACATTTCTATCACTCCAAAATGGTCTGTCATTCATATTTGCATTCTGAGCCCCCAGTGACCTCTCCTCTACTTTCTGCCTGGATTTGCTTTTCTGGGAATTTCATGTATATGGAACCATGTACTATGTTGTCTTTTGTGTCTGGCTTCTTTCACTTAGCATTTCATTTGGGGGTTCGTCCATGATAGCATGTTATCAGTAATTTCTTCTTTTCTATTATGCTGACTAGTCTTCCACTGTATAAATGTATCACATTTCATTTATTCATTCACCAGTTGATTGAGTCTTTCACTTTTTGACTTTTATGAATAGTGTGCTGTAAACATTGTCTTTGTGTGGACATGTGTTTTGTTCTCTTGGGTAGATACACAGGATTGGAACTGCTGGGTCAAATAGCACATTTATGCTTAGCTTTATAGGAAACTGCCCTGCTACTTTCCAAGGCAGCTGAACTAACTATGTCAGGGTTACAGTTTCACCCCATTCTTGGCAGGAGCTGTAATTGTATTTTTTACTGTGGCCATTCTAGTGAGGGGGAACTGGTATTATGGTGTGTTGATGCATTTTCCTCATGCAGTGATGGTGAGCACTGCTGACATGCTTATGGTCTGTCTGTATATCCTAAGGAGTCTATTAAAAAGCCACTGGAAACATAAATGAGTTTAACAGAACTCAAATCAATACACAAAAACCCATTGTATGTTTATCTACTAGAAATTAAGAAAACATTCAGAATAAGGTATCATGAAATACTCGGGGATAAATTTAACAAAATGTATGCCCTGAAAACTAGAGAACATGGCTGTGCAAACTTAAAAGACCTGAATAAAGGGAGCAAGCAATGTACCATATTCTTGGGTCAGAAGACACAGTGTTGTTAAGAGGCTGATTCTCTCCAAATTAATTTGTAGATCATTGCAGTCTCACTCAAAACCCTAGCAGGTGTGTATGTGTGTGTGTGTGTGTGTGTGTAAGTGAGAGAGAAACTGACAGGCTGGTTCTTTGTATGCAAATCCAAAGGACCTAAGCATCCAGCCCAGTTTGGGGAAGAAAAATAAAGCTGGGAGAGGAGCGCTGTCTGATTTCAAGACTTGCTCCAAAGCTGTCATGGTCAGGACAGGCATCGGAGTGGACACACGGCAGCGTCAGCAGGCACAGCCTGCAGCCTGCTTCTGTCCGGCCAGTGAGCGGAGGATGGTTTTTAAGAGGGCTCTAGTGAGAAGAGTGTGCAGCAGAGATCACAGCTCATTTTTGAAGCCTGAAATTCTGTACAGCAGAACTAGGTTAAGAATCCAAAAATACATGCACACATATTTAATCAGTTTACTTTCAACAAAAGCACCAAGGTATTTCTTCTATGAAAGAGTATATTTTCAGCATAAGTGCTGGACCAATTAGATGCCCATAGGTGCAAAAATGAATCTCCAGCTTTGCCTTACACCATGTAAAAAACTGATTTAAAATGGATCATAGTTCTAAATGTTAAAGCCTAAAACTAAAATTTCTAGGAGAAAACATGAAAAAAATCTGTTACTTTTATCATAAGGAAAATATATTTTTTAAGATTTTATTGTTTTTTTAGACAGAGGAGAAGGGAGGGAGAAGGCAGGGAGAGAAACCTCAATATGTGGTTGTCTCTTACACACCCCCACTCGGTACCTGGCCTGCATCCCAGGCATGTGCCTGACTGGTGGTAATCAAACCAGTGACCCTCTGGTTTGCAGGCCAGCACCCAGTTCACTGAACCACACCAGCCAGAGCAGGAAAAGATTTTTTTAGACAACACTCAAAAAGTATAAAGCATGAAAGAAAAAACTAATAAATTGGACTACCTCAAAATTTAAAACATTTGTTCTTCAAAAGGCATTTGAAAAGGCAAGCCACAAACTGAGAGGAAAAAATTATGACATAATTGGCAATAGATTTGTATCAAGTTATATAAAAAGAAGACCAACCTGTAAGTGACCCATGTGTAGGGAAGGATGGTCAGTTGTCATTAGCCACCAAACTCAACCCATAATGACGCCTGCTGCGCACTCCACAGCACGGCTAACAGTTTGGCCGCTGGCTCACAGAGGGCAGCGAGGACGCGCCGCGGGCAGTGGAAACGGTGGTCACTGGGGGGTCGGCCTGTTTCTACTCACCACTTCTCCTAGACACCTACCCAAGGAAAATTAAAACATACATCCTTGCACATACTGTACACTGCTTGTGTAAAAACTGGAAGCGATCCGAATGTCCACGAGTAGGTGAATGAGTGACCAAATTGTAGTGCGTCCATCCAGTGAGACACCACTGATCATTGACAGCAGTGAACTACCACCACCTGCAAAACCGTGACTCTGAGACTTTATGCCAAGCAAAAGAAGCTAAACACAACAGAGCACGCTCTTACTGTTCTGTCTGCCTGACATTTTTAAACAGCATACCTAAGCTCTAGTTTCAGAGGCAAATCTGAATCAGGGTGGAGTTGCTAGTTTATCTTGATTTGTTAGTGGTTGCTGAGTGTTTATATCAAACACTGCACCGTACAGTTAAAATGGGTATGTTTTATTATAAGTAAATTATACCTCAAAAAAGTTGATTAAAAGTACATGGTGTATTAAAATGAATAGTTTGTGTTCCCGTGTACTGGTCTCCCCTCCAAATGGTTCTTGTGGCAGGTGATCTTAAACATGTGCCAGTGGGGCCCCGCGGGCCCTCTGCTCACAGCCCAGTCCTGCTTTTCCAGGGCACGCAGGCTGCCTCCCCAGCCCAGCCCACACGAGCCTCCTTCCTCCAACCGCTGCCCCCACCCCTGCCCCCACCCCGCTGCAGTCCCCTCCTGGGCGTCTACACTGCAGGCTCACCTTCCGTGAGTTTCTAGCGCACAGGCTCTCTTCCACCCCCAGGGCTCGTAGCGCTGTCATCTCTCCTTGAACTACAGCCCCCCCTTCCTCCACTGACTTCTGTCATCCCTCAGGTCTCAGCAGAAATTTGACTTCTACCATCCCCACCCACACAATCTCACTTAATCTCTCTTTACTCTTATGATGTCCTGTGCTTTTCTCCGCCACGCTTATGCTGTAAGCACCCGTGTTTATGTGATGAACACCCACCTCCCCTTTAGCCAAGGCGCTGAGTGTCAAGTCCATAGCTATTTGCTCATTACTGTGCACCTGGCACCTAGGAGACCTACCGTGGTTTCTGAAGGAAAGTGAACAGAAATGCAGGGAGACAGTATTTAAAATGTTCTTTTTAATTGGAGAATTCTTTTATCAGCTGATTGAATTGTCCAGAACTTTGTATTAGAATTACATGCTAGTTTCATACGACTATAATGTAAGATAGAGAACTCAGGAATCTCAGAGATTCTGCCACGGTCTAACAAAGTCACAACTCTTAAGACCCAAGCTATTCTTGTCCTCTCAGAAGGCCCCTGTGCTCCCACCTGCCCCACTTCATAGCCTACTTTGTAAGAATTCTGTTCAGACTAACCCTTCCCACAAAATAGGAATCCTCGCATCCTCAAAAATAGGATACAATGGGCATAAAAATGACTTACCATTTTAAATATAGGCAGTCTCTATATAGTTCCAATGTGCATGAATTTCAGTTATCATGGTTTATTATATTCCATTAGTTACCCAGCAACACAGCCCAAATTTCAGCTCCCACTGGATGTAAGTGAGTAACCACATAAAGCACAAGCTTGGCTGTGCCAGCCCCGACGCACAGACCACTACGGAAGTAGCAGGATCTGATCATGGGTTCTCCGCACAGACAGCGCAGCGTGCCGTTCATTGCCTCCTCTCCTCCCAGTGGTAAACCCACGCGACATCTGATGAGAACATGAGCTTAGCCACAGAAGTAAGGACAGTGGTTGTGACAAAGGGTGGCGGCTCTCCCAGGAGAAGTGACACTGGCAAAAAGCTTCACCATACAGGAGCTCTTGGAGAGACTCCACGAGGTGGAAGGCACAACAGGTCGGATATTGGAAGCTGACCCAGACGTGGAAATCTGAGTGTGACAGTCGCTGGGGGACGGAAAGGTGCTCACTCCAGTCGTGAGCTGCACGATGAGACAAGGGAAGCGAGCCCCATTCACACTGTTGTGTAGATTTTTTACTAAGAAGTAATCACCAGCATTTCCAGTTGTTCACAGCGTAAAATACTAGCTAGTTGTTTAAATTACAGTGTAAATATTACTTTTATTGGGGTTTTTTCCCATTTCACTATACATGTATAACTGACAGTTTTAAATGTTTTGACAAAAATTTTTAAAGGTCAAGAAAAACAGTCATTTTCTGGTGGCTGTTCAGACCGCTTTGCAGGTTGCGGGGCCTTCCTCCCGGCCGCCCTCCTGTGCAGCGGGAAGCCTGTGCACGCTCATCGTAGCTCACCGCAGCTTCCTGCTGGTCAGCACGGCAGAGGGTCTCTCCTGTCTCTTCGTTTGCTGCGCTGACCGGCCTCTTTTCACTTGTAGCCGACTGCAGCTGTTTGAGGCCTGTCGACCGGGACGGGAGGCTTCTTTGTCCAGGTTAGTCTGTTTTTGGTAGCCCTTGAAATCTGACTCTTACACCTGCCCTCTGGCCTTTTTTTTTTTTTTTTTTTTTTTTACATTTTCAAATATTGGCTCCCAGTACCTAATATTCTGAAGTTACCTTTTAGAATTGATTTACAGGACTATTGTCATCCAGGTGTCTTCCTCTTGTATTACAGAATATCTTAACCAAAAATTCAAACCTTTCAATTTTCTAAAGTGTAACACTGTGTTTCTGACAAGCTGACCCTCATTTTAGTCATGATTGTGATCCAGTTTTATCTTTCTAAATTTATTGTCAGCATTTTATTTGCCAGTCGTATTGAGGCGTCTGTTATGGAACAGAATCTTTGTTCTCACCTCTGGAGCACATCTTGTCATTAGACGTGATTGAGTCTAATTATTGATGCTTGTCACCAAAGCATCTTTAAACTTGGAACAGCCTAGTCCATCATGAATGGGTTCAGAATATCTAGGTTTTAATCTGTGTAAACAGCAGCTTTTTGATGTTTATAAACATGACTTGAAAATATCCACAGCTGCCTCTGTGTCTTCATGTTTGCTCAGATAATGGGAACTATGTATTCTAGAGTGTGGAGATTGAGAATCACGCACAGTGATGATATGCAGTCCGTTTGCATGGAATGCAGCCTTTTCTTTCCTGACATTCTTGATTTTCAGAGGAAAACTGATTTGGTATGCTTTTGCCTAGACAGGTAGGAATTGATAACATTCATTATTTTATCAAAATTACTTACAGTGCCAGACAATTACACTTTGAGGGAAGCAGAACTGAAGATGGGGAGCTCACTGGGGCTCTGTCCTGGAAAAGCACCGACCTCCTCTCAGGTAACGCGAGGCCACCTTCCCTGGCCAGTCCCTTTCCCGAGCCAAGCCTTGCCTGCTGCGGTGACGCGTGACTCTTAAGTGTCTTCTTTTCCTTCAGTGGTACCTTTCACTTTAAGAACAGATTCATTTAGTTCTCTGTGTTTGAATAAAAAAGGTTATTTCACAGCATACTCACAAGGTTCTTTTTCTGTGAAAATTTTGTGATTAAAGGGGATCTTCAAAGTGGAGTGGCTGCCAGCGTCACCGTATCTCAGCAACGCTGAGATGCACCTTCCCCACCATCTGCCTCTGTGCGCTGGGCTGCACCTCTCCGTCCTCAGTATCTGGCAGTTGTAGCTGGCTGCTGTTGTAGTTGTTTTCTTTCTTCCTGGTACATAAAGCAATTGGCAATAGCCAGCAGCATGTAGACATAATAAAAGACAGTATATTAATTGGGAACTTAATTACTCTGCAAGAACATAATAGCCTCACAGCAGCTTTGTCTTTATCGGTATTCATTTCCTGTGTAAATTCCATCTGGTTAAGCTTCGCCAGAAGCCCCAACTACTTAGTAAACTTTTATTACAGTCCCAAAGTCATGTTTATGTCCTTACTGTTACCTTCTCAAGGTAAACGGGGCTCATCTCAGGACCCCCTGGTTCTGGTTCCACCGCATTAGTTTCCCAGCCGGCTCTCCTTTCAGTTGTTCTTCCCTGGCTTCAAGCCAATGGTGCATGGTGGGCTGAGAGCAGGGAAATGTGGCACGTGACACCAAGTGGGAAGAGGAGCGGGGCTGCAGGAACCACACTGACCAGAGAGCAGCCCTACCTCTCTCCCGTGGGGCCTCTGGAATTGGAGTCCGTGGGCAGAAAATCAGGTCACAGCCAGATGACTCAGGAACAGTGTAGCCGGTGCTTACAGTGTGTAGAGACTGCAGACTGTGAGGGGTGGCCAGTCTGGGAGCGGGGCGTGCCGGGGCACGACACCAGTGGCGACGCCTCTTCCAAGAGAGGATGTGCTTCTAGGTAGTAGTTGAGACTACTGTTTAAATTGTAACATTAAGCCCTGGCTGGTGTGGCTCAATGGAATGAGCGTTGGACTGGAAAGCAAAGGGTCGCTAGTTCTATTCCCAGTCAGGGCACTTGCCCGGGTTGCAGGCCAGGTCCCCAACAGGGAGTGCATGAGAGGCAACCACACATTGATCTTTCTCTGCTCTTTCTCCCTTCTCCTTTCTCTAAAAATAAATTTAAAAAATATTTTAAAGGATAAAAATATAATATTAAATTGTCCAATGTATTTGTAGAATTTAAAAATTTTTTTCTGTCTTGACTTTAGCTGTTCCTGTTCTTTGCTGTGGGAAGCGGCACTCAGCCTGGGACTGAGATGGAGGTCGTTGTAGAAGAGACAGTGTCTGTGAGAGACGTGCGTCATTTTCCTTTTGGGGTCTGGGCTGTTTGCCAGGGGGCGGTGCTAACCAGCAGCAGGGGTTTCAGACCCTAAGGCTGGAGTTTACCTAATATACAGGGGGTGCCCAAAAAGCTGGGAATTTATTTATGGAAATTGTGTTTTTATTCTTACATTTTTAAACTTCAGTCACCTTCAAAGTTCTCTCCATTTGAAGTGATACACCTATCGAGACATGTTTTCCATTGCTCCAAACAGTTTTTGAACTTGTTGATTTTGACACCTTTTAGTGCTTCTGCCAGTCCTTGTTTCACCTCTTCCACATGGGCAAAACGTTCCCCTTTGAAGACTTTTTTTCATCTGGGCAAACAAAAAAAAAGTCGCTCAGGGTGAGATCATGAGAACAGGAAGGGTTGGACGTGGGGGTCATGTGGTTTCTGGTCAAAAACTGCTGAACACTCAGTCAGGTGTGGGCAAGTGCGCTCGTAAATCACCCGTCATGCAATGACGGAATGTGTTGGAAGTCTTTAAAAAAAGTCAGTAAAGCCGAACCAGCCTCTCACGACAACGCCAGCTGCTGCACTCATACAGATGGGTTCCTAGAATGCTCTCCTAGTGGGGGAAGCCTGTCCTACAAGGGGCCCACCTGCCAGAAGATAATTCCGATGTTTTTTGGGTCCTCCCTCTTTCTTTAAAGAATCCCATGTGTCACTAAAGGAGTAGTTTTGGGAGCTTGAAAATTGGTGCACCAACTGGAATTTTTAAGTTAGATCATTATTTTTTATTTATTATCAATAACAACTGTTGATTGTAGACATTTGGGATATGGAGAAATGGATTTAAAGAAAAATTAAAACCCCTCATTATCCCTTATCCCTCTAGTATCAATGTTTTGACATACTTCCTTTGTGTTCTTGCTTTTTACACACACACACACACAGTCACATACACAGGTGTGAGTATTGTGTGTGTGTGCTCATGCATCCTGTGTGTGAGATAAAGAGAGCAAGGAGGCCGGCAAAGATTAGAGGCAACTTGAAGAGGCTCCCACTGGTTAAAGACGAAGCACAGTGAACCTTGGTGGGAGGAATAAGGACAGTTGATGGGCACACAGACATAAAAGCTGCGAGTTCATGTGATCCTAGAGCTTGCCGCATTCACCGGTTACATGTAGGTAGCCAAGTGGATGCTTGGGAACCACAAAAGGAAGAACCAAGTGTTTATCCTGTTTTCCTTTTGCAGACTATGTTTCAGGGCAACCAAATAGATAACAGGGTTTTATACAGAAGATCCAGCTAAGAACATGAACAAAGAATTGGACTGTCACAGTTTTTCAACTCCAAATGATTTCATGGGAGGCTATGCGAGGCACTCAAAAATAGCAACACCCAAGCATTAGAGACGTTTAAAACAACATCCATGTTTTTTTTGTCCCCACAAAATTCCAGGGAAAAAACCTGAGTCCAGTCAAGCCTTAGGTCTGAGTACCAGTTTATAAGAAGTATAGGGGAGAGGAGGTCGTGTTAAATGCGACACAGGCCCACACACAATGCTGTCCCCAAGTGTGAAGCTCCTCAAGAGACTGTTGCCGGGGACGGAGTCAGGAGAACCAGTGGGCAGGGACAGGGTGTGGCCTTCATTTGGCCCTTAGTTCAATCCACAAGAACTTCAGTGATAGTTCAGGGGAGAAAGTAGCGAAATTGGAATGCTGACTGGGTATTTATTATTAAAGAATTCCTAATTTTAAAACATGTCGTATGTTTTTTAAAAGAGTCTTTCTCCTTCTGTAAGGATTAGTAAGTAAAATGGTGGGACATCAGGGGCACAAGATGGGAAGTGGGCTGCGGCGCCGACCGCGGGACCGGCCGCAGCAGGAACTGGGATTCGGGGACGGAGACCTGAGCGGTGCCGTACCCTGCATGTGTTTGACGTTTTCCATGAGAAAACACTTTTCTACTAGGTTGGGGTTTTTTTGCCCTTTGTTGCATGTGCAAATATTTTTGGAGTTTTCCATTTGCCTTAGAACTTTAGTGTTGTTGTTTTAATTTCAGAGAAAGAAAACCACAAAACTTTGCAAAGGAGTGACATGTAGCCTATCTTTCTGATTTCTCTGGGCCCGCTGGGGGTAGACCTCCCCACCACACCGCCAAAACATGCGCTCAGTGAGAGCAGTGAGCGTTCTCAGGCTGCACCTCTCAGCTGTGCAGGCTCGCTGGCCACTCCTGAGTCACCATGGTCACTAGCTTCCGGGGGACCGCAGCTCTTCCCGTCTTCACGTCTCCCCCCTGCCCCCTGCCCCTCCTCGGTTGGCTGTCTCCTCTTCTCTTGACCTTGGTGCTCAAGTCGGAGACTGGGCCTCTCCCCCAAGCTCCACACTTACATACCCAGCTGCCTCCTGTGGTCCGATCATCACCCCGAGTCACGTGTTCCCCTGGGGGCACTGCTGGTCTCACGGCAGACCTTCCCTCCACTTTCCTCTTCTCCCCCACGCGGCTCTGGTGTTTTGCTTGCTTAAGCCAGAACCAGAAGCCGTCCTTGATGCTCCTCTTTCTACTTCACATCCAGTTTTTCAGGAAGTCCTTTTGGTTGTAGCATCAAGATTCACCTCGTTCCCTCCTCTGCTGTCACCCTGGTCGTCTCTCATCTGGTCTATTCCCGCAGCTTCCTGCCTGATCTTCATTCCACCCTTGCACCTCCTGGGGTCTGTCCTTACAAAGACATTGAGGACCCTCGAAGGTGTGAGTCTGCTCAGTCCCTCCTGGACTCCCGATCCTCCTGCGCTTGCTCAGCACATGCAGGGCAAGAGCCCAGGTCCCCACATGACTGCGCAGCGCCCTGTGCAGCTGGGGCCTCCCCTGCTCGCCTGTCTCACTCCCTCTACTCCGGCTACCCTGGCATCTGTCCCGCCCCTCAGGCAGGCCTGGGCCCTGGCTGTTGGCCCCACCTGAGACACAGTTCAGTTGGGTGCTCAGTGGTTGTCTCCTTCAGTAATGGGAGTGGTCTTCTTTGAATGCAGCTTTGGTCCCTGGGAGGGAAGTCAGGTGCAGCCCTGGAAGTGGGCAGCAGGACTTGGAATTAAGTCCTGCGAATAATCCCAGGCAGTGTTTTTCCCTCCTGAGCCGGCCCCACCTAGCTCACAGGAAGATTCCTGTGTTAATCTATTGTGTCCTCATTGCCATCATGCCAACAGCTTTCAGTTATACCTTCATATTATAAAAAGGCTTTTAAAGTCTTTTATTGTTGATCATACAAGTAATTGTGGATTTATTCTTTTTTAACCTTCAGAAAGTGGTTAAAAAATCTCCCTCGGTCACCATCCTGTTCTTGTCCCTTCCCTTCCCCAGAAATCACTGATGTCATCAAGTGACAGTCGCATCCACCTCAGTGGAGTGTGCACCTTTCCATGACTTTGCCTCACGTGTACCACGTGGACATGTGTGTTCACACAGGAGAGTGGAATTTAATATCATAATGGGATCATGCTGCATGAAGTGCACTGGAACTTGGTTTCACTGGAAACATTTGAAAGATCTTTCAGACAAGCACATATAAACCTATTTTGTCCTTTGTTTTAAGACTCCCGGTAGTTTACTGAAGCGTCCCCAGTGAAGGACACTTCCTTTGCCTTTCTTCCTGCTCTTGGCGGCGCAGCACAGAGCCGTCCGTCTGGCTCTCACCGACCCCAGCACACGTGAGCCAGACACGATTTGTTCTTCCCCAGGCTTTAGAGTGTTGTTGCTCTCGGGAAGCGGAGTGCTTAATTATCTTTGTTTTACTTAAGCTTGATATGGCACCATATTGATCGCCTTGCTCCTCAAGGCCGTGGTGTACACACCTCTTCTTGTGAGCTGCGAGCCGTGGCGGCCTGGGTGCCACAGAGTGGCTAGTGCCCTCGAATGGGCTTCAGCGTCCACAGTGCTGCTGTGCAGCCAGCCTGGCCAACTGGAACGCTCGTCTGCCTGGGAGGGAAGTCAGGGGCAGCCCCGGAGGTGGGCGAGCAGGACTTGGAATTAAGTCCTGCGAATAATCCCAGGCAGTGTTTTTCCCTCCTGAGCCGGCCCCACCTAGCTCTTCAGAAGGAAGGCTTGCTTAATCGTCTTAACTAAGTCATCTTTATCTATTAATCATTAAAGAGGATCGGACTTAAATAGGCCCAGGGTCCAAAAAGGTTGTTTCTCTCAATACTGTCACTCAGAAACAGAAAACTAATGGACATACTTTTTTTTTTACAGTGTTTAAAGATAATGCTGGAGAAATTTGGCCTATCAGGTAAGTTACAGGCCATGCAAGATATATAATCTTATCCACATCTACTTATAAGTATTGATTAACAAGCCTAATGGAAACGCTTCACACTTCCCCCCAGGGGTGTCTGTTGCGCTCTACATTTGCATATACACACTGAATTCTCCCAGTTCTCATCAGCAGCTGAGAGGACACAGTTGCGAGTTAGCCTGCCACTGAGGAAGGAAGCCTGAGTGGGGTCCAGCAAAGGCCCGGGAGGGAGGAAGTTAGGGTCTGTAGCCTCTGGAATCCCCTAGTCTTCCACTGATTACTTTGTAACCCTCACTGGTTCAGAGTTTCGGGACTGTGGTTCGCACCAGTAGTTGAGGTGCAGACTAGGGACAGCGATGAGACCAGCGCAGAGTGTCCGAAGGAGCTGCCCAGTGAGCAGTGTGGACAGTGCGTGAGGCCGTGCAGCACCTGCTCTGGAGGCTGTGTCCTGGGCCCCACTCACTGGAAGGGGCGGGGACGAGCCCTGGAGCTCCATGCAGAGGCCATTGCCTCTTGGTACCAGTCAGTCCTCCCTTTCACGGATGCCAGGCTGGCCCAGGGCAGCTGCACGTGTATGGCCCTTCCCGTTCCAGAGCCTGATTCTCTCCACCTCATGCGCTGTGAAAAAGTGCTGTTCGCCTTTAACTCACTGGTGGTCTTTCAAAAAACATATTTAGAATGAGTTAAATACTCATATAAGTATCACTATTTAAAACGAGGACTAGTGACAAAAAGGGTCTGCAGAGCAGAGCACTGGGATTTGGTTTGGCTGTGGCCGCAGCACAAATAGGAGACTCCTGCTCATTCCCCAGGCTGCGGCCTCTCTGAGCAGGGAGGGGCACTGACTGCAAGGGATATCAATGTCTTCCTCAGCAGCCAGCGTCCCGACCCGGCTCCACTCGGACCCTCTCCTCCAGAAGTCCCCGCCCCGTCTCCTCAGTGCCCCAGGCGCGTGAGGAACAGGAGTCTCATGAAGACCGGTTGCCACTTACCAGTGTCCATTCACGCCGACCACGCTGCTATGCGCTTCCTCGGGCGCTGGGCGGGGCTCGCATGTGCTTTCAGCTAAGACGGTGAAATGAAACACAACCTCATGGTCTTAGCAGAAAGTCCACACTTGCATATATACACATACATGGCATATACTCGTGTGATGTGTACGTGTAAATACCAAAGGCATAACGCACTGTCCTATAATAGCAAGTGATACTTTTATTTGCAAGTATACATTAATTATATACAATTACACTTCTCTTGATGGAATAGAGAGAAAATTAAGCAAATTGGGAAAACAGTTTTTTTCATGCTTTGGAAGTGGAAATTTTTAAGGAAAATTAGTTAATAATTATTAGATCAAATCTACTTGGTATTTATTTACCCAGAACTGTTATTCCAGACAAACTCTGAAAACATACTCTTCTGAGTTCTTTTAATTGTGATTTTGGTTCTTTCTTAGGGGACACATGGCATTTACGAAAAATGGATTGGTGCTATGAAGCTGGGGAGCCTTTGTGCGAGGAAGTAAGCTTATTTGTATACACTTCATTCTTTAAAATGATGTGTTTATTTGGTATTTTCTTTTTCTGTTTTTTTCTTAGTCTTTTAAAAATATATTTTATTGATTATGCCATTACAGTCGTCCCATTTCCTCCCCTTCATTCCCCTCCACCTTGGACACCCCCTCCCACCCACATTGCCCCCCCCCTTTAGTTCATGTCCGTGTGTCGTAAGTTCTTTATTTTCTACATTTCCCATGCTATTCTTGCCCTCCCCCTGTCTATTTTATACCTACTGTCTGTGCTGCTTATTCTCTGTACCTTTTCTCCTTCTCTCCTCCTCCCATTCCCCTGTTGCTAACCCTCCATGTGATCTCCATTTCTGTGGTTCTGTTCCTGTTCTAGTTGTTTGCTTAGTTTGCCTTTGTTCTAGGGGTGGTTGTTAATAACAGTTTGCTGTCCATTCACTGTTCATATTTTTTATTTTATTTTTCTTAGATAAGTTCCTTTAACATTTCATATAATAAGGGCTTGGTGATGATGAACCCCTTGAATTTGACCTTATCTGGGAAGCACTTTATCTGCCCTTCCATTCTAAATGAAAGCTTTGCTTGATAGAGCAATCTTGGATGTAGGTCTTTGGATTTCATGACTTGGAATACTCTCTTTCCAGTCCCTTCTTGCCTGTAAGGTTTGTTTTGAGAAATCAGCTGACAGTCTGATGGGAACTCCTTTGTAGGTGACTGTCTCCTTTTCTCTTGCTACTTCTAGGATTCTCTCCTTCATTATAATCTTGGCTAATGTAATGATGATGTGCCTTGGTGCGTTCCTTCTTGGGTCCACCTTCTTTGGGACTCTCTGAGCTTCCTGGACTTCCTGGAAGTCTATTTCCTTTGCCAGATTGGGGGAGTTCTCTTTTATTATTTGTTCAAATGAGTTTTCCACTCGTGGCTGTTCCTCTTCCCCTTCTGGTACCCCTATGATTCGGATGTTGGAGCGTTTAAAGATGTCCTAGAGGTTCCTAAGCTTCTCCTCATTTTTTTAAATTCTTCATTCTTTTCTGTTTGGTTGTTCCTTTCTTCCTTCTGGTCCACTCCATTGGTTTGAGTCTCAGTTTTCTTTCCATCACTATTGGTTCTTTGTGCATTTTCCTTCATTTCACTTAGTGAAGCCTTCATTTGTTCATCTAATTTGTGACCAAATTCAACCAATTCTGTCAGCATCCTGATCACCAGTGCTTTGAACTGTGCATCTGATAGGTTGGCTAACTCTTGGTTGCTTCGATGTATTGGCTCTGGGGTTTTGATCCGTTCTTCCGTTTGAGCCTTTTTTTTTTCCTTTTTCTTTCTTTCTTTTTTTTTTTGGTCTGGTAATGCCTATTATGTATGAAAGGTAGAGCCTTAGGTGTTCACCAGTGTGGGGCAACCCAGTGTGGTTGGGTTGTGATGCTGTATCTGGGGGCGGGGTCAGAGACCTGCTCTCTCTCGGATTTCAGTTCCTTCTGTCGCTTCCCACGAGCAAACTGGGCCCTTCTGGTGCTGCTTCCCAGGTGGGTGGGCTTGTGTACATTCTAGGACCCTGTGGGTCTCTCCAGTGAACTCTCGGGTGGGGCTTGGAGTGTCTCCCAGCACCTCAACCCCCACAAGTGTTTTCAGTCAGTGCTTTTAGGCTTTATTTCCCGGCGCTGGGGCCCTGGGGCCCTGGGTTGCAGGGTCTGTCTTGCTGCCCGTTTTCACCTGGTTTATCTCTGCACGAATGTGTGACCACAGGGGACCCAGTCAGACCCACCTTACACACCTCACTGGGTCTGCCCCTTGCCACCCTGTGCCTGGGATCTGCCAGCCGCCGCCTGTGCCCCTGGGTTGGTCCAGCAGCTGCCGCTTTTTCCTGCCGCAACCCTTCTCCTCCAGCCTCCGACTCCACCCATCTTACTGGTCTGGATGAATGGTTGTCGGATTTCCATACAGTTCAGTTTTCTGTCAGTTCTGGTTGGTTTTTTATTTCTAAATTTTTGTTGTCCTTAATTTTGGTTGTGCAAGGAGGCACAGTGTGTCTACCTATGCCTCCATCTTGGCCAGACGTCTCTATTTGGTATTTTCATACAGGACATTCACCTTACTCATAATTCTAAAGAAAGCCTTAATTTTTTTAGCATATAAAAATTTATACTTGAGTCTGCCTTCACTTTCTCCTCCCACAGTTACTTGAGAGCAGTAGGAGGGCAAGTCTCAGCCCACGGGGCACACTTCTGACCTCTGTGTCCAGTCCCCTTTGACCAGAGCGGGCATCCCCAGGAGTAGAAGTTCTTCATTAGGAGGCAGGAAACTTGAGAGAACAAAAGACATTTTAACTAGTGGAAGAATTTGAAGATACACTCTGAATTGTGACCCTCACTATTTTAGTCTCAGTATTTCTCTGTCGGTTGGGGGCAGTTCTGCCGCCTGCCAGTCACTTTGCTGTGGTCCAGACTGTTCCTCTAGATCCTGCCAGGCTCCCGGGCAGCCTCAGGGGCAGCTGGATCACAGGACAGGCTGAACCTGGTGTGTCTCACGTTGGTCCAGATGGCACCAGGCTGCCCATCCAAGCCCACAGCCTTGGAAGGAGACCCAAAATGAAGCTTGGTGAGCACAGCCGCCCTCCCTAGTTCTGTCTGCCTGCTCCTGCTCAGCGACCGACTGTGGCATTGAACATCCACCACGGCTGTTTAGAGCCTGCGTGCTGGGGTCGTCCCCTGGAGCACTGCTGAGCGGCAGTGCCAGTACTGAGGTGACACTCTTGAGTCTGGGCCAGAAGAAACAGACCTTGGAGGGTCCTCAGGACCTGCAGTTCGGCGTCAGGAGAGTGGCCCAGTTTCTGTGTGGTCGTCTCTGTCACGCCCCATGTTGGTAGCAAATCGTTCTAGCGCTGTGTAGAGCAAACTCACGACCTTCACCACTGGTTCCTCTTCCCAGAGTTGCCGTCCGTCCCGCCCAGGTGTCTTCTGCCTGAAATGTGGCTCACCCTGCTCTGGTGTTGGCGGGGGGGGGCAGTCTCCAGAGTCCTGTCACTTCCCCATGCCTTCCTGACCATGCCCGCTGCCCTCCTCCGCCCGGCCCCGTGCAGTTCAGCCTAGTTCTCCCTTCTTTCCCTCCTACATAAGTTACTGCCGCAGGCTTCCCTGCAGCAGGTGCGCCCCCTCCACGTGCTGCACCGGTAGCAGCCAGACTGCTTTCTGAAAACTCCTCCAAAGTCTTGAGTTGCTTTTTTCAAAGGAACTAAAAATTCCTTTTTTTTTTTCCTATTCCACATCCCTTCCACCTGTGACCACCCTTTCAACCAGGGTTTTTTTCTGTCTCTCCAGCTGGTACTGCCCACTCTAATCATCTGGTCCCTAAGCTCTTCCCCGGAACAGGCCCTACGTATTTTTGACATAAGCTTCACTTTGCTCTGTTGGCCTTTTCATGAGAAATTCCTTCTCCTGTTTCACCCAGCTTTCTAGATGCGACCCATCTTTTTAGACTTAAGTACCACTCATCTCCTGTAAATCAGTCTCTCGTCACTTCTTGCTTCATGCCTCTCCCTCCCTCTGTGTCTTCTAGGGCACTTACAGTTCACACCCGTAGTTTAATATATAATGATAGACTGCTTTGTCAGCCTAGCTTATTTGCTACTCTTCGACATCTGCTTTATTATGCATTCATTTATTTATTTCAAGGGTAATAGAGGCAGAGGGTTCCAGGGGGGAAAAGGCCCAGTGATCTGTTTGTGCCCAGCAGAAGTTACATGTGACGAAAAAGCACTTCTGTGTTCCCAGGATGCAACACTGAGAGAGCTTATGATACGTTCTGGAGACACTTTGCTTTTAGTTGAAGGAAAACTTCTTCCTCCGGTAAGACTCTGTCCTCAGTAGACACTTGGTGAACAGCAGCCATTGTCGCTGTCGTCCGATTGCAAAGGCGGTGGGTTCTGGCTGTGGGGAAGCAGGTGGCGGTCAGAGAGAGCGCGGCGCTCACCCAGAGCCCATCCGAGAGGCACCTCACGTGTCCCTTCCTGTGCAGTCAACTGTGTGGAGTTTTATTCTCTACTTTAAGATTTGATTTTTCGACCTGGCCATAAAATCCAAAACCTGTTATTGTATCTGATGTATGACTTATCACGGCTTAATTTACTTTAAATCCATTGTTGGAAACTTAGCTTGTTTTTTTTCTTTTAGTAATACTTAAGAACAAATCCTTTTTAAGGTAGTTCTGAAGATGGAATCAATAAGTCAAAACTTTTTAAAAACTCCATAATACATGTTGCCAAATTATCTTCTCAAAGAGTTGTACCAAATGTACAGCCCTGTCAGCAGGGTGTAAGAGGGCTCGGCTCCCTGCTCCTTTATAAACACTGCTCCTTACCACTTTTTAACCTTTATTTATTGGGGTTTTAAATGTGGATGCACGTAAAAAATTTTTTTAAGTGACCCAATATCCCAGCACTCGGGTGACCATTTGCTTATGACTGGAGACTTCACGCAGCACAGAAGGCCGTACGTGAAAAACAAGTCTCCCACCTCCTTCTCCCCGGAAAGGGCCACAACTAACGACTTCGTCTTCACGCGTCCTTCCAAGGCAGGGGTGCCTGCTTTTATGCCAGGTGTAAATATACAGGAGTCCTCTTTAAAGGTGCCGTAGAGGGTCACGTCCGGAGCAGCTGTTACACCTGCTGCTCTGTGTTTCATTCACTCGATGTGTCTCAGGGTCGCCTCACACCAGCACCTGGCCTGCTCTTTCCCACCACTTCCGGGAGTTCTGTGGTGCTTTAAACCATACTCTTCATTTTTCAAATTGATAATACTCATGATACAAAATTCAAAGTATATAAAAAGCTGGGAAAGAAAAGTAGGTGTGCATTCCCCTGGCCCCCAGCCACACGGTGAGTCCCTCCGTAGGGGCCAGAGCCCTCTGTGCTCCAAGTGGGCACCTTGGGACCTCACACAGCTCTCCCAGTCGCTATCAGCTGCCCTGTTTTATTTTCCTGAATCTCATCGGCAGTCTGAAATCTCTTCCCTTTCAAAGGTGATTTTAGTTTTGGGAAAAGCCTGAAGTCACAGGTTGCCAGATCTGGGCTGTAGGGGGGGCTGAGTCGCCTGGGGGATTTGATGTTTCACACAAAAAAACTGCGTAAGACGTGATGCAAGAGCAGGCGCATTGTCTTAATGAAGCTGCTGATCACCAGTTGCCCATAGCTGCAGCCTTCTGAACCATCCCAGAATAGTTTCTGTGGAAGAATGTTCAAGCTTAAGGCACAATTTGATGCAGATTTGTTGCTGTACTCGCTCAGTCATTTTGAATGTGAAGGCCACACAGTACACATGCTCAGTCAACGGCGTCTACCGCCCCCACTGACCAGTACAGTGAAGTTGTCATTGTTCACGCATGTGCAGTCCAGTCCACTCTCCTTGGCTGCTGGGTGACATCGACTTTGCACAAGTCATCGTCATTACGTGAACAATGGCTGAACATTTTCCTGGACAGACCTTGTGTGGCAGTTTTACATGTCAAAGGAAAACCAGTGAATTTAGGAACACGTTGTTACTATGTTTCTTTCTGTGAGAGTAAGAGTGGAAGCTCGCTGTGTACAGCACAGCATTTAGAAATCCTCCATCCTTCAGGGTTTCCTGCAGGTGCCCGTGTGGTGGTACCAGCCTCGGGGGCCTGCAGCCCAGGGGAAGAGCCTTCGGGACCAGACGACCTGCACCCCTTCTCCGGGTGCGGTCTGGAGAGCTGCTTCCGCCCCAGGTGAGGACACACACCGCAGCAGCCAGGGTGTCACAAAGTGAAATGACTGAGGGGCGAATGACATAGTTACTTTTGAAAAATGTATGACTGAAAATCAGAACCTATTTAGTCCAGAAGCCGCTCCATAACAGTAGCGCCATCCTGCTGTATACAACGCTTTGAAACCGTCAGGTCCAGCCTGTTGAAATCTTTGTTGTAGAAGGGTATTCAGGTTTTTCAAGGAATCTGTGCATGTCATCTCCCAAGGTTCTCACGGCAGTGTGAATAGTGGCCTCATCTGTCACGCTGGACTAGGTCACCGAGGCTCCCCTCACGGCACCAGCACCGCAGCCCTGGGGCGGAGCCAGAGTCGCAGACGTCACCCTCCCCCACCCCACCCGGCCCGCTCCCGCTCTTCCTGCTGCTCCCTGGGCACTGCCCCCCCCCCATTGCCCTCTGAGAGTAATAGAGGCGGGGTGGGCACCCGACTGTGCTTCCGAGTCGCTTGTCACTTGTCTCCGGACCACGTCCAATGCCTATGCCACATTAGCCAGGAAGTCACTAGGAGAGTGTGCAAACTTCCATTGTGAAAAGTTGGTTGCTACTTGGTTACAAAGAAAACACCAGCCAATCTCCTTTGTAGATAAAACTGTAGGAGGACCAACTCTCTCTCTATTTTTTAATCGTGTCTTAATTATTTAGCTTAGGGGGGGCTTAAAGTATTCTATGTTTTAAAGCCTCAGTACTGAAATTACTGAAAATAAATCAAATTCTTATCTCGTTATTCATTAAAGTTAGGAATATATGTATGTTTAGAGCAATAAAATATTTTCAGGTTGAATTAGTTATGAAATTGGCAGTATCTTTGGTTGGGTTATAGAGATATGTTAACTAATTCTAAAAATGCTTTAGTAATAGAATAATTACATACAGAGTTAGCCACAAATTTAAAAAGCACGTTTAATCAGTGTGTTTCTTCATAAAAGGGAAGACACAGGTTCATTTTTTCATAGTCCTTCTTTATAACAACATGCAATATTTTTGCTTAATTTATTTATAATCTAATTTTATTATATACTAACAGTGTGCCCCAAAATAAACATTTAATCAAAGCAAAAAATGAGTTAAATTATTATGAATTTTAAATTTAGTTGCCAATTTTTACATCCAGAATTTTAGATGAGAGAGCATTTTATATTTCCTTTAAAAAAATATTTTATTTATTTATTTTTGAAGGGAAGGGAGGGAGAAAGAGGGAGAGAAACATCAATCTGTGGTTGCCTCTCGTGCTCCCCCTACTGGGCACCTGGCCTGCAACCCAGGCATGTGCCCTGACTGGGAATCAAACTGGCAACCCTTTGGTTTGCAGGCCAGCACTCGATCCACTGAACCACAGCAACCAGGGCATATTTTTCCCCTTTTTAAAACAAATGCAGAAAGCCTTTGTACTGTCAGGGATTCTGTCAGTCACTAAACCTTTACATAGGTGACCAGGCACCAGACAGACAAGAATAATGGCCTGTCCTCTCCTGACAATTGTATTCTCTCATGTGCACCCAAGGAAACAGAAACAGCAAGACGAGTTGGGCTGAGTGAGGGGGAAGGGAAGGGGGAAGTGGTCTAGGGAACAGGGCAGGCTAGACCACCAGCACAGTCCTCTTGAGGAAGGAGAGCATCCAGCAGGCAGCACAAGTGTGAGACTCCTCCACCCCTTACGGGGAGGAAACTGAAAACTGTCTCCTTGTGCCCCAGGCGCCCCCTGGCTGCTGAGTGAGGAGGCGGGGCTTCCATCCAAAATTGGGAGGCGAGAGTTCAAGGAACTTGGAACCTGAGTTTTGTGACTGCAACTGCACTGAAAGTGTTCATGACATTGAAACGCTGCCTGTGTCTCAGAAATATCAACTAAATGCATTTCAAGCCCTTTCACACATGTGGCTGTGTCTTTTGTAGGTGCTCCTGGTGATGTGTGCAAGGACACTTCCCTCCGCTACCTGGGAGACCTGGAAATCTCAGAAGATGCCACTCTAGCGGAGCTCAAGGCTCAGGTGAGACCTCCTCCTGCAGTGCACCTGAGTGCCGTCTGGTTTCTTCCCGGGAGATGGTAACCTGTCCTTCCGTTCTCCGAGCCCTCACTCCCAGTCTGCTCTGGCGTGGCACGTGTCTCACGCCACGCTCAGGCGTGAGGGCCCAGCAGGCCACAGGCACGCGGCTCCAAAAGCTCCCGGTAGTGTCCTCTCTGCGGTTGCCCTGGCGGCTCTCGTTTCTCCCTCGGACAGGCCTGCTGTGCTTTCATCTGAGTATATCCTCGGTGACCTGCTGCTTACATTTATTTTTAGTTTCTAGGGAAACATGATTTATTGAAATATTTGTAAAGCTTCAGTTTATCCCTTTATTTACATTGTTTTTATGTCACTGCGATCCATGTGTTATGTGTCGTCAGTTAAAGGAGTGTTAGTTTCCCAGGCGGTCAGAGCAGCAGCGGCCTGCTGCGGTGTTAGACCAGACGGTGGGTGTCTCCAGCACACGGAGAGAGTGCTGGTCCCGTGGAAGGGCCAGGTCGAGTGCACGTCAGGTGCCTCGGGAGCCTCTTACTGCTGTGGGGCTGAGTGGGCACCCATCGTCCTCTCAAAGGGAAAATGTGGGCACAGGTAGTGCGAACGCCGCCGGTTCCTGGCACTTGACCTGTGGGTCCGTGATGTAGGAAGCACCTTCCTCAAAACAAAAGGGGTTTATTCTCATGAGAACAAATGGCAAGAGACTTATTTTTTGTATTGGGTTGAAAGACACAAAATTGCTGTCTTTAGGTAAAAAATGGATGAATATTGGCTATTTTACACACTACAATCTAATATAAAAGTTATCTACTCCACAATTAGTTCCGCCATTCAGGTTTAGCAGTAGGATCCACAGATTTTGAAACATTTCAAAATGCAAAGCCGTTTCCTCGGCTGAGCAGACACCGTTGGAGAGCTGCGCGGCGGGAGCTGAGGTCGGGCCCGCTTCTCCCCGAGAGGCCTCTGCTCGGGCAGGGGACACTCACAGAAGCCAGCTTTACAGTGTCGTTTTCTAAAGCAGGGACGGAACAGAAGCTTTTGGCTCAGATTTAGACATTGAAAACTGACTTATCTCTCAAGCTGATTCCAGTACAAAGAAACACCGGAATTCCTCGTGACTAATTTGAGACAGTCCTGTGGCTGCTGCACAGGCCCACATCAGGCGGGTGGCCTCCCTCAGAGGTCCTCTGCAGTGCTGCATTTCCCCAAAGCCACGTGCTTTACGAGGGCCTGTTCGAACCCGCGGACAGGTGTCTTTCTCCCCTAGGCCCTGACCCTGCCCTCGCTGTCGGAGCTCTGCACCCCGTCCCCGGCTTTCCTCAGAGCCTGGACAGTGGACGGCCAGCGCCCCGGCAGGCTCTTGCGGGACGGCCAGCAGCAGCTCAGGTAGGTGGGGCGCTCAGGAACAGGAAGGGTCCTGGAAATCGCACAGGTCAGCGGGGTAGTGCCTGTCGCCGTAAGTCAACCCCGAGACAGCCTCCGTTTCCGTATTGGGTTAAATGTAGCTTCGTGTGTTTTCACCGTGCTGCGGAGACCGGACAAGGTTGCGGGCGCTCTTTTTCCCTGACTTTGTTGACCCGTAGCTCGCACAGCATGGCGGTGTGAGGTTGACATACAGCCCATTCATTCAGCACTCGTGTGTCACTGCAGATGGTCACCACTGCAGTGTCAGCGGACACCTGCCTCACGTTGCATAGTTGCCATTTCTTTTTCGTGGGGAGGACATTCAATATCTCCTCTCCGAGCAACTTTGAAGTGTATGAGACGGTATTATCGGCTGCCATCACCGTGCTGTACATCAGCCCCCAGAACTCACTCTTTCCCTGCTGCAGCCTCTCCCCTCCCCTGCTGCCAGCCCCTGGTGCCCCCCGTTCCGCTCAGTGTATGACTTTTTTAGCGTCTACATTTAAGTAAGGGTCACACGGTGTTTGTCTTCGTCATCACATCGCCCTCGGGTCCATCGTGTGGTTGCCAGCAGCCGGGTGTCCTCCCTTCTGGCAGCTGGATAAGTCCTGTCTGCGTGTGTGAGTGTGTGAGTGTGCTCCCGCTGAGGGACACGGTGTCGTGCCCCTGCCGTGGCGTCATGAGTGTGCTGCAGCTGGACGTGGGAGTGCAGGAGGTTCTCTGAGGCCCGGAGGGTGGGGTTGCTGGGCCATTTGGTGGTTCTGTTTGTGGTTTTCTGAAAAGCCTCCACACTCATTTTCATGGTGACTGCACCAACTTACGTTCCCACCGGCAATATACACGGGCTCCCCTTCCTCCACGTCCAACCGTCACTTGTCACTTGTCGTCCACTGATGACGGCCATTCTGACCGGTGCAAGGTGGGAACTCGGGGTCTTAGTGTGCATTGCCCCGACGGCTAGCGATGGTGAGCACCTGCTTGTGCACCTGCTGGCTGTTTGTCTTCTCAGGAAAACGTCTGTTCATTTCCTCTGTCCATTTTTTAATCAGATTGTTTGGGGTTTCTGCTGTTGACTTGTCTGAGTTCTTCATACACTTTGGGTGTTGACCCCTTACCAGGCGTGTGACTGGCAGACACTTGCTCCCATTCCACAGGCTGCCTTTTCGTTTCCTTTGCTGTGCAGAAGCTGTGTAGTTTGATGTGGTCCTGCTTGTTTACTCGGTTTTTGTTGCCTTTGCTTATGGCGTCAAACCCAAGGAGTAATTGCCAAGACCCATGTCCAGGGGCTTAGGGCTCGCCCGTGTTTTTTTCCAGGACTTTCACAGCTCTGCGTCTCTGGTCCGTCGGGTGTGCAGCACACTGCGGCAGTGGGCCGGTTGCATTTGTCTGCCTGAGGCTGGCCCCCTTCCCGGCACCGTTTATTACAGACGCTGCCCTTTCCTCACGGTGTCTACTTGGTGCCTTTGTCTAAGTTAATCGGCCATATACATGTAGGCTTATTTCTGGGGTCTCTGTTGTGTTCTATTACTGATCTAGGGGTTTGTTTGTATGCCAATCCCAGACTGACTGATTACTACAGCTTTATAACCTAACTGGAAGTCAGGGAGCGTGACGCCTCCAGCTGTGTCCCCGAGATGGCTTCCGTTACTGCGGCTCCACGCAGACTTTAGGACTGCTGTGTGTTTCTCTGAAAAATGCCAGACATTTTAGTTGGGTTTGCATTTTACCTGTAGATCGCTTTGGGCAGTATGAGCATTTTAACAGTATTCTTCTAGTCCACAAACATGGAATATCTGTACGTTTATTTGTCTTGGTCGACATTCTTCATCAGTTTCTAACAGTTTTCAGTGAGCACACCTGTCACCTTCTTGGTTAAACGTGTTCCTCAGTACTTTGTTCTTTTGGATACTGTTGTAAATAGGGTGTTTTTACTTTCGTTTTCTGATAGAGAGCTGTTAGTGTATAGAGTGCAGCTGATTTCTGTGTATTGATTTTGTATCCTAAAAGTTTGCTGGATACATTTATTGGTTTTAATAGTTTTTGGTGTAATCTTTTTTTTAAGGTTTTACTTATTTATTTTAGAGAGAAGGGAAAGAGAAAGAGAGGGAGAGAGGCGTCAATATGTGGTTGCCTCACATGCACCCCTTCTGGGGACCTGGCCTGCAACCCAGGCATGTGCCCTGAACTGGGAGTCGAACCAGCAACCCTGTGGTTTGCAGGCCGGCATTCAGTCCTCTGAGCCACACCAGCCAGGGCAGTTTTTTGGTGTAATCTTTAAGGTTTTCTAAATATAACATCATGTCATCTGCAAATAGAAACACTTTTACTTCTTCCCATCTGCTCCCAGTGCCTTTTCTTTCCCTCTCTTACCCGATTGCTCCGACCAGCAGCCCCAGTGCTACTGCCACACGTGGCAGCAGTGGGCACCCTGGTGTGGTCCTTGACCTCGGAGGACAAGCTCCCAGCTCTTCTCCATCGAGCGTGATGTGAGCCGTGGCTTTGTCATGCGTGACCTTTTCCACGGACACTTCCTCTATGTCGTGTATTTCCAACACGAGAGACGTCGAATCTTGTCCGGGGTTTTTTCTGCATCTGTCGAGATGATCATGATTTTTTCCCCTCATTCTGGTAGCGTGGGGTATCACACTGATCGATTTACAGCTACTTGACACAGCCTTGCATCCCTGCTATGAATCCCACTTGACCGTGTTGTGTGATCCTTTGTATTGTTAAAGGCAACTTGCGGATGTTTTGTCAAGGGCTTTGTCTGTGTGCTCCTCAGGGCCCGTGGTTTTCTCTTCCTAGAGCATCCCTGTCTGCTTGGATGCCAGGGTGACGCTGGCCCCATACAGGCGGTTCAGAAGTGTCCTCACAACTTCTGTCGTTTGGGAGAGTCCGAGGAGGACTGGTGCTCTCTTTAAACGTTGGGTGGGGTTCAGTAGTGAGAACCGTCTGGTCCTAGGCTTCCTTTGCTGGGAGGTTTTTGATTTCCGATTCAGTCTCCTCACTCATGATTGGTCTGTTCACATTTTGTTTCTTCGTAATCCACCCGTGGTAGGTTGCCTGTTCCTAGGGGTTCACCCATTTCTTGTAAGCTGCCTAGTTGATTAGAGTGCAGTTGTTTATGGTCTCTAAATTTTGAGTGTTATGTATGATATTTTTCTGAAGAAGCTTAAATTTGACCAAAAAATGTTTTAAAAACTTAAAGGATGTACCTCACTAATATTTTGTGTCATTTCTTATCAGGGAGCATAAACTGGGAAGGAAAGCCAAGGTCTGCTTGGAGCCCCTGCAGGAAGAAGAGTTCTTAGGGTAAGTCGTACGATGTCACCTCGTATTGCCGTGGGTGGCTGTTCTAGAAATGTGTTTGCGTGTCTGTGTGACCACGAGAACTCATTGTTGAGGGTGTCCCAAGTGCACACCGAACCCACAGCGGCCTCGCAGACCCTCTCCTCATCCCACTGCCGCGGAGGTTCCCTTTGCTGTTGCGGCTGCCGCAGCTCCGCCCGTCTCCCCCGCTCCCTCCTCCCAGCTGGGAGCCCTCGGCCCCTGCCCCCACCACCCCGCAGCCACTCTCCAACCCCCACCCCCGGCAAAGCCCCTCTCCCCATGCCAGCATCGCCACTCTGGCTTCGGCCCTTGCCACGCCGGGAACGCTCTCCCAGCTACCCGGCTGCCTCTCCGAGGGCTCTTCCGTGGACTCCCAAGGGGAGCGTCCCCTCCATCTGGGCCAGGACGGAAGGGGACAGAAGTAAGGAGGGTTCCCCACTAGCGTGCAGGGTTCAAGGGAAAGCTCGCCTTAGAAAAATGAGACGAGTTGGAGGGGAAGCTTCGGCCCTCATGCCCCTCCTAGGTGTCAGGTAGCTCTCGTGTTTGTTTGAAACCCGACACGCGCCTGCTCTCTGGCGCAGCCCCCGGGACATGCTGCTGAGGACGAGGATGCGCCTCCCCGGCCAGCGGGCCTACGCCCCACCCGTGGACGTGGTGTGGGACGCCACCCAGGGCACGGCCGGCTCCTTGCGGCAGCGCGTGGCTGATTTCTACTCGCTTCCCGTGGAAAAAATCGAAATTGCCAAGTACTTTCCGGACAAGTTTGAGTGGCTTCCAGTCTCCAGCTGGGTGAGGTTGTGGGGCTCCCTGGTCGGGGAGCAGCTTCTCTCGGTTGTTCACGGGTAGGGGACCGAGGGAGAACTTGAGTTTGTTTTCTTTATCCAAGATGCTTGCTTTTCCATAGAATCAGCAAATGACCAAGAGGAAAAAGAAGAAAAAGCAAGATAATTTGCTGGGGGCACCCTATTACCTGAAGGACGGGGACACTGTCGGTGTCAAGGTCAGTTGGTAGCGGCACATTCACCCCCCGACAACACAGGTCAGGTGACTCGGCAGATCTTCCCGCACACGCAGACGGTCCCACTCACAGACCGTGTCAGGGTGGAAAAGGGAGAGCCAGGCAGGGAGGCCAGTGGGGCCTCGGCGCCAAGGCCGTGAGGTCCAGTCTGACTCGGACGGGGCGCCCTGGGGCTCCGGCGCCGCGCTGGCACCGTGGCTCGAGGAGGCGCCTGTGTCAGACAAGGACACTGCCTTCTTTCCCAGTTTGCGCTGTGTTCCTCTTGGAATCATGCGTGGACTCTGAGTTCTTAATACTAAATTTACTCTGCGTATTTTCTGCCCCTGCGGAATCAGCCAGGTGGTTTGTGTCCTTGAATTGGGCCGTGGCCCTGCCACAGACCTGTGTGCTCGACCGACACGCCGCCACGTACATGCGTGCTCGGCACAGACACGCCATGTACATGTGTGCTCGACAGACACACCGCCACGTACATGTGTGCTCGGCACAGACACGCCGCCGCAGACATGTGTGCTCGGTATGGGCTGTCCTCACACCCCACGGGCAGACCTGGGTTCCTGTCATGTAGCAAAATTTTTATTAAGGTAAATATGTAATTTTAGTCCTTAAATTAACTGTTAATCTACTGATAACAAATTACCGATTTACTGTAATTATTGATTTAAGGGGTAATTATTATATTAAGGGGTGAGGATTCCCTGGTCACTTCTAGTGGACAGTGGACTGGACGAGTGACCGACATACGACCCTCCTCCCCCCAAAAATAAAAGTAAATAAAAAATTGAAAGACAGTTAAGAAAAATTCTAAAACAAAAATATAAAACTTTTTTTTTACATGCTAGAAAGGAGATTCAAGAGAGTACAAGTAAACCATTAGATGTATTAAGATTCAAAAGATTACAAGATCAGTGGTCCTAAAATTACAGTAACTAGGACCGCACCCAACACCCAGCCTCCCCAGAGCCCCCGAGACCGTGAGGGGAGAGCCCTGCGTTTGTTCTGGGAGGAAGGCTCCAGTGGCCGCGCCGGCCTCACCCTGTAGACGCTTTGACGCCCCTCCCAGGGGAAGCATCGGCAGCCACAGGCCAAGGTCAGGTGACTGCAAAGTCCCTTCTGTTCTGCCTGCCACTCGCTCAGTTTGTCATCAGACACCGAGAGTTTTGTCTCCATTGTTCATCTAGTTTATGTGAACATAGATGTCTCCTTATGTTGATTTAGCTAATTTTTTATATAAATCACCTAAATTTTTATATGAATTTACACACTCTTACTAAACATAGGCTAAAAAGATGTCTGAACATTCCTTACTTTGAAATGTAGAATCTCCTGGTTGAAGATGATGACGACTTCGGAACAGTCAGAGATGACGTTGGAAAAGAGAACCAGACACGGCTCACTCTGGGGACAAGGACGAGGTAACAGGGTTCTCACTGTCACAGCCGCCCCTCCAGGCCGCGGCACGCTGGTCACTCGCCACAGGGCTGGTCGCCCGGAGGAGCGGCGGAGTTCTCATCCTTCAGTTCCTGACCTGGACCCGAGAGCCTCGTTCTGCCCCGGGGACCTCTCCCCACCGTCTTCCTCCTCACACTGAAGAGTAGTCGCTCCTGGTTGAAGACTCACTTTCTGGGCCTTTCCTTCAGACACAGGCCTGAAAGCAGAGCGGCCCCACTCCCACGCGCCGCACCCTGGGCCGTCTCACCTCCCCTACAGGAGGCTCAGACCCTCCTAACCCCTACCCCGCCACCATCCAGATTGGGGCCCGCTCTCGGCCACTCTGCACATACCACCTGCGTCCCTAGCCCTGGGCAGACTCGCTCCGTCCTCTTCTGTAGTCGGTTTGCTCTCCCGGCCCCCAGATCTCCTGGCCCGTGCTCTGAAGTGCCCAGTCCCCAAGCGCCCGCGCTTCCGTCCCCAATGTCCAGACCCGCTCTCACCACCGTGGTCCACAGCATCACTGCCACAGGCCACACCAGGGGCGCTGTGTCCTCCTTGCCTGCCCCCCATTTCCTTCTCCTGACCTGGGTGACCCTGTGTCCCTGCCTGGGAATGGGTGACTGCCCTGTCTCCTGCAGCCAGGAAGCTCTTCATGTGCGGAGCAGTGACATTTTCTCCAGTGCAGAGACGCCTGGCCCGCCCCATAGACCGGAAGCTTCTCTCTCCATCCACGTCGGGAGTTTCAGATAGCCCCGGCCCCTGCAGATGTGCCGTGGGCACCGCACCCAGTCAAAGCTGGTACCGGAGCAGCTGGCGCCTGGGCTGGGTTGGCAGCAGGCGCAGGGCGGAGCCCTCGCTCCTCTGCTCTGCGAGTGCAGGCTTGTCGGCTGCCGCCTGGTACGCACACAGGTGCCAAGCCACTGCGTTGTTGCCACCCAGGGGACAGTCTCAGGCCAGGCAGGCTCACTTCACCACCACGCTACACAGCACGTCCACCTGTGGGGGGCCCGCGGAGACCAAGCCATGTCTACAGGTGCTAGTCAGACGCTGTCCCCACACCACACTGACCCCAGCTGCCATCGTTGTAAGAAGAGGTCCGAGTTCTGCATCAGCTGCAGGCAGCCTGGATAAAATGGCCCGTGCTGACCGCTGAGCAGTGTGCGCTTTAGTGCACACGGCTACCCTGCCCCCGCATCGGTGCCCGCACTCCAGACGTGCTGGCAGCTCCACTCCCTGAGGGGCGCCGGGCCAGGCTCAGCTGTGTCCTGGCCCCCACACAGTGCACGGTGACCCTCAGGTCTGCAGTCAGAACATTCCCACTGCCGCAGTTGGAAGCCCAGCTGGGACGCTGCTCGGGACCCACGAGGCGTGGGCGCTGAGCTGCCAGTCCTAAGAAGCTGTGCTTAAAACAGGAAAAGGAAATGTGAACAAAGATGCTTTTCCTACTCGTTCGGCATGAGTGGCTAACCATGGGATTTAAAAGCTTTAACCAATATTTGTGACAAATACAGAGTCTCTTACTGAATCAGATGTGGGACTCAGATGAGCCACTTAAACTCGTCCAAAGCGGGATTCCTCAGAGAGCAAGCCCTCCACTTTCTCCCCCCAGCCAGGCTTTGCACAGTTCTGGCCTCACACAGACTCCTCGGCAGCCCTTTCTCACTGGGGTTCAGCTGGCCCTTCCATGTTAAGGGATGGACAGGAAGCGTGGGCAGACCGGGGCTAGGTCTCAGCTGCCAGGAGGGAGTTATGCTGCACCCACGTGGCCTTTCCACAGACTGGGGCACTAGGTGCGGCTCTTCCAGCCCGTTAGGAACCAGGCAGCATCTGTGTGAGGTCGCGGGTCTCAGGCCCTGCGTTCATTTGTGCCAATGCAGTGTGCTGGAAGGAGCGGGACTTGGGCACGCTGCCCTCACGTCCTCCAGCGCTCGGCCGTCTCAGGACACTGCACATGGGCACTGGGCGTGTCTGGAAGCCCAGCCCTCTGCACAAACTTCTGTTCCTGTGACGGTAGCTGACACGCCCCTTTGCCGGGCCCCTCTTTCATTGTAAGGTAATAAAATATTAATGCACTAACTGAAAAGCCTTGCTTTGCAGAAGTCAAAAGCTGTGCCGCAGAGGACTTACCAAGGCTGGCGGGCCTCAGTGTCCACAGTGGGCTCCAGGGCCTGGGCTCCAGGGCCGGGCCTCCTGGTGGTCGGTGCTGCTGTGCTCGCTCCTTTGCTGACCTCGGGGGTGGGCGGGGGCAACGGAGAGGGCTGGCCTGTCCGTCAGAGAGGAAATAAACCGTTCTTCCTGCCTGTCTCCACCGGCGACTGCTCCCCGTCCCACCTGGCCTTTTCCCCAAGCGCATGTCAGCTCCTGAACACACACAGGTTCGGTTTAGAAACCGTGGCTTGGGACCGCTTCAGAAACAGAAGCAGGTTTGGTTTTAAGGAAGCTCAGACCCCTGGGGAAACCTGCGCTGGGAGAAGCTAGGCGGGCTCCAGCCCTTCCTTCTGGGGAATTGGAACCAGCCGCGGGGCAGCACAGGTCACCGCTACTCAACAGCGACACTTTTCTGTGGAGGGCAGAGGGGACAAGAATCTCGGTAACACAGCTGGTCCACCGGCCGTCCATGTTCCTCTCCAAGGGCACCATCACCAAGGCCCCCCTTGGTGGGGTCCCCCTCCAGGGTCCCCCCAGGCCCTGCCCTTGCCGGGGTCCCAGGTCTCGGGGAATGTACCACCTCATTCAACCTGTGGCTAAGTGACACAACACACAGCCAGCCTGGAACCAGCACAGCAGGGGTGGGAACGGCGGCAGTGAGCCCTCTCTCCTGGGAAACTTGGCAGCCACGAGCCCAAGTGGCGGCCTGGTCGCACCAACTCCCTGTTGGCTGCCCAGCCCCGCTCCAGGACATCTCATACATCCACTGTCCCTGTGCGCACAACTGACACATGTGTCCTACTGGCCTGGGGACCCACCTGCTTGGAGTCAAGTGAGCACAGGCTTTTCTTCAGCTCAGGGCTGGCTGTCCCCATGATCTCCTTCCGAGCTCAGGAGACTCCCTGCTGGGTGCGCCTCTGCCGGCGGCGTGAGGCTGAGGTCCTTCCCCAGCCAGCCAGCCACTCGCCACCCAAGGGTCCACGGTCTGTTCACGCTTCCTCGATCACAACCATGAAGGCTGTGCCCCGGCTCCTGCCTGGTGCAGATGCCTGTCCTGAGGCCGACGCCCTGGCTGGGCCCAGTAAGCCCAAAAACTCAGTAAGCGAGCTAGGTCATTTTTCAGTACAGCATTTTTAGAAGTCGGAATGAATGCAGAAAAGTCTATAATGAACAAAAGTAGCAATACACCCAGTCATGCCAGCCTGGGTATTTGGAAAAGGCGGCCTAAAGCCCCTTCTACTTCCGCAAGCCTACCCACACCACCCTCGGCCGGCCCACTCCCAGGGCGGCTGGGAGAAAGCAGGGCAGCAAGCCCCAGGGTGGCCTGAGGCTGGGTGGCTAGAGGGCCAAGGGCACCCTGAACCCCCGAGAGAGACCAAGTCCTTTGTTCCGAGGATTTGCACAGTTGGTGGGATGGGAGGAAAGAGTTCCATGTTGATTAATGGGTATATGTGGTGCCCGCTCTCCTGGGGAATGTGACCACGTAAACTTTGTGTGTGGGGGGAGTCTGTTAGCTGGAACCTTGATCTTGCTCCTGACTCCTTCATTCATCTTGTAAAATAGGTACGTGACAGGAGGCAGTTGATCAAAGTTGGGGCACTTTCCCAAGTTACTTAATAGGCTACTTGGGGCACTGTAGACCCCCTCCCGCATTCCAGGCCTTGAGATAAAAGCACAGTTTCAAAGGCTGTGTTTCCCACACAGTGGAAACGATACATAGAATTTCAAGGACTTCCCAGCATGAGAGTTGACAGAGTAAGTGGCCCCGGTAGCAACAAGAAAATTCCCTTACCTGCCATGTCAGGAGTCACCCGGGGATCTTTGGTGGAGATCGAGATGCTGGTGCGGGCTGGGGCCACCCTGCTCCCCGGGCCCCCTGCTCCCCGGGCCCCCTCAGTCATCCAGTGCTGCCATGGCCACAGGAATATCCCCTTTCCACTCTGGGAATGGGGCGGTCCACCTTCTTGGGACATGACCCTGGGGGTGGCTTAGTGCATTCTTTCACACAATATCCAGGGCATTTGCACCTAAAACACGCCTGATGCTTGTGCCCTCCACACCTTTGCGGCTTTCCTGGGTCACCGTGAGGTGCCTGGCCCCGGCCAGTGTTGCCACTGAGAGCCAGTGCAAGTAGCTTGGCCTCTTTTCCTCTAAGTCTCATTTGATACAGACCGAGGAGGTAACATCCATCAGCTGTGCCAAAGGGGTTTGGGGCCCCATTTGTAATTTCTGACACCTGCCCCCTCCGGAGACGATGGGTCCACATCAGTGTACCTGTGAAAGGCCTCCACCTGCCTGTTGAGGAGGAGGGCAGGGTTCTCTTCCCTTCCTGTGTTACTTCCTCGACCTTGTCATAATTCACTGGGTTTTTGATACAGGCCCTGTTCCAGCCAATAGGCACTGGATCATGACGGATTTACTTCTGCTCCCTCCTGGTGTATTATGGTCCCGGGGGGCGGGGGGGGGCCTCATGCTCTGAGACAGCCTGGGCTGCAGGTCTTGCATTGCCAGGGTCTTCAGTACATAATTGATCTGCGTGTTTGCAGGCCCCTTCCCAAATCAGCTGTTTTTCTTCTGGAGAGCAACACGTAGTTAGAACTATGTAAAGGTCCCTCCAGGCCATACCGAAGGCAAGGGCTAAGATACAAAGCTGTTAATGGAGCGTGTGGGGTTCTCAGAAAAGTTTCCTAGCCTTTCCTTGCACTGCTGCAGGTCAGCTATTGAGAAAGGCGCGTGTACCTGAGCAGGGCCTTCTGCACCCGCTACTTCTCTTGGGCAGGAGGCCGGGGGGCGCAGAGAGACCTGAGGCTCCACTCCTGGTGCACCCCGCTGGACGGGGCTTCTCCTCCTTCGGTCACTTCGGGTGTGTGGGTGGGTTGGGCGGAGGAGTTGTAGTCGTCGACTCAGGGGCTAAGGTCTCGGGGCTCTGAGGCCTGCTAGGTTCCCCGAGAGACAGGCGAGGAAGTCCCCTCTCCCCCCACGGGAGACAGATGGGAGAGTCTTCCTCGCTTCCCTCTGAGGCAGGGGTGGAACTCAAGAGGGGTCATCTAGAATGCCACTGGGAGACCCCAGGGTAGCTTCCTTTGACCTGGGACAGAGCGAGGGAGTGTGAGGTTAACAAAAAAAACCTGTATGTCGGGACGTTCCGACTGCTTGCCTGGCCTCTGACAGATGCCACTGGAGTAGGTGTAATTGCTGCTCCCGTTTCCGGGCCGTGTCTCCCTCTCTCCCAACTTGTACTGAGGCCGAGTTGGTTACACAAGAAAATCAGTCTCTTTTGCTTGAGACACTCAGGGTCACACTTACCCCAGTCCCTAAGGATGCACCCCAAAGGGGACCCTGGGGGGATAGAGGGTGTATTTCGCCTAAGGGGGAAAGGCAAGCCTGCCTCTGAGAAAACACCAGAGGCTCGGAAGTGAGCTGGAAAGGAGGCTGAGATCACAGGCCCTGGACTCGCTTGGCAGCTGGGCTGGAAAATGGCGCCACCTAGACAAGGGGAAAGCCGCCGTCAATGGCGGTTTCTCGGCATCTCGGAACCCCCCCCCCAAGTGCTGGGGTGCTAGCAGCAGGACTGCCCTCGGGGTGCCCCGCCCCTGCTTTGCTCGGGGCAGAGGCTGGAAAAAATGGCGGAGATGTCGGGCTCAGGCCTCAGGTGCAGCTGAAAAAAAGCACCTGAATTAAATGGCAGGCCAGGTCCCCAGCAGGGGGCGCGTGAGAGGCAACCACACACTGACGTCTCTCCCTCTCTCCTTCCCTTTCCCTCTCCCAAAATACATAAATTAACTGTTTAAAAAAGTCTCACTTCCCCGCAGCGTTGGAGACACAGTGGAGTGACAAGTTAACTACCCTGTTGTTCTCAGAGCCTAGTCCCTTCTAGATCTGGAAGGTTACAGTGTTCCAAGGACTTATTTCCTCACTTTTCTTCCCGAGTTCTACGATCTAGGAGGGGGTGAGACTTTCCCTCCGTGGGCATCGTGGGGCCACGCCCAGTTTGAAGCTAAAACGCAAGGCTCGGGTTAGGCAGGTGAGGAACAGCAGCGCCTCCTGCTGGATAGCAGTGATCAAAGGCATGGTTTGGGGGGTTTGACGGCTGCTGGGCAGGAAAACAGCACAGCAGCCACTTTGTAAGGCAGATAGACGTGGGAGTGGTCAGAGAAAGGAGGGAAAGACTCAGGAGCGAGGCCGCTTTGAACAGAAAGGCCTTGTCAGGAGAACAGCACCTAGAAACACCTGGACGTCCCACTACAGGCTGAGCTTGCTCTCCCTCCTCGGAGACTACACCCAAGTGGGAAAGTGCCCCAAGGAGGGGACGAGACTGCTTGACAGCCTCCCGTCACTAGGCCTCTGCCTGGCCTTCTGTCCCGGCTCACGTCCCAACTTTTCTCTCACGGGTATCTTTGGCGAGCACCCTGTGGCTTTTAAATGATTGACCCGTGCCCACGGGGGTGCAGCGATTTCTTGAAGGAGAGAAAGCAAGACATTTACCCAGCAGAGGTATCCTTGCCCCTCCCCCAGTTCCTACCAGGGGTATTCGGATGCAAACGAGTTGCTGGAAAACACCCGGAACGGAGGGAGATGCTGCACGCTCACTCCAGGCCAAGGATTCAAACTGGCTTTTCTCCCAGCCAGGTTTGGAGGCAGGAGCGGCTAAGGACTGAGACTGGTGGGTCGGAGCGCTGTTGAGGAGCAGGGCTCCCGAAGGCCGTCCTTACCCCTTCGGTCATCCCCACCTCTCACGTGTCGGTTCCTCCCGTCTGAAACAGCCAGGGGGGCTCAGACTGCTGGGTGACCGGCCCTTATTTTGCACGTCCCCAGACAAGCCATAATTACATTACCGTGATGGGAGTTCCCTATGAGGCCCCTGCGTGTCTTAGGGACTCACCTGACACCTCTGCAAAGCCCCACTCCTGCAAGGACACCCGAGAACCTGGGCCAGAGGGAAGTAGTACGTCTTCCGAGCCCGGCAGAACCCGAGCACTCAGGTCACATCTCATTTCTACCTCCGAACTAGGCCTAGCGCGTCGGGGTGCCCCACCCCCACAGCGCAGCTTGTCCATCCAGAAAGGGAGACAGGAAGGACAGCCGAGCTGGGGAGACCATACTCACGGCTGGAGACAGAGGGCGGGGTCCAAGTCAGGGTCCCCGGTTTTGGCACCAATATGCTGATGGGAGAGACCTGGTTCTTCTTGCCGATGCATGTGAGGAGTTACAGATCAGCAAATCTATTAGTGTGCAGTCACTTTATTAGTGATCCGTTTCCATGGAAGAGAAGGGGCCTAGCTTGGGGGGCGGGGAGGGGGGCAAAGTTTCAGGGCAAAGTGGGGCAGCAAGAGTAGATGAAGACCAGGGTGGCCTGAGGACTTAGTTGGTGGGACAGGAGGAAAGAGTTCCATATTGATTAACAGGTAAATGTGGTGCCTGCTCTCCTGGGGGAATGTGACTACGTAAACTTACGTGTGTGTGGTGGTGGGGGGTCTGTTAGCCCAAACCCTGATCTTGCTCCAGACTCCACTTGTTCATCTTGTTGTAAAACAGGCATGTGACAAGAGGCAGTTAATAAAAAGTTGGGGCACTTCCCAAAGTTGTTTATGGGCTCCTTCTGTAAGCATCGGGGACTCCCTCCTAAAACAGACAGTGGCCAGAGGTAGGCGATGCACCAGACTTGTTCTGTGGGCTCTTTCTTTGGGCTCCGTGGACCCTCCAGCATTCCAGGCCTTGGGATGAAAGTACAGTTTCAAGGCTTGCTTTCCCAGACAGTGGAACAATGCACAGAATTTCAAGGACTCCCTCCTCTCGTGCTAACATGGTGTTTCCTGTGATGTTGGGACACCTGGCAATATTATCGGACCAGTCCCAGGACTCCTGAGTCAGTGGGTGAGACGTGTCTCCCTCCTCCTCCCTGCCTCGGTTTGCTGTTCATTCTACCCAAGTGGTAAGAGGTGTTTCCTGGCAACTAGGATGCTGGATGCTGGCCAGTAACAGCAGTGCAGTCTCAGTTCGTCCTCTGCTGTCTCCTGCTCAGTAGTGCTTGTCTTCAACGTCCTTCAAAACAATTGTTACATTGTACTATGACAGCTGTCATATCAATATGCATTTAAAAAATCAACTTTTGTGTAGCCATTTTAATATTGAAGATGGAAGAAAATAATCAACATTTTCAGCATATTTTTATTTCAAGAAAGGTAAAAATGCAACTGAAATGCAAAAGACGATTTGTGCAGGGTATGGAGAAGGTGCTGTGACTGAATGTGTCGAAAGTGGCTTTGCAAGCTTCTGGTACCACTGACATTGTGGCCGAATAGTTCTGTGCTGTGGGGCTGTCTCAAGCAGAAGATGTTTAGCAGCCCCCCTGACCGCTACCCACTAGAAGCCAATAGCGGGAGATATTCAACATACTCAAAATGCCCAAATCACGTCACTGATGAAAATGAAAATGTCTTTATTTTATGAAAAAAAGGAAGGGACTTTTTGGCTAACCCACCATTTTCCCATAAGGGGACTTCAAACCCCTGGGGACTACAGCAGGGACAGCCCCTGGCTGTCCCCTCCTTACTTGGGGCCAGGTGGCATCTCCCAGCCTCCTTTTCAGCCAGGTGAGGCCAGGTCCTTCCGGTGAGTTTTTGTTTCCAGCCCTGCTGCCCCCGGCAGACTCAGGAAACCTCTACTCGCTGCTCCAGGCCACCAGCCGACCCAGCAGGAAGGGGCGACCCAAGCCCCCTTGGCCACACAGAGAGTCCCTCAGCGCCTGACACACAACAGCCCTGGGTTGTTCTGGGACAAACATACGCCTTATTCTGTGGGAGCCATGACACTGGGGGTCTCCTTATTAAAGCAGCCTCGTCTGTGCCAAGTCATGACCACCCCTGTCACCAGACCAGACCCAGTGTGAAGTGCTCGGAGAACTTACCTGTGTGCGGGGCGGATGGGTTCTCCGCAGGAAACGGCACCATGACCCCTGCAATCACCCCAAGCACGGACCCTCCCCTCTCGGGCTGGCAGCTGGCCTCCCCGGCAGGTGTGGAGGCTGGTGGCTGCCTGAGCCCACACTGCACTCCCTGGAAGCCCGGGCTCCTGTGGCCCCACCTGTCGTGTGGCCTGGGCATGGTGTCAGGCCTGGGTCACAGCACTCTAAGGCACGAGGTGGGTGCCCAGCTGCCCTGTGACCCCACCTCCGCACGTGCTGACTGTACAACACAGGGCAAGCGGAGAACCTCTGCACCATGTCCTCACCTGCAAGGTGCAGATGCCCACCTGGAGGCGGGATTAGTACATTAACCACTTATAAACATGCTCGCCACCAGCACCACCGTTGGCCACTGTCGGCAAGGCCCCATCCCCTCCCGTGACTCGGTCATGGGTATGTGACCCCATTCTTGACACTGAGAAGTGAGGGGAGGTCTGCAAAGGCCAGGGCTTCTGACAAGGTTCCTCTGATCTTAAAAAGGGATGCAGAAGCCCAGGCTGCTGCAGCTCATTGGGCTGGAGCATCATCCTGTAAACAAAGGTTGTGAGTCTGGTCCTGGGTCGAGGCCCATACAAGGACTGATGGACGTTTCTCCTCTCTCTCCCCCTTCCCTGCCCTCTGAAATCAATAAGCGTGTCCTCAGGTGAGAACTGAAAAACAGAGACACACAGAATAGACAATCACCTGCTCACACACACCTTATACTGGGCATGGTGAAGTTTGAATGTGATGCCCGGATTGGTGGCAGCCACCTGATAGCCGTGAGGCCCACTCCTGGGTGGCCACCTGGGAGGAAGACGTACATCAGGGTGAAACTGGGCTCTGCTAAGCAAGGAAGGCGACAAAGACCTGCTGGGGAGGCAACCTCCACATCCGAAGCACACAGCCCTCCTGCACCCAGCCAGCCCGATTTTCGGGCCCACAGTCCCCGTCCTCACTGCTCACCCCAAGGAACTGGGGGGTGACAGTTCAAGTGACCTTGGAATAAAGGTACTACGAGTAAACAGAGAGAGGAGGGCCGCCAGCCTGCAGTTTTATACAGATTTAGGTTAGAATATTGGCTAAAATGACCTTCCCTCGGAGAGCGGCTGGGCTGAGGCTGCCGGGACTAACCGGGGGACGGACCTCCTCTCTCCCGGGGCCCCACCTCCTCGCTGAGCTTCTCGCCCAGCAGATTTTAGGACCCAGGCCCTAAGAACTACGGCGGCATTCTCTTCTGCTTTTCAGCCACCACAATTCAACTTATTTTTAGAGCAACTGAGAAACATGATTCTGAGTCCAGTTTGGGAGGACGTGGGTGACCCACACTTCATGTCGAAGCACACGAATGAGGACAAGAGCCCGACGGGGGATCCAAAACGGCCCGTTTTATTTACACGGCCTCTGTGCAGCCCCAGGCGCACTATGTACACAGCAACGCGGGAGGCGTTTGCTTCCACGGTGGGCACGGTATAAATTAGGGTCATAAATACGAGGGTGAGCCCCACCCGAGGGTACACACCTTTCTCCAAGACTCTCCGGGGAGCCTTCCTCCCTCTGACACACTGACAGGACCGTGAGGTGCCCCCCCCCCCACCCTCCGGACACAGCAGCGGTGCTGGGGCGGGCGGGGGAGCAGCCCCAGGTGCAGCAACAAAGACACCACGAGGCGGGGGCGCCGGCCCCTCACCAGTGCACTTTCATCAAGTCACGTCCACTTCTCTTGCTTCTAACTAAGGAGAATTAGAAAATGGCTTTTACACGTAAACAGTGCTGCCTCAGTCACTGACAGCACACTGATGTCAACCCCAGGCTTGACCCAAACTTCAGCCTCTGCCAAGGGCAGGCGCTGAGGCCCCAGGAGGCCCCAGGGCAGCTCCCCTGCACCTGCTCACGGAGCTCCGGCCTGTCCCGTCTGGAGGCCCTGGGGACCTCAGGGCCCAGGCGCCCCACCTCCAACAGGGCAGCCGCCCTCTGGGACCCTGTGACCTCTCCTTTGAAGTCGGTGACTCCCGGGGGCCAGACTCTCTCTTCACCTCCCCCGCCTACGACAGCTCTTCTGGTGGGAAGAGAGTCCCAGGCAAGGAAGGTCACTCACAGCTGCCCGGTCTCCCCTCCAGCAGGCAGCCGAGGGCATGTGCGCAGTGCGGGTCCCCCCACATGGCCACCCAGAAGGACCACCCGGGAAGCGCCCAGCCAGGCCCCAGGAGGGGACCCACGGAGGCACGCTGGGCAGAGGAGCTGATGGTGGGCGGTATCTGCAAAGCTAATGGCAGGTAAACGCTGTTCAGCTCTAAGTCCCCAGGAGGCCCTGCGGGTGACACCGCCCCAACGCTTCCTGCCCAGCCCCTCACTCGGTCAGCCCTCCCCTTGGGGGTTCACCCAAGGGTTGGGGTGGGGTTACAAAACCCCCTTTCCAGGCTGGACAAGAGCCCTGTGAGGCCTGGCTGACTCTGGAAGGGCAGCAAAGGGCACAGTCAAAGGCAGTGACAACTTGGCGAGAGGTGTGCCGACACCTCCAGGGACCTGGGGCCCTCGGGCCAACCCAGGCTGCCCACCCATGGCCACTCTGCTGGGGCAGCAGCTTGTTGTCCAGCAGAATGGACACCGTCTCCAAGGCAATCCTGGCCCAGCGCAAACACGGCCTTTGTCACAGGGGGCCACTGGCCCCGGGCCGCACTCAGAGGCACCGCACCCTATGCCTGCTGCTCAGGAAGGACTGAGACACGTGGGCGGTGCTCCCCAGCCCGGGGACGCGGCTGCCACTTCACGGGCTCCAGGAGGAGCGAGTCCCCCTTCCCTTCCCGTCGGACTGAACCGGACAGGACTGGAGGCGCACACGGAGGGCACACAGACCGGAGCCCAGGGCACGGCGGTGTCGGCCCAGTCACCCGCACGCCGCCGGGCTGGGAAGCCGCGTGTCCAAAGGTAGCTGTGTTGGTGAGTCCCAGACCCCGGAGCTGGCCGGGCAGGGGGGCTGAGAGGCTTCCTGTCCCGAGCGCAGGGCAAAGAAGTAGCACCATGTGAAGGGCCCCGGGCCACACGCTCATGCCCTTAGTCGCACGCGTGGAGGACGCAGGCTGAGAGGGCGGAGGCTAGGCCTCGGCGGCCGGGGGGCCTCGGCTCAGCTCCTTGATGCCACACAGGATCCTCTTCACATGGCCCACCTTCGTCACGCCGAGGTCCTGCAACGAGAGCAAAGCCCCCTGATGCTGGGCCACCGGCCACAGACCACCCAGGACTCTGCACACGAATGGGAGTGGGACACTGACACCAGGAGGAAAGAAATGGGAGAAATGACAAGCACACAGACACACCTCCCGTGGTCCCGTCACTGACACTGTTGAGGGGACACCCCACAACACAAAGACCACACGCAGGCCAGCGGCAAGTGCCACCAGTGCCCCCAAGTGCCAGTGCCCAGGACAGGGCCCAAAGACCGTGGCACTTGAGGCAGGCCCGGCGCTGCCCCTCCCCTCCCTCCCACCGAACGAGGGGAAGTGCCCGCACTGCAGGTGCTGGACATGGGTGAGCGGGACTGCACTGGGGGGCTGCCACGTGCCTGGCAGCCACCAGGTCGCCCTGGCTCTAACCACCCATATCAGCAACAGAGGGACCCCGTGCGCCGGCTCCCTCACCAAAGCGCTCTTCGGTGACCCCACTCACTGTCCACCTGTGCTGAGCAAAGCGAGACTCCCCCAGCATGTCTGCTCTGGCTGGGCCTAGCCTCGGACCCGGGTGGAGACATCACTGCCACCTGCCACCCACCACCCCGAGCGGTGGACAAGGCCTGGGAACCCTGAAGGGAATCCTGGTGCTGGGAAACGGCCAGGTCAGAGGGAGGGGACCAGGAAGGGACCGTGGAAAAGCCCAGCTGTGGTAGTACCTTGAGGTCCCTCCGCTCCAGGTGTAGGAGCTCAGAGCCCCGGATGTCGTGCCGGGTGAAGATGTCCTTATACTCACAGAGACTGAGGTGCTCCAGCCAGGCAGCAACCTCCTCTGTCCCCCAGAGGTGCACTGTCAGAGACGGAAAAGCAGGAGCGCAGTGAGCCCAGCGCCCAGCACCGGACAGGCAGTGGCCGGCACCCCAGACAGTCCAGGTGCCCCGCGGCAGCAGGCGGCCCGCAACACCGGCACCAGCACCCGGACGCCCCGCGGCAGCAGGTGGCCCGCAACACCGGCACCAGCACCCGGACGCCCCGCGGCAGCAGGTGGCCCGCAACACCGGCACCAGCACCCGGACGCCCCGCGGCAGCAGGCGGCCCGTGCCCACAGAGAGCCCCAGGCCCGAGGGAGGCGTGGGCCTGCCTGCCCACCACCCAGAGCAGCAGCTCTCCGCCCTTCTCCCTGCACGGCCCACAGGAAGGAACCACTAAAGTTCCAATCAAAACGTGTATTGTTTGTTGATCCGAGAAGAAATGAGTGTAGTTTCGACTCGTTCACGCCAGACAGCTACTGCTGTGCTGGCTGCTGTCGTCTTTCACCCGACACTCTAAGGGGAGAGACCCGCGGCCTGGCCAAGCAGCCGGCAGTGCACGTCTGCACGGCTGCACGGCTGCACGTCGCGGCCGAAAACCGCTGCTCTGAACGGCTCGTCTCAGTTTGGGCCGCAGCAGGAAGGGAGACACGCAGAGGTCTCACGGACTCAGAGCCACTGTCACGGACAGAAACCCCACTTGTGGACAAATGTGAGGAGAGGAAAAAGCACAGGGCGCTGCCCTGGCTACTGCCATCACTGCCCAAATCCAGGCGGGGCCACTGGCACGGAGAGCGCTGGGGACAGCTGTCCTCAGGGCCAACCCTCCAGACGGAAATCTGAAGCTCCAATTTACTGACACAAAGGAAATGTCCTTTAGAATAATTTCCTACTGACTCCACTGCCCACGATGGCCAGTGGCCCAGGTTCCCGGAGGCGCGGGGGCCTTGATCAGCAGCCAGTTGGTAGAAGGCGACCAGCAGCCCCTCTGAGGAAGCAGGCCTGAGCACGAGCTCGTGTCTCTGTCCCGTCACTTCTGCTGTCCTCCCTACCTCACATCCCAGGTCAGGGCAGGCAGGGGCTGGTGGCCAGTCACCCACAGTCTGCATGGGAAACAAATTTGGGGGCAGGGACCTACAACGGTCAGTGCCCAGAGCAAGCCAGAAAGCAAGACACTCTGCACAGGCCGAGGCGGCTGTGGGGAGAGCCTCCGACCACGGGAGGAGACGGAGGCTGGGAGCGCGCGGCCAAGAGGAGGGCAGGTACCCGGTGCTCCCAGGCTGCTGTGGGCATCTCTGTTCTTGCTGTTCTTCTCCTTCTTGAACTTGGTCACCAGGCGGAACTTCCCACTGCGGCTGCGTTTGGCAAGATCCGAGGTCACATTCTGCGGTGCAAAGTGAGAGACACGGAGAGTCAGACCCAGCTCCCCAGGACTGAGTCCCGCCTGAGTCAGAGGCCAGAAGAAGACACCTGTTCCCGATTCACTTGTCCTCGTGGTTTTCCTTTCTGTTAGTCTTGTGTTATTGTTGATTTTTAATGCCTTTTAAAAGTGGATTCGCAATGACCACTGTTTTTTGAAATTCTATAATGTTTTTCATTTTATAATGTGCATTTCCCGCACAACTGCAAGGCTACGTAAACATCAGCCCCAGGACAGAGCACTGAACGAGCTGTCTGGCCAACCTGCCAGGGCTGCACGGGCAGGCCCCACGCGTCCCGCATACCCTTTCCGCCCGGGCTGACTCCCCACGGCAGAGCCTCAGAAGGACGGGAGCAGTGTGGCCCCTACTTGGTGGCCACTGCACTCCAGGGGTCGGGCAGAGCTGACACCACCCAGCACCCCTTCCCTGGACTGCCCCGGGGCCAGAGGCCCCTCCTCTGTGCACACACAGACCCCTGCGTGCAGGACGGCCTGTTGCGCTCGCAGGTAAAGCAGAGCTCCCGTCTGTTCCAGGTATGCAGCTTCCTTCTGCCCTCACTGGGTAGGAATCCGCCCCAGGACGCTGCCCCCCTCGTCTCCACACTGACCTGCATGGTTCAACCTCACAGCTTTACAACAGGGACATTTGGTCCCCTGAAGAAAGCTCCAGAGGCATGCAGACTGGGGTTGCACGGACCTGAGAGTTTGGAAACAAGGAGCACCTTCGAGCTGGGGATGTGCTGCGGGGACCACCCCCCCACCCCACACTCCCCTCCCCCGTTTGGGTTGCCTTCGTGGGCCTCTTACGGAAGGCATTTGTGTTCAAGTTTTCTACTACAAAAGAGACCGCTCACAAAAATAGTTTCTCACCAACCATTGTGAGTACTCAAGAAACTTATTTTTATAAATTTCTGATACTTGGCAAAATTGTCAGTCATCAATTCTAACACCAGCTGCTCTGTTCAACACCTTCAGCTCCCAGGCGCCAGGCGCTGGCTCTGGTGAGGAGACCAGGGGCTCCCCGTGGCGCCGAGGGCATGGCCAGGAGGCCCCCCGGCCCCGGCTCCCCACCTGCAGGCCTGAGGGTGTCCCTGGGTGAGCCCACCCCTTCCTTCCCCACACAGATGCCCCCCATCCACCAACAACCCGCCTGTGACCCATGTTTGTCCAGGGGACGGAAACAGCCTTGTAATCTCTTTCCAGCTGGAATTCTTTCTTTAAAAATATTTTTATGTTTTTAAGAGAGAGGAGAAAGGAGAGAGAGAGAGAGAGAGGAAGAGAAACACAGATGTACAAGAGATACACCAACCAGCTGCCTCTCACACGCCCCCAACTGGGGGCCTGGCCGGCAACCCCGGCACATGCCCTGCCTGGGAACCGAACCCAAACTGGTGACCTTTCGGCTCGCAGGCCGGCACTCAATGGCCTGAGCCACACCAGCCAGGCTTGAATTCTTTTAAAATAGTTTTGCTCATCAACTACAAGAACTAATCGGTATGGATCTACTGAAATACTGACTTTATCCCAGCATTTATTTTAGAATGAACAGACTAGTTTTAAACATACACTGTGGACATCCGGACACCTGTTTCCCAGTACTGAGCACGCGCGGACCGCTTCGCTGCACAGTCAAAAACGACAAAGACGCTAAACTCTGCGTTTTCCCCATAATTTAAAAAATGAACTGAGACAATGTGTCTTTGTCTAGCGTTAGTAGTGCTTCTTACAATATGGAAATTACTTATTCCTTGACGTTTTTCCTTCGGAGGCAGTATTTAGATAATTTTTTCAAGTTGTTCTGTGGCTTTTTTGAGAAATATCTTAAGATTTCAATTGGTGTAGTTTAAATTTTTCCTGAAAAATCAAGTTTCATCAATATTTTTTAATTTATTATTATTTCTTGGAATATAACGATTCATTTTTCTCATGTTTTGTTGCATCCTTTTATCACTGCATTTTGTTTATTTTTTGTTTGATTATATTTGCCAGAGGGAGGTTTGACTTATTATACTTCACTTTCAAAAACCCAGCTCACAGATGTATCACCTCTGATCCCCTCATTTTTATGTGGGTAACCCTCCCCGACCCCCGGGCTCCCCTGGCCCCTTGCACTTCACCCCCACACCCTCCCTCGCGTGGGCAGCAGCGCCACGCGGTGAGGTGGTCAGCAGAGGAGGCCCGGCCCCTCCCTGTGCTACCCCAGCAGCGCCCTGCAGAGCGCTTCTGGTTCTGTGACTAAACTGTCCTCGGGTTTAGTCACCCACAGTAGTTCCCACCTACCCCCCCCCCCCAGGACTGAAACCCGCCCCCCATCCGTCCGACCCACACCCTGGAAGCCAGGACCCTCCACACACGGCTCGGAGGTGCTATCGGATCAAACTCGTGGGCCTGTGTGTTTGTTTCTGCAGTGGCTGAGCGCTTGGTGATGTTTGTTTGGGAGACATTTTGGGGTTTAAAGCATTGGAGCCACAGTCCCTGTGACATACACTTTCACTCTAAAGACCGACAGTCCCAGACAAACCGAGTTGCTGGTCACCTTGCCAGCAGGCACCAGGCTGTGAGCCTCCCACTGTGGCAGCCGCTGATCTACCCATGAAGTGAAGAGTCCTCGCCCTGCACCTGCCTGCTGCAGAGACCCACGTGGAGGGAGAAGCCAACCCACAGGCAGGGCAGGGCAGGGCCCGGGAGCCTGGCACTGCAGCTGAGTGGCGGGCAGTTTCCACTCTGAGCCGGCCAGCGCCCCAGGCTCCCTTGTGCTCTAGCTGCTGCTCAAACTGTCCCTGACAAAGAAACTTCAGAAGTTTCCGACCCATGGCAGACCAGCGCTTTAATGCCACACACTACGTTACCAGAAAAATGAAACAAAAAGGAACATAAAACACAAACTGTCAATTGCTTTAAAATTTCTAAACTCAGACTTCCGGCCAAGATGGAGGCGTAGGTGGAAACACTGCACCTCCTCGCACAACCAAAATTAAGGGCAACAAAGATTTAGAAACAAAACCACAACCAGAACAGACAGAAAACAGAACTGTACGGGAGTCCAACAACCATTCAACCAGACTGGTAGAAGGGGCCGAGTCAGGGGCCGAGTCAGCGACCGAGGGAGAGGGATCGTGGCAGGAAAAGGCAGTGGCAGCCAGACCCGGGAGCGCAGGCGGTGTGGGGTGGGCCGAGGTCACACATTCACACACAGATAAACCAGGCAAAAACGGGCAGCAAGACACACCGCGCAACCCAGGGCCCCAGCACCGGGAAATAAAGCCTAAAAGCACCAATTGAAAAGGGGCCGGGAGAGATTCCCAGCCTCACAGGAGAGTTTTGTTGGAGAGACCCACACGGTCCTAGAACATACACAAGCCCACGCACCCGGGAACCAGGACCGGAAGGGCCCAACTGGCTTGTGGGAAGAGGCAGAGAGGACTGAAATCCGAGAGAGAGCAGAGCAAACCCCATTGTTCCCTCTCTGACCCCGCCCCAACATACAGCATCACAACCCAGCAACGTGGGTTGCCCCACCCTACTGAACACCTAAGGCTCTGCCACTCATACGTTAACAGGCACAACCAGACCAAAAAATTATGGTTCAAGCAGAAGAACAAATCAAAGACCCAGAGCCAATACTTTTAAGTGACCAAGAGATAGACAACTTATCAGGTGTGCAGTTCAAAACAATGGTGATCAGGATGCTCACAGAACTAGTTGATTTTAGTTGCAAATTAGGTGAAAAAATGAAGGCTACACTAAATGAAATGAAGCAAAATGCACAGGGAACCAATAATGATGAAAAGAAAACTGGGACTCAAGTCAACTGACTGGACCAGAAGGAAGAAAGGAACAACCAAACAGAAAAGAATGAAGAAACAAGAATTCAAAAGTATGAGGAGAGGCTTAGGAACCTCCAGGACATCTTTAAATGTTCCAACATCCGAATTACAGGGGTACCAGAAGGGGAAGGGGAGGAGCAACAAGTGGGAAACTTATTTGAACAAATAAGTAGAACTTCCCCAATCTGGCAAAGGTAATAGACTTCCAGGAAGTCCAGGAAGCTCAGAGAGTCCCAAAGAAGGTGGACTCAAAGAGGAACACACCAAGGTACATCATAATTATATTAGCCAAGATTAAAATGAGAGAGAATTCTAGAAGCATCATGAGATAAGGGGACACTCACCTATAAAGGAGTCCCCATCAGACTGTCAGCAGATTTCTCAAAAGAGACCTTGTAGGTAAGAAAGGGCTGGAAAGAAGTATTCCAAGTCATGAAAGGCAAGGACCTACATTCAAGATTGTTCTATCCAGCAACACTTTTATTTAGAATAGAAGGGCAGATAAAGCGCTTCTCAGATAAGGTCAACTTCAAGGAGTTCATCAACACCAAGTCCTTACTATATGAAATGTTCAAGGGACTTATCTAAGAAAAAGAGGTAAAAAATATAAACAGTGAAAGGACAGCAAACTCAGTTATTAACAACCACACCTAAAACAAAAGCAAATGAAGCAGATAACTAGGTCAGGAGTAGAGCCACAGAAATGGAGATCACATGGAAGGTCAGCAACAGGGGAGTGGGAGGAGGAGAAGGGGGGAGAAGGTACAGAGAATAAGTAGCATAGATGGTGGGAAGAAAATAGAGGAGGGCAAGAGTAGTGTGGGAAAAGTAGAAGCTAAAGAACTTATGACACATGGACATGAACTTAAGCGGGGAATGTGGGTGGGAGGGTATGTGCAGGGGGGGAATGGGACAACTGTAATGGCATAATCAATAAAATATATTTTAAGAAATTTCTAAACTCTCCCTCTCAGTTTCTGTACTGATGACAATTGCCCTGCCGTCAGCAGAGCTGATCTAGAATGCGATCAGATTGTGAAAGTGTCCCGTGGGCATGTTCCCACTTCACAGCGTGTGCAGCCCTCTCCACAGAGAAAGGAGGTGTGAGGTCTGTGAAAGTGCCACACACACTTACTCTCAACTCCCTTCTGGTCGGAATCAGCGATGCAGTTTGGTCTGATCGGTCGGACTGGCAGTGACGGCTCACACCGGCTGCGTTTCATCACCTTCATCTCAAGAAGTGTTTGCTTTACATATTTGTGCACATGAATTAAAATTAAAACGGGGGCATTGCTAAAAGAACAGCCAGAAAGTATATACTCCCATACTAGTAGAGGGCATGGAGAATTGGGTGGGAAGAAGCAGGGCCTCATCAAAAAGGAGAAAATAAAAAAACAGAAAAATTGGGACAAACAGCACAAAATCTAACAGAAATGTATCTAAGTATATCAGTAACCACAAATAATATAAATAAATGAAAACAGATTGACCTCTCCAGGAAATGCAGAGGACCAGGCTGGTAAAGCCCAGCGTTCAGTGATGTGCAGTTGAGAGAGACACTCCACGTACGGCTTGAAAATTAACCCACGGAAAAGAACACACCGAACCGGTGGACCCGAACGAAAAAGAGCAACACAAGGTCTTCGCGTAAGGATGAGCCCGCACGCACCCAGTCACACAGAGTCACCGAGACCGACTGAGACATCTGTGTCCGTGCGGAGTTCAACAGTAATCAACAGACCAAGACAAAAATACAAATTTTATGAAGTTGTTGTATTTTACCGATATAAAGTGATCCCTTTGATCATGTATTGCTCTAGCTTTGAACTTCTGTTTTTACATTAACACTGTTATTCTGGAATTTTCTTACTGTGTTTTCTTAAAATTGTTTATTTAATCTTTCTGTGTCCTAAGTTTTTATTGGGGGTATGGGAGAGAAAATTCGGCTCTATGACCAATATATGGTTAGATTTCTTTTTTTAACACAGCCTGAGAATAGTTTGTTTCTAAGAGTACAATCTGTGTCATTTTCTGTATCTTATTTTTTTGTTATCAGCTACATACTAGATCCCGAATTGTCTTTTATAATATATTTTGCTTTTGTCCTTTATACTGGTTTGGAAAGACGAAATCTCTTTAATTTTACTAGAAGCTACCTTTAAGTTTTTTAAAAACATGCCTGACTCTACATTTCCTAAATTACAGAAGCCAGGACCTTGGTTTAACCTTCTGCGCCCTTCCAGGAGGAACCGAACGTGCCTTCGCTCCTCTGTCCGAGTTCTCTTCCCGGCCTCCCCGCGCCGTCCACCTCTCGGGCTCTGATGATTTCATCTGGGACCACACAGCTATGCTACGTTACACCTGCTGCATGTTCTGTATGTTGTCATTTGAGTACTTTCCTTTTCGTTAAAGATTTATTATATCTATAACTAACTATTTAACCAATTGCAACAAGCACAGCCTGTCCTTACACCAAAATGTCCTCGTTCTTAGGTTGCTGAGTCCTGCTGCCTGACTGGGAGGTCTGAGTGCATTTCCACTTAGGGTGTGTCCACAAACATCTGTGAACTCGGAGAAGGGCGCGCCGGGCTGCTGCCCAGCCCATCCCTGCCCCCTCGCCCTGTGGCTGCCAGCAGGTGGAACCGGCCACGTTGACCGCAGGCAGGGCGCCCCAGTGTCTAGTGTCCAGGCACCCGTGGGATGTGCACCCTGAGGGGAGCTTGTCTGCTGGCCCACTCCTTTCCCTATCTCCGAAAGTCTAGGGCCTTTGTCCAGACGCTGCCCATGAAAACTGCCCGTCCGACAAGCCCCTTGCTGGGGCTCTTCCTGCCGACCCTCCTGCTGTCGGAGGGCACTGCACCCTGGGTCACAGTACGCCCGGGGTCCTGTATGCCCAGCAGACGGGGGATTTGAAGATCCCCAGGAGATCTTCAAATACATGTAAAAGAAAAGCGAGGGTGTGAGCCAAGTACACCAACTCTTTCCCTGTCAAAACAAACTTCTAGGAAGCTGCTATTTAACTGACCAATGTGTCTCCCCAGCCGGGCAAACAGTGGGGCAAGGCACAGCCTGCCTTCTGCCTAGTTCCTGGGTAGTCACACTGTTCCGCTTCCAAGGGCAGCCTGTGCCCAGGCATCAGGGTCAGTCCTGACACTAGCTCCTTCCTTCTGCCAGTCTCTCTCCATGCCTTGAAGGCATTTTACTCAAGAAGTCTTGAGAAGCCACATCAGGGGCTGCAAGACTGACACCATGTTAACCCTGAGGCCACACAGGGCACACTGAATACGGGCACCCAAGGGAGAGCCACCGCACCCAGCGGTGCCCAAGCTGAGCCCCACAGCCCACATACCTCTTCATCGCTGGGCTCCATGAGCTGGCACAGCCAGGGGGTGTCCGCCAGCTTCCTGAGCTGTTGGTCCATCTCTGCGAGAGCAGTCCCCAGCCTCTCCTTTTGGGGGGGGTCCAACTGCTGCTCCCGCAAGGAGGAAAGAGACATAGCTGGTTATTAGCTGTGAGGAGCTGGGGCCACAGCCAAGTCCCCAGGTGCTGGGCTCCTTTGGGAAAGTTCCTATAAAGGCTTCTGGAAACTGAGTCACAGAGCACTGGCTAAGGGGTCAAACTCAGAACCTTCCCTCGCAAGGAGTGTCGGTGGGAGAACTAAAGTCTCCTTCCATACAGTAAAGCAAACCAAACCTGTCAGATAATCACATTTGCAGGGTTGATGCTCTGGGTGCCTGGGATCCCCGTGGGAAAGGGGACACCTGCAGGAGGTGCTGCCCACTCCCAGAAGCGGGGTGCTTCAGGGGGAGGAGGAGAGGGTACAAAGACCGGGCTTTTGGGACCATTCTCCAGCGTGTGATTGTTCGCAAGTCCCTTCACCTCCCCGGCCTTCCACATCCTCACTTGGTAAAAGGTGGCCAGGCCCTCTCTCTGCTCTGGCTCCTGTGACTCAGTAAACCCTCCGCTCCTGCCCCCAACCCCAGGGCTTCTCGGAGCTGCCGCCTCAGCCAGGTCTGCAGGGGTCAGGGAGGACGGGTCACGAGCACTGGACGAGAACAGTGGCCAGTGTACAGATGTCCAAGGGAGAATTCTGTCTACAGTGACAATGGCGTCCCCCCCACAGGATCTGACGTACCAGAGATGATGTGGCTGAGATGTGGCCACAGGGTGTGTGCACCTACCACGTGGTCAGATCACATGACCTCTAAGGCTCCTCCCAACAATGAATCTAGATTCTGAAGGCCAGGAAATCTGGACTAAAATGTGCTGTCCTTCTGTGCAACAGTGGCCACGTGACACAGCGAGAGCCTGGCCCCCCAGCTCACCAGGGCCATCTTCCCAGCCAGCAGCAGCTCCGTCTCGCTGCGCAGGGCCTTCATGTTACTGACCATCTCCAGGACAAAGCCGCAAGTCAGCCCCTGAGAAGAACAGAATTCACACCGTGGAGGTGGCCCGAGGGCTGCACGTGCCCAGGGGAGACGCAGCGGGAGAGGGCAGGCACCTCCGCAGTTCTGGGCTTGCTGTACACGCGGTCCATGGACTTGGAGCTGGCGTTGACGGCGTGGGCGAGCTCCTGCTCCATGTCTCGGTGGGACTGAGCTATCTCCCGGATGCTAGAGAGAACGAGAAGCACATCCTTATCAGGCCAGACAAAGGGGTGGCCTGGACGTCACCTCACTCTTGGGCATCAAGAGGAGACAGTAAGTGGACTGTTCCTAGGAATCCAGGAGCTGGCTCTGAAGACACCCATGGGTTGTAGGTTTCCATCTACATAAACTCTGAGCAATCTCTGAAAGACGGTTAGTGGACATAAACCAAAGCCAAGGGCAAGCGGAAATCCCGCTCAGCCTCATGAAGGGCCTGGGAGGAGAAAAGCCATGCCTGCGCCCCAGCCATGGAGCAAAGCCCTGGCACGGCAGTGGGGAGGCAGCTGACCTGTGGATGAGGGCCCCCGCTGCCTGCCCAAACTGGTCCATCTGGGTGGCCTCTTCCTCGGACAGGATCTCCGGGTGCAGGGAGAAGGATGGCGGGCGAGGCAGTTCACACTTCTGCTTGTCTTCCCAGGACTTCAGCGTGTTCTCAAATGCCTGGAGCACGAGAACCCAGTGTTACACTTTCTACTGCTCTCCGGAGGCGGGCACGCATCTACCAAGCCCAAACATGCCCAGCATACTAATGGGCTGACGGAGCCAAAGGCGGGACTTTCTCACACCAGGGAAGGAAACTGGTCCTGGGAACTGTCTCACTGGCTTAATTCTTACAGCTAAAAATTCCTAGAACTAAACGTGAAAAACCCTGAATCTTCTTACAGAAGCGGCACAGGTGTGCTGGCAGGGGAGCCCCAGCCCCGCGGGCAGCCCTCTCACCCGGTCTCGGGTGAGCATCTGCGCCCGGTTCTTGTGGATGATGCGGATGTATCCTGGAGGCTGGATCCAGGCCTCTCCGTCCACCTGCACTGGTACACCCTCGTCCCCCAGGATGGAGATCTTCACTGTGCGACACTGAGCAAACATCACGGTGGTTACCTGTGCACCGAACTCAGCCAAGAAGCCTTACAGTACCATCCGGCCCCCGCACACATGCACACGCCAGCTGACCCCTGGGGAGACAGACCCCACACCTACAGCCGGCCCTGTGGTCAGAGCACCCCTTCCTATTTGAAGGTCATGGAGCCAAGTGTCTGCGCCCCCCACCCCCAGTGTCCCCTGAGCCAGCACTGCATCTGTGACCCCAGTGAGGAGGTCTTGGTGACCAGATACCAGCACCAGCCCACAGCAGGACTCACGGCTTCCAAGAGCCGCTGAGTCCCCAGGCACATGTGAACATGCACAGAACTGAGCAAACTGCCAACAAGTAGGTAAGGGTGTACCGCCCCTCTTTTCAACAAAAACAATGCAGCTAAGGAGTTATAACTGTGAAGTGCCAGCATCCTGAGGTGGGGACAGACTAGACAGCATAGCCTGGGGGTCCCGGCAGCTGCTGCGTCAGCTCCGCCCAACGTCCTTGTGCCTGGGAGCACCGCCCTCCCCACCCCCACAGACAGACCCTTCCTGGGCCAGGACCAGAAACAAGTAATGGAGGCACCCAGCCCTCCAGCCCCCCACCAGCTGGGCCGAGGCCACACTTTCTCCATGGCTACGTAGGCTGGCCTGCCTCATCCAGTCCCACCTCAGTGAGAGGGGCTAGGGTACAGGTGGCATGCACAGGAAAGGGCAGGGCGGGGGCTCAGGGGGGTGTGAGCTGGCCCCAATCTGAGCACCCACTCACTCTCCCAGGCTCTGTGCCAGGACACATCTATTGGACCGGGCGTGGTGAGAGACTGCAGTTCTGGGCCAAGTGCTGCCTCACCACACGTGTGTGAACCAGACAGGCTCCCAGGCCCACCCTGCCTCCAGGACCATGGCCGGTACCTGGGCGATTCGGTGATGCTGCAGCTTAATGACCCGAGAGACAGCCATCTGCATACTGCCAAACACGGCGACCACCTCCAAGATCTTGTCATCGAACGACGGGGCTGCAAAAGTCTGAAAGGCCCAAGTCAGGGCTGACCTGCGCTCCCACCCCACCCCGAACGCGCTGCTGCACACTCTTCTCCCTGCTGGGGCTGCCCATTGGCATCCCAGCTGAGGCAGGCGCTGCGGGGTGAGCCCGTGATTGGCATCCTGAAACCAGCTGCCTGGGATCAAGTCCCAGATCTGCCACTTCCTGGCCTCATGACCTTGGGCAAGTCACTTCATCTCCCTGTCCCAAGTGTCGTCTGCACGGTGGGACAACACCGCTATGCAGGCTGGTGTGTGCCTCACGGGCCGTTATGAGGACTGAGTTAGCACGTGCACTCTCAGAACAGCGACCGGCACATCTGAAATGTCCAGTGTTAACTACCTGTTCTAGCTCTTACGGACAAAGGAAGCCGCACCCTCAAAAAACCTGTTAATGCCTCCTGGAGTTCTCAGCACAAACTCCAAAGCTGTCCCCTGGCTCACACAACCCCGCCAAGCTCTAGCTCCCCTGTGCCCGCCTGCCGCACGGTGCCATCCGAGAACCCTCTCCCTGCCTTGCCATCTGGCCACTGTGCCTTCCATCAGCGGCTCCCTCTGCCTAGAACAGCCTCACCCCACCCCGCAACCTGACCTGGCTGACCCCAAGTCATGTGCTTCAGGTCTCAACACAGATGTCCCCTCCTCCCAGAAGCATTCCCAGATCACCCCAAGTCGGGGTTGGGCTGGCTTCTGCATCTCCCCTGTGCCTCTGACCACACCTGTTCTGCTCAGCCCCTCTTCTCGTGAGTGGGGTCCCCATCTGCCTTGCTCTCCACTCCAGCCCACAGGCGGTACCCGGCAGGGGCTGTGCATCCATCCCTCTGCAGCACCGACAGAGCACCCCGAGTGCCTGCTGAGGCTCCATCAGGGCCCCAGGTGGCTGACACTCCTTGAAGGGACCGCCCCTCTGGTCACCACCCCCCTGCCCCCGAGCCAGGCCCATGCCACCCAGCACCCCTGTACGTACATCATCTTCCTTGGTGCCCCCCCAGAAGTTGGTCCCTCCGGCATAGCTGGGAATGTTGAGGACAGCAATACCCTGCAGACTGGGGAGCGGGATGGGCCTCCCGTCACACTGAGCAGGGGGCACGCAGGACAAGGAGAGAGGAGAGATGCAGGGCATCCGTTAGTCCTCTTCATCTGCAACCTGCCCCGGGCTGAGGCGGCCACAGCTGGCTCCCCCCACGAGGCAGAAGGGCCAACAGGAGTCCGACGGGCCCCTGGCGGCCTGCATTACAGTGAGCCCCCGGCTCACCTCCAGCAGGACCTTCTGCTCCAGGTTCTTGTAGGTTCTGTGCAGCAACTCTTTGGTCCCGAGAACGCCATACCACATCATGTTCTTGGTCCGACTCCTAGACAGGAAAAGCAAAGAAGGGCCGTGGCCATGGCCTTCTCTGTATAGTCAACTGCAGTCATTGCTGCAAGGTGTGGGGGCGGCACCTGCTCGCGAACCGGTCAGATTCAGCAGTCCCCTATGGCAGTGACACCTTCAGGAAGGACGTGTTCCTGCCAGGTGTCTATGAGAAGTGAGCAGAGAGAGACTATTGCAGGAAAAGCGGCATTTCCCATAAAAGGAATCGTACCTTGAAAGGCAAAAAGGTCCAGTGTGTGGACCTTTACACACTCACCCGAAGTGTGTAAGTCATGAGCTTTTCTGACTATAAAATTACGCTTGCCGCACAAACTTTAAAAAATACAGGAAAATGAAAAGGATAAAAAATCCCTGTTGCCCCCACATCTGTATGTGCTGATGACAAGCCCTTCCGTGTGTCTTTGGTCTCTCCTGGGTGTGTGAGCTACAGGTGCAACAGCCGGCCTACGGAGCCTCCTGCCCCCGCCCCAGCTCCCCGCGTGGAGCAGGCCTCGTGCGTCCTGAGGTGTGGCCGGTCCCCACAGGCACACCCCCCGTGGGCACACCCCCGTGGGCACGCTCCCACACCCCACACTGAATGGACCCTCTGGCTGGGCTCAGCACGCTCCTGCTCCCAAGCTCTGACCACATGGCAGCGCCCCCGGCCGGCTTCCTGTCACTTCTTCAGTGCCATCCCCAGCAAAAGCCCTCCGGGAGCTCAAGCTCTGGGCCCTGATCCCCGCCCAAGCAAGAGGCCGAGCTGCCCAGCTGGGCCCAGGATGCGCAGATGCACCTGCCGAAGGTGCCAGGGTCTCTCCCACAGTAAACTCTGAGCACACCCTATGTTATGCTCCTGTACGAGAGACTCGTGACTCTCCTAAGAGACTCAGCCCCCACTCTCTTCAAGTAGGGTCACTCGTTTTCTCTCACTGAATTTGCCCCAGCCTGGCCAAGCCTAGGGGAACCCTTCTCCAGGCTGGCCTCTTGGACTCCCACCTGCTTCCACCCAGGCATTCAGGCTCCGAGTGTGTGACCCGCCTCAGGACGCAGTGTACCGTGTACCTGCTGACTCCAGACACGACCGTATGGACCAGAGGAGAAATGAGGAAGACTCGAAGGACACGTGCACACAGCACCACCCACCTGCACTTCTCGGGGTGCTCGTCCCGCTTGTTGTTGAAATCCAGGGATATCTTCGCATCCAGGCCGATGCCAAAGTAATTGTTCATGACACACTTCTCCGTGTAATACTCCCTGCAAAGGGGGTTCAGAGCGGTTCCGACAACCTGCCCGACGCTTTCACCTCCCAGCCTCCAAGCATCTCTTCCTGAGGGCAAAACTCAGAACTTTTTTTTTTGGTAATGGTTTTATTCATATGCCATATAATTTTCTCATTTAAAATGTACAATGATTTTTTAAAAGACTTTACTTATTTTTAGAGATTAGAAATGAGGGAGAAAGAAAGAGGAAAAATCATCAATGTGTGGTTCCTTCTTGCACTCCCCCAACTTGGGGACCTGGCCCACAACTCAGGCATGTGCCCTGCCTGGGAATCGAACCAGCAACCCTTTGGTTCACAGACCAGCACTCAATCCACTAAGCCACACCAGCCAGGGCTACAATGTATAATATGATTTTTAATGCACTCACAGAGGCATGTAACCATCACTACAACCAGTTTAGAATTGTTGTATCACCGCAGAAAGAAGGGGTATATCGTACCCTTTAGCCAGCAGTAACAACCCCTCCCCAGTCCCTGGCAACCACTAATCCGCCTTCTGTCTCCATGGATCTGCCCCCACTGGACATTTCCTATAAATGGGACCCCACGACAGGGGGCCCTTGCACCTGGCTCCCTTCAGTGAACAATGTTTTCAGGGTTTGTCCAGCTCTGTTTCATCCCCTTTACTGGCCAAACACCACCCCTCTGTGGGGATGACACTCATCAGTCCTTGGACACCTGGGCTGTTCCCTTGGGGCCAGTATTTGCCTGCACTCATGCACACGCCTTAGTGTGGGCAAGTCTCTTCTCTCTTGGACACATCCCCAGGAGTAGCACTGCAGGGCCACGTGGAAACTAGGTTCTGAGGACCCGCCAGACTGCCTTCCGAAGTGGCTGCCTTGGCCAGCATTCCCACCTGCAATGTCACACCTGATGATTCTATGGCACATAAACTCTGTACCTCAGCACATCCCTCCGTCATCCCCGGACCCAGTTAAAGCAGGTCCCCTGATCCGAAAACGTCCCTCCCAGCCCTGCAGCAACCCCTCCTTCCCCACTTCCACTGTGGCAAGAAATACCCCAGCTTCTTGTCCCATCTGTCCACGGGCATCACATCTGGAGTCCTAGGCCCCGATTCCCTCCAGGGCAGGTGTGCGAAGAGAGCAGCCCTGACCCTGCACCCAGAGGAAGCAGCAAGGAGAAGAGCCTGTTCCTGACACCCCAGCAGAAGTTCCCAAGAAAATGCAATGGGGTGGGTGGGCCTGAGATCATGGCACGGTCCTGGCACATTTCCGGTGAACAGGCGTCTGCAGCCTGATCTCACAAGTGATGACCGCATGCCTGTGGTTTTATGACACATTCAACCCAAGTGCCTAAGAGCTGGGTGGAAGCAAAGCTCTGGACAAAAGTGAGACCACATGCCCTCCAGTGCTTACAGGTCCTGGAAACGAGAGGGAGCCAAGCCAGAGAAGCGGCCTGGGACGGGAGGACGAGGGTGGCGAGACAGGGCCCAGTACCCGGAGGAGGCGGGCAGCAGGAACCTGGGAAGTACTCAGGGATGGTCCAGGAGGCCAGTGCAGGCAAAGGCAGGATGACCGAGGTCTGGGAGGGCGGGAGACCTCTGGTTCCGCAGCCCGGAGAGGGTGCAGGAGGGGAAGCACAGTCTTTCCACATGAAGGAGAAGTCTTCCCGGTTCGAAGAGAACAGGACAAGAGGAGCCAATGACTGCGGCTGCCAGAAGTGGACCCTCAGGGACCTCAGGTGAGGGAACAAGTGACAAATGAAATGCTGAGTTCAGGGGCCCTGGGGCACTGATCCTAGAGGACAACAGCTCTGGTCTTTTTGAGGAAACATTAGGAAGGGTCAAGACCAGAGTCCCAGCAGCCCTGTGAGGGGCTTATGGTGAAGAGCAGACAGTAGGTGGTGGCGTCAGGTCCAGGAAGGGTGCCAGGCATCAGGCAGGCCAGCACATGGCAGCAGGAGTCTAAACTGAGACCCCTCCCTGGCCCACTGACTTGATGAGGCTGCTGCGCAGCACACTTCCGGCCCCGCCCTCCTCAAACTCAGAGTTCCCGTCACCTGCACCTGTCTCAGTTGCTCTCCCCACCACACCAGACACACACTTGGCAACTTTTAACCAACTGCCACCTGCCGCTAGCTGCCCGAAACTTGCTCTCAGCCAGCCAAAAGGAAAACCTAGAAGGACAGGTTTTCACACCCCTCCGTGTCTGAAACGGCAGGTATCCACACCGGACAGATTCAACTCAATGGCTATTTATAGCCTCTCCACCTCGGGACCTGGCAGGGCACAGGGCAGGAGGTGCAGTGTAGCCTGGAACTTTCCTCCCCACATATCTAAGCCCAGGACAGTGTCTTCCTGGAGACCACCAGGAGGAGGACCCGCCCCAGGGACTATGGCACCAAGTGGGGCAGGAGGGGGCAGAGCAGTGGGGCAATAACAGGGAGAAAGAAGGTGATCAGGAAGAGACACCAACGTGGGACCAGCCAAGCGCACTGAAGAGTGACAGTGAAGGACAAGTGCAAAGCCAGCTACCAAGAGAAGTGTCTGAACCTCAAACACTACGTTTGTTCGGAAGATGCTGACTCGAAACCACCGGGGACCTGGGAGTGAGCCAGGACAGGCTCCACGCCACCGAGCCGTTGCAGGAACTCTCGCCCACTCTCCCGCTGATGCTTCCGGTTTCCCTCATCAGCCGGCACTGGCTGCAGAGGATCCCCTAGGCAACTGCTCCCCAAGTCCTCTGGGCAATTCCGAAGCAGTTTCCTGTGACCCAGCACTCTGTCCCCAGTGTGCCAGCCTCTGCTCACACCATACTCACAGGTTTTCTGGCTCAGAGTTGAAGGGGTCAGCATTTATTAACAAGCGACTGATGACCGAGCCACCAGGCAAGGAACCAGACATCCCGGCACGAACATCTGTGAGGGACACAACAGCAAGGGCAGACCTGGTCAGGAGCCCCCGAAGCTGATGGACGCATCTGGCAGAACGCTGTAATTAAACATTTCTAAAACAGCATGTGAGCGGGTCCACATACCGACAATGACGAGTTTGGGGTCAAAAGCTACCATCACCAACCCTTACCCATGGAATAAAATTAGCACACCGGGTGGTAGAACCCACCACCTGAGGGACATGGACGTGGCCTGTGCAGCCAGCTCGAGTTCATGCACAGTGATCTCCAGGCGTCCAGGCGTCCAACCCAAGGAGGCTACTTTCACGAGAGAGAAACCTCAGGGACACTCCCAGTGACGAGAGCCTCCAAGCCACCCACATCCATTTAAAGTCTTTAAACCAACCATTAAGGCAGAGATGAAGCCCTGCGTTTGAATGATCTACTCATTCAGCCTCCCAGTGAGGTCTCTGTCACTGGCTAACCAAATGCCTCACAAGCAGTGCAAGAGCTCACTTCCCAAGGGCCTCTGGAATTTTCTATCTAACAGGTGAGTCACTAAATATCACCAAAGCGCTCAAAGGAGCAGACGGTGTGGCTAGAAGGGCTCAGGACTCTGCCTGAGGCTGGTTCAGGGAGTCTGATGGGCCCCATCGTGGCACTGCTTCCTCTGAAGAGGCCAAGTCCTGTCCCAGCTCCCCGAGGGAAGCAGCCATGGGAGTTGCCTCCACTTAATCTGGGCAACACCAGAGCAAGGAAAGGAAAGAAGTCGGGGCCAGCCCTCCCGGCGGCTAGCTGTGCTCCTGCTGTGCTCGTGCTAGAAACAGTGGCGCAACGCCCGGTCCCGCACACCTGCCCGCCCCGCTCCTTCCCTTCAGGATAACTCCCGCCTACCCAGCTGGAGAATCGCCTGCTCCAGGCACCTTCCTGGGGCCCCCAGGCAGCAATGTGGGTGCCGTCTGTCCTTTGTCATTGATAAGGATACTTTCATACCGTGCCCTGACTCTGAGAGCCCGTCCTCATTCCTGAGGAGGACAGGGACCTGGTCTTATTCATTGCCAAAGGCCCCAGACCGGGCTGGCTGGAAGGTTAGTGTGTCCCCGAGGCCCTCTGTAGACGCCCTTGGCCATTGTGCCTGGCCCACCTGGGGGTGGGGACACTCACTCGGGAACAGGATCTTCGTGCTCAGCACGGGCAGGCCATCCCGGGTTCCTGACTGGGTGGGGAGAGAGGCAGAACTGCCCAGTGACAAACTTCCTTTGCTTATCAGCTTCTCACACGGGGACTTGGACACTATAAAAACAGAACACAGAGCCATCAGACTGTCCAGCAGAGACCATGACTGACACTGGGAGAGTTCACTGGAGAAATGCCAGGCAGAGGGCCAGGGGAAGGGCAGCACCTAACAAGCCACTGGTCAGCCCAAGTGGAATGGGTGAGATGGAGACAGGAGCCCAGAGAAAGAGAGATGAGGGGGGCACAAGGAGAGGCAGGTGGGTTTCAACGCCCTTTAAAGAGTGACAAAGGCCACCAAGGGTGACGCTGGGGCAGGGCACGGAGGGGCTAAGCCCTAATCATACGAAGGGTTAAAGAGGCCAAGCTGAGTTCCGAGTAAGAATGACCACGGAGTGACCTCGAAGGCAGCTACACCTCCTAGTGTCTTGTTGGGCTGCAAGGGAGGGGCCATGCATAGCCGGAGGGAAGGGACGATTCTCCACATCAGGAGCCCGCACTGGGGGCTCTGCTAGGAGGGCTAAGGGTCCCTGGACAAATGGCTCGTGGGGCTGGGTGGTGTCCTGGCCACCATGCCAGGCAAGGCCAGCTAAGGGAGCAAATTTCGAACATGCATGGTGCCCGACTGGCTACAGCTGGGAGGCCCTGAGCCCCACTGGATCTGGGGTACACAGGGAGGTTCTGGGGAAAGCATACTTCTCAGCAGCAGGGCTCCCCCCAAACCCCCCACATTCAGACAAACTGCACACAGCAGGTGGTGCACAGAAACGCCGTGTGTTCCTGACTTTTCTACTGCCAAGGGGCCAGAGCAGCCACGAGAAAGCTCCCTGAAACTTCGCCCGGCCAGCTGCATGGGCACCACACTGGCCTGGCCGCAGCACCGAGGGCCGTACCTTTGCGGAGGCTCCTGTGCTTGGCAACCCCGAAGCTCTCGCTGTGGCATAGCCTGTCGTCCGACCTCAGGTCCTTTTTCTCCTCCGCCTCGGGGAGGCCTAAGACGACCCTCTCCTGTTCCTGGGTCTGGGCGTTCTGCTCATCGACAGCTGCACAGGGCAAGAATGTGCACTGCTCAGCCCGTGGGCATCGGCCACAGACAACGCCAGGCTGACAGAGGGCCTGCTGAACAGACTCCCCCACGCGTCTCCCAGTCTTCTTTTTCCTCAAGTGTCCTCTTGGCTGCAGCTGAGACCCTGAAGCTCCCACCCCATCATCACTGTCCCCCGGGCCCAGTACCCTGCAAGTAGCAGGGGCACTGGGCATCCGCGCCAGCAGCCTGAGGAGGAGGGCCAGAGGCTGGAGGATGCGCAGAGAAGGTGAGTGAAGGCTCGAGAGCCCAGAGCACCCCGGGGGACTGACAAGGGGCCCCACCTCCTGTACCCACCAGTGTGTAGCTGGGAGGTCATGACCTTATTATTCTCACTGAGGCTAAAAGCAGGTCAATCTACTCAGAGTAAAGAGGTGAGGGCTGGGAATGTGTCAAAAGCAAGTGGAAAACGTGAAATGGTTTCTGAAGGTAAAGAGAAAACAGACAACCCAGGACAAGGAAAAACTTGCTGAGGAGGGAGTGGACAGGTCCTGCTGAGATTGGAGGCAATGAAGCTCACAGATCAACATGGTTTTTCAGTGACCTCATCAAAGCTTAGCAAACCGAGTCTAGCAAAAGGGAGCGATAGGCCAGGCAGACCTCTCACCCTACGTAGGTCTACCTGCCTCCCCCAGGCTGACCAGGGACACTAGGCCCGGGTGCCCTCTGCACAGCAGCCAGCCCTGCTTCAGACCCCACGGAGCACATGGTCCCCCCACCTCTCCAATCCCTCCTGCCCCCTGCTGCCGCTGTCCCCAGGTCCAGCCTCTTTGTCCACCCGCTGCCTCCAAGCAGGGCCACCCCTCCTGGTGTCCTAGGAGCCTCTCAGGTGTGAGCACAAAGGCTCTCCTTGAAGCACAATCCCCAGGCGGCCTCGACCTGGGGGACGAGGCCTGTCCCTCAGGGCTGCACCCGAGGTTGGGTAGAGTCCCTACAGGTTAGGTCCCTTCCAGGGAGCAATGGAGGCCTTTCCGTCACCGTGCTTGGAGGAAACTGGGCGGTGAGCCCAGTGCCCACCTGAAGAAAGTGCCCTTGTCATGAAGAGACCAGCTACCTTTCTCGGTGTGCTCTATGATCTGACGGATCGCCTTCTTCAGGCTGTTGGCCCGCAGCATGAGCTGTTCCCGAGGCCGGAATATCTGCGGCCGGGCTGGGCACGCTGACCCCACTGCGCGGTCCGCGGTCAAGCCACAGCCGCTGCCCAGCCCATCCCCATCTTCCGCCTCCTCGGCAATGGTGGGCGGCGGGGTGGGCAGAGAGGATGAGGCCTGGGACTCGTCATCCAGGGTCTTCAGGAGAGAGTCCAGCTTCTCTTTCAGGACAGAGCACTGGACGGGGAACAAGCAGAGTGGAATAGAGTGGAGTGGAGCTCCTCTCTGTCCTGATACCCTCCCAGCCAGGGAGCCAGGGGACAGACCTTCTTGGCCATGACCTCCGACTCCTCTGAGCTCTCGGTCGTCTTCTCGTAGGCCTTTCCCACTCGAGCCACAAAGTCCTTCACCGTCTCACAGAGCACTCTGTGGGAGGAAACACGGGAAGGTGCTTCTAGACAGACAGTTCTGGCTGGGAACCCAGTGCCCTGCATGGTGGACCCTGGTTCCGTGAGGCCATCGGTACTCACTTGGCCGATGAGATCACCACCGAGTGCTGGTCGGAGGTCAGGATTTTAGAAAGATGGGCTGCAACCGAGTCTTCATAGAAGAGAATTTGCTGCACCTACAATCACCCCAGAACAGGGAGGGGCGACTCAGTCCAGCCAGTGACCTTCTCACCCACTGCGCCCCCAGCCCCGCTTCAGTTTACTGCCCCAGCTAGTCCCACTAGCACTATCTGAAGGATCACAAAGGCTTCCTGAAGATGTGCACAGATGGGCCTTAATGAAACAAAAAAAGTCCGTAAAAACTTGAAAACACCTCAGGCTCCTTTACTATTCAGCCTGAGGTTCACCACCAACAGCCCGTGCCAGGAACGAGAACCTCCTGCCCTGCCGACATAGGCAACGCTCCTTCGCTTAGGCCCCCTCACAGCAGACGACACATCTGTCCACCTGGCGGGTTCGTGGCCCAGCCCCTCCCCTTCTCAAGATGTGAACTCCCTTCCCCATACACGTCTGCCTGGTGAAACAGGAGAGCTGACCCTGTGTGGTTAACCCACTCCAGGCCTTATCCCAGTGGTCAACAAACTGCACTGTTGGCTGACAGTACATATATGAGGCTTCGCACACATATTCTTCCTCTCCTGAAAGGTGCGGCCATCCTCTGCTCGCAGGCCAGGCCGCAGCAGACCCAGTCTGCCCACAGCTGCCCCAGCCCACTGTGCTCCACCCTGCAGACTGCAGGCGGTCCCGGGCACAGCTCTCCTTCTCCTGCTCAGCCAGCAGCCGGCTCGCCCGGTGGGCATGAGCACAGCGACGTGCCCAGGACTGTGCTGCTGCAGGGCAGGAAGTCAGGAAGGCAAAGGCTGCGCCCTATGGAACCGGTAAACCACAACCACCACCAGAAAACGAAAGAAGCGCTAAACGTCCAGGTGACCTAGCTAACTGCACAGGAGGCGACGTGGAGGACAATGGGCAGCAGCAGGTGCGAGGAGAGTGGGAAGTCCTACGAGACTGCCACCACAAAGGACCCACATCCTGATGACAACCGGGAAGCCTCCAACGACCTCAAAGCCCGGGGAGGTCGGAGTCCACGTGGCTCCAGCTCAGTCTTGAGCTGACCCTGAGCCTCTGCGGGTCAAACTGGGGTGGGGAGTGACAGCACTGGGCGGGGGGGGGGGGGGCGCAAGAGGCAGGAGATACAAACCTCAGAGCCCTCACTGAGGTCCTCGGTGCCCGTGCCAGCAGCAGAGGAGGAGGCCTGCCGGGGCAGCTTGGTCTCGTAGGCCATGACGCTCCACCTGCACACACAGAGACGGCTCCCAGCAGCAGCTCCGCCTCCCAGGACAGGCCCCACACCTCCCGCCTTAGGACCCGGGTCTGACCTCCCACCAGTTCTAACTGTGTCTGTACGTCCTTTATCTGGGCTCCTCCCAGAACTAAGAACAATTGTCCCTACAGGACAGAGAGGAAAGGGACCCTAACCAGAGAGCCATAAGCCCTCAGCCAGCAGCCAGCTCTTCACATGCACAAAGTGCACAGACCCCTCCCGTAAGTAGAGAAGGAATGGCGGGGACACTGGGATCACACCCACTAACGACAACCACAGGGTCCTGTGAGGGGACGTGCAGTGTCTCAACACCACCAAGTCACCACAGACTCCAGCTGGTGGGATTTCAGACATGAGCTCAGAACTAAAGGCAGTTCACCCCCAAGGATGCCAACAGGTTTTTGAAAACACAGAGACTACATGTCCAACACTTTGGATTCTTCCGGGAACAGAATACAGAGAAGGGGCATTCTGCTCCCAGGTGTCAGATGAGGGCTGCATAGGCGGAAGGGGATAGGGCCACCTTCCCCAGTGGCCCCAGTGGGTCAGGCTTGGCCTTGAGAGAAGATCTGATCACTCAGTACCTCACCTATCTGTTATCTTTTTCATAATCTTAGTCGAAAGTTAAAGACTACCGTGAAAGTAATTTTTATAACTAATTGCAGAGGGCCTACGGTTTCCAGGGACCCTGGATAAGAACCCCTGGTCAAGGTGACCTGTCTCCAGCTCCCTCCTGGCAGGCAGCACTGCCACGCTCCCACTCACCTGTCCAGCATCTTGGTGCTGGCTCTCTCCAGCTTCTCCAGGATCTGAGGGAGCTGAGTGTCGTCGTCACAGGCTGAGCCCCAGCCTAACACGCGCGCCAGGTCATTCCCTGTGCCCAGGGGAAGCACGCCCAGCTGACACTGACAGACACAGGGGGGAACATGGCCTTGAGCCTCTTCGTTGCTGACCACAGTGGCTGAACTAGAGAGAGTCGCTTCCAGTAGTGCGGCACTGCCACTCCAGGCAGAGCCACGGGATAGGACAGACGGCCTTTCAGGTCCCACGGCAAAGTCCTCCTCTGCCACAGGCTGCACCTCACCTGCTACCCTGTGGGGACCGCCCTCTAGGACCTCATTCATCAAATCATGTCCTAAATCCCCTTCCCTCCGACTCGCATGGCGATGGCCTTAGTCCTGTCCCTGACTGCTGGGCATGTGAATCCTGAAGAACCCTTCTGTGGCTCCCCACTCCCCATCTCTCCCTCTATCCATGCCATCTGATTCACTGAGGCCAAGCCCATCTTCCAAAGACATCACTAGTGTCGCTTCCCCCTCTAAAAACACCTTCAAGGGCTTCTGAGTCCCTTCCAAACAGGTACCAGGACACCCAGTGTGGTCACCAAACTTGACAATGTCTCAGTGCTCAGCCAACATCCCTCTATCTGCCACTCCCCAGAGAGACCCCTTCCATTGCTCATGCCTCGCCCAGAGCTCCCACCAGGCCAGGACAGCACTCAGGAAGCTTCAACTGCAACACGCAGTGTGCAGGGAGGGTCGTCGGTCCTCCCTAGGCCCTGCCAGACCACGGTCACCCACCCCGGCCATGAGGGAGGCCCGCCACCCTGCTGGGGACAGCAAGCTGGAAGGTGAGGACCAGGACATGTAGGCACTAGGAGGAGAGGACCTGGCACTGGGTCCTCAGAGCCTGAAAGAAAAGACAGGAGTAGGGGCATGAAGGCACCGCAGCGGGCCACCCTGCTGGAGAGGCGGCCCTCCTGCCACATGAGACTCCATCAAGAGGAGGGCGCTGAGGAGGAAGGTGGAGACACAGAGGAGCAAGGAGCCACACTGGGCCCTGGGAAACTGCGTTAGGGAGTCTGGACTGCCTCCTAAAGCCAAGGGGTCACCAAGAGATGCTCAGGGGCTCATGGGCAGAACTGCTGTGGGGAAGGTCCCTGGGGAGGGCGGATGGACTGAGGGCCAGGGTCAGCAGTATACAGGGGTGGCAGAATTGAGCCCAGCAGCTACTCAGAAATGAGGAGGGAGGGAGAGGGAAAAATTAAGAACAGCTATCAGATCTCTAGCTCAGACATTGGATGGATGATCATTTCGAGACTCTAAGGAAAAGAAATGTGGGCTGGGGGAGGCTGGGCGGGGTGGGGACTCAGGGCAGGAAATGCAGGGCTTGAGGTGGGGTGGGGCAGCCGGAAGATGAAGAACACCAAGGACTGGGGTCCAGGGGAAGCCAGGGGACAGAGGGTAAGGATAACATGCCACAGGGAGGCCGGAGAAGGTAAGTGCTCACTGAGTTACCCTGATTAGATGAAACCCACCTTCCTGACTAGTGACAATGAACTTGTAGGTAGGTCATCCTGGAAGTCAACACAACACAGGACCTAAGTGTAGTGCCCCAACTTCACCACTAGGGGGAAGCATTCTCTTCTCTGAGCAAGTGGCCTCGCTGGAGCTGAGCAGTTCACAGTCCACCTTCCAACATCACTCCAGTGCCCAGGGCTAAATCCACCCCAGCTCCCAGGCCTGCCAACAGGGAGAGTCAAGCCCAAGACTTGAGAAAAGCATGTTCTAAGCAAATGACAAACTAGGAAAAATATGACTGACAAGGATTTTATATCCCTAATATGACAATAATCCTCAAAGAAATCAATTTTAAAAGGTAACTACCCCAATAGAAATCTAGTCAAGAAACATAAACAGGTGATTCATTTAAAAATTCATGTCTGAGATGTTTGACTTCACTAGTACTAAAGAAAGAAAAAAAATACATTCCTTTTTTGCCTGCTTACTGGGCAAAAACAAAAAGGATGGACGATAGGCAGCAGAGGAAGGGGGGCAGCTTTTTGTGGCCCCGGGAAACAAGGCTGGCGCAGCCCCAAGGGAGAGCGGAGTGTGGGTGCTCTCTGAAGGGGCTGACGGGGCCAGGGTGCACGTGTTCCTCGCCAGTCGTCTTCACGAGCGGCCCGGGCGGACAGCGCGGGGCGTGAGCCAGTCCAGGACTGCAGGGCTCTGCCCTCGGAGAACCACACATGGGCCTCCACTCGCGGCTACAGAGTGGGTGTGGGGTCCGCCACGTGCTGGTCTATGAAGTGCCCTACGGAGCAGCACAGGCGACGGGAGTGCGCTGGACTCGAAGCCACACTACACTACGAGGGTGTCACCGAGGGGTCTTGGAAGACAGTGACCAGTGTTAGCAGTGAGCAACGATGGAGGGGGGTGACCGTGGGGGAGTGGGGGGTAGAAACAATGAGCACTTGACTTTTACAATCAGAATAATTAAGTCCAAGGGGCCCCAACTGTGACTTTGAGTTCAAGTCTGCTTCCCTCTCTTCCTGGACAACAAGAGGCATCAGGCAGTAAGTTATTCTACGACCCAATAAGGGGCAGGTGGGCACAAGGCAGGATGGCAGCGCCACCCAGACCTGCTCCCACCTGGGACTCGTCTTGCAGAGGAAAGTTCTTTTTGCACCTTGGTCTCCTTCTAACTGTGAGGTTCCTGTTCCCGTGTAACAGCCCCAAGCCCCAGGATGCTACCACGCTACCTGCCCCCCCCACCCCTGCCAGACCTCCATGGGTCCCCACTGTGGACCTGAGACCACCCAGCCACTCTCGCACCACACCCCCAGGTCTGGACTCCCCCGTGGTCAGGTACCTGTTTGTGGAGGTTGAGGCTGTCGATTTCGGAGAGGACCCAGCCCACACTGCCATCCCCACCACACACCAGGATCCGGAATGTGTCAAACTTCTGGAATAAGCGTAAGCTGCAAAGGAAAGAGAGTGTCAATGAAATGAGGTACATTCTAAGTGACAAATGACAGCCAGTCGGCCCTGGGCTGAGGGGCCCCATCTGTGCTTCTCATGCAGACCCTGCACCCCCTCCCATGAAGAAGCCTCTCCCAGGTGTTCAGCCTGCAGGGGCCACTCGGCACCTGAGAGCAAAGGGCTCCCACCATGGCCTCTGAGCCTACCCCCTACTCGGCCGGCCCCGTGCTCAGCCAGCACCCACACACAGGGCACAGGAGCTCAGGCTGCAGGATTCTGTCCATCCTTTACCTTCCCTCTGGGCCACTGTGTTCTCCCAGATGATATGACCCATCCCTCTCCCCCTCCTAATTCTATCTCCATCTCCCTTCTGTGCTCCTCGTGGTCACTCAACCCCTTACATGCAGTGTCCCCTTTCGGACACCCACAGCCTCCTCTGCTCACTCCTCACCCACTTCTTGAGTGGCCTCATCTACATTTTGACTTCAGAGATGACACAAATGCTGATGACTATGAATGACCTGAATGACCCTAAACCATGACCTCCAGGCTTTACTGAAGGATAAGCCTGCCCAATGGGCCACTAGGGTGTTGCATGGGTAGGCACCTCCTTGTCCTAGGTTCCCATCCTTGGAAACAGCAGAGCCACCATCAAACTGTCACTGGGCCAGACCCCACTGTCCCAGCCACCGTCGCTTCTGTCACAACCCCTACCAGAGCCCTCTCCCAACCTCACATCCCCTATGGACACCTCCAATCCCTGCTACAGTGTGATCTTCCCAAAACAAGTCTCGTCAAGTATCTCACTTTAAGAAGTTGCCCCTTGTTTCTAGGACAGGGTCAAGCCTCTGGGCCAGTGCCTGTGACCCTCCCTGGAGAGCAGCTGCCGCTCCTCCAGATGCCCCCAGTCTTCTTGCCTCTGCACACACAGCACCTTCTGCCAGGCAGGCTCCAAACCTCACTCCCCGCCATGCCATCGCCAGCTCCCTTCAAACGCCAGCTTGGGGAGAAATTCAAAGCCCCCCAAGCTTGACTTATAAGCCCCTTCCCTGAGTTCCCACAAAATCCACACATCTCCCTGTAAGTGACGGACTTCTGTGTCACTGCGCCTGCAACGTGAGCCTCCAAAATAAAAAACCTATCGTCTGGCTTCCCTGAAGGAAAGCCTCCTCAATACTAAGCAGCCAGGGAAGCAATGAGTCAGGTCTGTGACCCTGACCTGGAAATGCCCATGCCATTGTCCGCTGCCACACCTAAACAGCGTGTGTGCCACGCCAGGCAACAGGCCAGGCCGCATTCGGGTCAGAAGTCCACGCACAGCTGAGACTCACACTGAAGGCTGAAGGGACAGTCAACTGTACTAACTATTAAGAGGGGGCACCTCTGCAGGTGAAATCTGAGGAGGTGTGGTTCAAGAAACACAGTCTTTATTTCCTATTCTAAAATGTATGTTTAAGCCCTGATTGGCATGCCTCAGTGGGCTGGACATGGTCCCACAAACCAAAAGGCCGCCGGTTCAATTCCCAGTCAGGGCACATGCCTGGGTTATGAGCCAGGTCCCCAGTTGGGAGCGTGTGAGAGGAAACCAATTGATACATCTCTCACATATTGATGTCTGTCTCCCTTCTCTTGCTCCCCCCCTTACCTTCTCTCTAAAATTAAATAAATCTTTCTTTAAAAAATGTTGAAATCTTAAATAAACATGTATTATCTTCAAATTTTTTTTCAACTCCAGGGAAGATATATCCTACAAGCTTACCCGAGGTGTGGTCCCCCGTTCATCAGGTCAAAGACCTGGGCAGGGTTCAGCAGCTGTTTGAACCTTCTGAGGAACTTCACGCCCTGGTTGTCCCCACTTTTTGAATTGACAAAGACCAACAGGGGGCTGGTGCAGGACGGAGGACACGTGGCCTTCCAGAAGCCTGGATGTGAGGATGGAAAAGGACAGAAGGACATTGGAAGCCATGAAAGACAGAAGGTACTCTTGATCATGGGGGGAGAAATCCTTCCAGGGCCCCGGAACTCCCAGGAAGCCAGTAGTAAGCACACTTCCACGCTGCCCTCCCCATGAAGAAGAAAGCGAGGGCGCACCAGTCTGCCATCGAGTGCACAGGGATTCGAAAGCTCGGAAGGACCGGGCACCTGAAGGCTCCGACCTTTCCTCTCACTCCAAACCTGAAGAGCTGGTTTCCTGTGAGACACGTGCCCTGGTTTCCCGCCTTTCCACCCACGCTTATTAATGCTCATCATTCCATACCACCTGGACAAGGGACAGCAGCCATGGACGGTGTGCAAATTAGTATCTGCCACTAGGTGGGGACCAGTTGATGGAGACACGACCCCAACAGCTCCCATCAGAAATGCGTAAGAGCCTTCGACCGGTTTCTACTCACACCTTCAACAGACGTGCCGGACTCAAGTCCTGAGCCTCCCCAGCGGCCACCTTTGCACAGGAGTGCTCTCCCAAGATGCTGGGCCTGCTCTCCTCCCAACCACATCTCAAAATCATAACACAGCCACTCCAGAGAAGGGAAGGGGAACACACAGGAAGCGCAAGTGCGTGGTACCCACCATCAGAATCAATGCTGTTGAGAGCCGTGGGAGGGATGACCGACACTTTGCACAGGCCCAGTGGGCACTTGGTCACTAAGGATTCCTTACAAGCTGTGTGCACCTGGAACAAGAATCCACACATCATAAGGGGTCACAGCCTGCTTCACACATGGCCTACAGCTATGGGAGGCATGGGCTGGCCTGCTGTCCCCATCAGGGCCCTGACAGGACCCAGGAGTGGGCGGAGCTCACTCACCATGGCCTTGCACCACAGGCAGCGCCAGTCTTGCAGGCGCAGCACGCTGCCGCAGGTCTTATCACACACCGTGCACTTGGCACTCACAGGCAGGTTTCCTTCCAGCCACTGGTGAGGCATGGCAATCTGCAGACCAAGCAGAGACACGCACTGGGGACACTTCCCAGTGCCCCACACACGAGGCGCCACAAGACCCGGGCCAAAGATGCTCCACAACAAACTCAACCAAGACGCTCTTCTCGACACAGGCAGAGGAAGGACAGAGCAGCCCCATCCGCCGCAGCTGCTCCAGCACAGCATGACGCACGGGGACTGGACAACACTGGAGGCACAGAGACCCACACAGAGTCCCCAGATGCACAGCGGGAACGACTCAGAACCATGAGGAAGAGAACCAAGGAAGAGGGCCAGTCCTCCTGGGGAGGGGGACCACGCCAGGTCGGCCAGTGCCCCACACGTACCCCATCCTCGTCCTCGATGATGTCCTTCCCAATGGAGGCCAGCGTGGTCCACTTGCAGTTATTGGTTGCACGCACAGCACACCGTTTGTGGGCCTTGAACTTGCACACTGTGAGAAAATGAACACATGCACCCTCAAGCCCTGCTTGTGGCAACTGCTTCCCATGCTTGAGGAGACAGCCCGGTGGGACTCCCGGGCCTGTGGGGCAGTCGGAACGGCACACAGCACCCCCCATGTTGGAGACTGACCACTGGGACACACGTGGAGGCTAATCTCGGTGGCACTGGGCACCCAGGACAGCCAGGACCAGCAAACTTTCGGAGAAGGGCCAGAGAGTGACCAGCTCAGGTGTCATGGGCCACACTCTGTCTCCATCCCAACTGCTCAGCCTGCCCGGCAGCCCAAGGGTCACCAAGGACCACACTTCATGTATGGAAACCAAAATGTCCATTTCACATGATTTTCTGTGTCACAAAATAGTCATCTTGATTTTTTTACCGTGTAAAAGAGTAAAGCCATTTTTAACTTCACAGGCCACATAAACACGAGCAACAGGTGGGATCTGGCCCAAGCGCCACTGTTTGCCCCTCTCCAACCCCGCCCTCTCGCTCTGGAGGACGACAGTCAGTGCATCTGTCCACAGCCCGCATCACCTGCAGGGGGTGCAGCTGCCCGATGGTTCCCCCCCTCCTCCCTCTGTGTCCTCACATTTCCTCTCCGTGTCTCCTTATTATCACTGCCCCTCTCCCCTTGGCTCCATTGCCACAGAGAATAATTTATCAAGGACTCCTCAGTAGGTACAATAAATAACACAGGGAAATCACTTTACCCCTGACTGATTTGAGGTGACTACGTTTGAACATCCAGGTCAGGACGCTCTCCCCCACAGAATAACACACGGTCTGTACCTTCACAGGACAGTCCATGGGACGTGACCCCAGACAGGGCCTCACGACACACGTTGCAGTAGGTCGGCCTCGCGTGGGAGCAGGCGTACCAGTTGTGCATCCCTGAGAAGTGGTCCATGCTGTACTGGGTCGGCTGCAGGGAGGACGTAAAGATAGCAAAAGTAAGGGAACCTCTGACGTTCTTAAATATGGTAACTTGAGAGCAGGGTTCAATCAAGGGCCCAGGGGAGGAGAGGACGCAGGTTTACAAAAGGCAGGGTCATGGCAGGATGGGGCAACCTTAACTTACAAGGACCATGCTGAGAAAGTGAGTCCTAGAACTGCCCGACCCGCACACAGAGATACTCAGAGGGCAGAACAGTAAGAAAAGTGCAACAAGAAGACTTTTCTTTCCTACCTCAAAATGTTCCCGATTCTGGACAGTCTTCAGAGCTGCAATCCAATCTTCCATTTCTTTCCTGTTATCTGCACATAAGATGAGTTTCCTGCATGGAGTGATGACCTAGAAAGAGGAGCGTATTCAACACATCCATGACCCAAGCACAAACACTAAAGTCGCCTCTAAAACCACTTTCACTGTATATATTTTAATGAGAAATAACTGTTTAATTCAGGTATTTTACTGAACAGAACACTAAAAACCAAGAACAATCTCAAACCAAAAAGACAATCAAATGCGGTTTGCACGTTCACCAGAAACAATTCCCGTGGACACTTGCGAACCGCGGACTGCTCGGAAGCAGCCGTGAGCCATGGGAAAAACTTCTAAAGGACAGAAGGCAGCTGTGACTGCTCCGACACGCTCGCAAACGGCCATCAAGCACCGACGCAGGTTAGGGAAAGTCTGGTCCACGTTCCCCTAAGGACACCGTGAGCACTTCATAGGTACCACACGTCGAGGTTAGTGGGAGAACCTTCTAATGTCCGACAAGAACAGGAACCACCTACTGCATGCGGGGCCTGAAAAACTAACTTAACTGGAAATGAGGTCGTGAACCTCGCAATAATCAACAAATCAAAACTACATCCACGGCATAAAATGTTCTTATAAATCAGTAGAAGATATTTTTCCTCTAGAAAAAAGGCTATAAATTTACATTTGAGAGAAAATACAAAGTGGCTAATGTGTAAATAAGAAGATGCCTGACCACACTAGTCATCAGGGACACAAATGAAAATAAATCATTTTCCACCTAACAGCAGGCGAAGTGTTAAAAGGCGGTGACTCAGCGTTGACGAAGACACAGGAGAAGAAAGCTCCCTCCGGTGCTGACAGGAGGCAAAGAGGATACAAACGTTTTAGGAAAAACTGACCATGTCTATCAACATTTTTAGGTTATGGCCGCTTACTCAACTTTGTTTTATGACGATGGAAAGCATCTACACAGTCCCAAAGTCAAAGCTACAAAGCAGGGTGCATGAGAAAGTCTGCTCTGGGTCTGTCCCCTCCATCCCAGTCTCTGGCTCCCCCGAAGGCAGCCCTAAAAAAATACCTAAAACTACAGTCGCCCTTCCATATTTAAGATGTTAGCTAATGTAAGTACATTTTCCTAGCCCCCCTTCGAAGCAGGAGCACTCCATGGACACCTCCGCCACCTGTCTCCTCCCTCAAACCATGTCCTGCCCTCGCCCCCAGCAGCGGGCGCCGGTCCCTGGAGCTTCCTCACAGCACACGGGGCCCCAGCTGGGGAGGCACAGAGGGTAGGCAGCCGCTCCCTGCTAACAGACATTACGTTGTCGAAAAGCCTGTGGTGCTGCAAGTGGCGGGGCAGTGTTACCGCCTTCACCTGGGTCTTTGCCTTTACCACGTGTTTGGGGGATAAATTCCCAGGACGGCCCACAGTGTAAATGCACGTGTAACTCTGTTGCTGTCATTGGCACCCCGCAGGGGCTATGCCCTTTTACGTTCCCGCCAACAGCGTCAGGAAAATGAAGCTTCCCCAGGGATTCAGCAATAAAGTTTGTTATTTAATTTCGTATTTCTGCCCATCTTACAGCTTTTTTTTAAAAAAAGATTTTATTTATTTATCTTTAGAGGGGAAGGGAAGGAGAGAGGGAGAGAAACATCAATGTATGGTTGCCTTTCGTGCATCCCCTGCTGGGAACTGGCCTGCAGGGAACCTGCCTGCAACCCTGGCATGTGCCCTGACTGGGAATCGAACCGTGATTGTCTGGTTCGCAGGCCCGCGCTCAATCCACTGAGCTGCACCAGCCAGGGCAGCTTTAATTTATATTAGAAAGACTCAATTTAGGAATACCCAATTTAATGACAAGGTGATTATGTTTCTGGCTCAGAAAATATAAAAACAGTGTTTTATGGATGGCCTCTTCTGTGGTTTTCATAAACTGCCTACAGAACTTCATCATGGAAGGGGATAATTAGAACTGGGTCACAAACCACGGGGCTGTTCACTCTTTCACGTAACCAGGGTAACTGGGATAACTACATGCGGGGGGCCAGGCTGGGTTGTAGAAAGAGGCAAAGAGAGTGTAAGGTGAGGGGAGACTGAAAAACAGAAAACAGAAGCCTGGGGAAGCGGGGGCCCTCCAGAGGGAGAGTGGGAGGTAAGAGCCACTCTCAGGTGTCCCAAGAGCACCGTAAAAAGCCGACACCCCAGCACCGAACACACCCACCCTTCCACCCAGCAAGTGCTGAGTGTCAGTCGCTCAAAGACGACGACAGGACAGGGCTCCTGCTCGCACAGAGCTCTCTTTCACTGGGGAGACAGGCGAACAAGAAGCTTCAGACACTGACATGTGCTGTGAGGACAGAGTGGGTCACGCGAGCGGGGCTGCTGGGTGCTCTGGAGTGCGGCCAGGGCAGGCCACGGGAGGGCTGGGCAGCGGACAACGGCTGGGTTGGTGCTACAGGACATCTCATCAGTACAGACTCTCAACAACCACTTCTGTTTATTCACTCTGGGGTGAGTGTTAATATTTGAGCATTTTTATCAGCATAATAGTTTCAGAAAGATACTATATACTTTATTCTGCATAACCTGGGGATTATTTTAGGCGTTAAGCAATAAGACACTTACAGAAGAGAACACTGTGATTCTTCATGTCCTGTTCTATTTTAGGTCTTGTTTCTACTACTCCCGTGACAACCTGTACAAGATGAAGAGTCCACATCATTCCAGAGCTCAGCCGATGGAGCTCTGGGCCCGACCTCTCCACGTGCTGAAGGAAGGAGGGGTTACCGGATAGCTTCGTGGGCACTGGGCACCACCGGACAGCAAGCTATAGACAAAACTGTTATGTTTAAAGAAGATGAGTTCCTGAAACTATTGATAAATGTTGTCATTTCCTCACTCTGTGCAGTAATTTACAGGGAGTAAAACACTGACCAACAGAAAAATGTTTAAGAACCTGGTATTCAGCTTTTTAAAGAAACACAGGGGCCTATTTGAAGCCTTAGACAGACTCAGGTCTGAGCCCCACTGACTGGCTGGGAGAGGTGGGTGGACCATCTTCGTTTCTCTGCTGGGAAAGAGGGATGACAAAGCCACCTGGCAGAGACGTTATGAGACTGAATGGAACCAAATGTGGACAGAACGAAGCCCAGGGCCCAACATAGTGTTCAGGAGACGCCCCTGGGTCCAGGGCCCTGCCAAGCTGTGCGAGCTGCCATAGTGACCTCCCCTCCCTGTGCCTCCATTTGCTCATCTGAGAACAGGGGCTACTACTATCGGTGATGCCCCATCTCAGGGTGGCGGCAGGTTACAACAGGGGCCCTGGGAGGTACTGAGAACAGTGCCTCGCATGCACCGCTCCCCCCCACCGCCTGTCCCTGCCACTCTCAGGTCTAGCACAGGCTCTTCCCTGTGGACGTCACCTTCCTGAGACTCTACTGGTGCCAAGAGGCCACCTCTCAGAGCATAAGAATCATCCCAGAAGACTCCCACCCACCAAATAAAAACCAGTCTCTGCCTCTCTCCGACCACATTCTGCCACCCAAGACAGAATCCATGTTTCTTAGCTGCCCACAGGCTGGACATGACTCCATCACCTTGGATGGCTTCCCCTTCCCTGGGGGCTCCCCAGCAGCCTTCCAACCCAGGGAAAGCCTCCCGGACACAGCGGCAGTCCCGCACCCCGGGGCCATGGGTAAGACTGTGAAGCCAGGGGGCCTTCTCAGGATGAAAGCGGGAGACTTTCTAAGAGAGATGTCCTGGATGGGGCTCCCTATTCAGTCCCTTTATTTTGGAGACAGAGGGGCCAGGAAAAAACGGAGGAGAGAAGCAGGTGCTACAGGACACCTTCAGGTTACTCCCTCGTGGCCACTCATCAAGTTCACAAAGCAAAAAGAAAGCAGGGTTCAGAAGGGACGCTCTCAGGAACAGTGTTATTTTGCCATGTATAACAATTACACACCACGGGTATAATAATCCGTGTACAATGCACTCAAAACATGGGTGCGCACTACACACGGCAAACTACAGTAATAAGAGTGTGTCTCTGTTTGGACTGCCACTGCTAGGAAGCAAGAATGAAGAAACAATCTAGAACTATACCAAAATCAAGCCTTCACACAGAAAAAGCTTTGGAGACCAGAAAATATTTTTGGTCTATATTTTTCAAGTGAATTTGTAAGGTAAGAAACAGCTCACATAAATAAATCAATTTAAAAATCAAATGCAAATGAAAAGCAGGGAACAGCATGAACAGGACAAGACAGGTCAGCTGCGTCAGGCTCAGTGGGGAAGGGGCCAGGGCTGCGACACGCAAACTTGGTATCAGAGGAAGGGGCAGAGCTGCACCCTGAGCAAGACTGCTGTGTGCAAATCCACAAACTTAGAGAAAGCACACGCCCAGCCGTGCAGCTGGGAGGACCGAGACAGAATGAAGCGGAAATGAAGGGAAAACAAAGAAATGGTGGAAGCTGAGACAAGCCAGAGGAGCAGTAAACAGACTAAATTCTTAGACTCTTGCTGGAATTTTCTGAGGTTAAAGGACCTTAAAAATCAGTAAGAAAAAAAACAGAACTAAGAAACATGAACAAGAGACTTGAACACTGTGTTATTTCACAATGGCCAGTAAGGTGCTCAACTTCAGGAGGCAACTGGGAAGCGGAAACTGAACCCCGGAACTCAAAGGACAGAGGGTGCCCAGTGCTGGCAAGCGTGCGGCACAGCTTGCACCCTCCTGTGCTGCTGGCAGGAGGCAGCTTGGTACAACTGCTGGGGAAGCAAGTAAAGGTGATGCTGTGCCCTCCGTGGCTCAGGATCCCCCACCACACCCCCGATGAAAAGCAAACATGCTGCGAGCACCAGGACAGCAGCCCTGCTCTTCACAGGCCTGCAGGCACACAGCCCAAACGCCCAGCACCGGTCCGACAGCCGAGTGGAGTACAGTGGCACAGCAGGGCACTCCAGGGCGATGAGAAGGAGCCTCCCACCCCTGGTGACAGTGGCAGGTGATGACTTTTACAATGAATGCCTAGACCTAGGACGATGGAAGCGAATGGAGACTCTGGGAGACTGGCAGAGCTCTGTTTTTAAA